CCTGAACACCGTTGGAGTTCGAATTAATATGCATATGAGGATTCTGCTAAAGAAGTGTGAGGTAGGAGAACCCATGGATAGATACAATATCTCACTTCAGCTTATCAAGGCAGAAATGCAAAGAAATAATTTCATAGTCATGCAGAAATAAAAAATGTTGAATATTTCACTCTATATACATTCAACATGTATTCCAAATGGTTCCAATAATACCTTTCATCTATAGAAAATACTCAGTTTTACTTTTTAAGAATCTTGAACTATCAGAGTTTTAGTTAATGAAGTTTTACTGTGTATCTGTAATTACAGAAAATATGTTATATTCTGTTGAAATTATGGCCAGTGATGACAAAAATTTGTTATTTCTTTTTCCATCAGAACTGTGATTAGTGCATGTATCATGTGCACTAACTTGAAACACTTTTAACAGTTGTTTCATTTTCTTATAAAACATTAAAATTAAAACCATAGCATGAATTCTAACATATAGTAAATGTCTAACAAAGCCTCATGCTGATAGTTTTTCTAGGAAAAGTTATTGGAGAAAAGATAAGAGTTGTAGAAAGTGTATTTTCTAGACAGAGATCTTTATATTTGTCCCTTATTCAAACTTTCAAAGAATTATTTAAATAAAAATAATAGAAGGGCTGATGAGATCTAAAATCATTATATTGAAAAGAAACGTATTTATTGACATAAAAATTTGGATGATAGTCAATACTAGACTAATGGTTTTATTTAAAAGTTATACATTTCAAGGGAAGCTGATGTTATTTCTCATCTTCAAAAAGCAAAAATATTGTATTGATTTCTTTTAAATCTAAAATTACTTTAAATTATTCTTTACCTAGAAGATAATGTATTCTCCAAAAAAATAATTTTAAGTTTTGATGAACTATTGCAACTTTTACAAACAATAATAGTGATTGTTATACGCTGCTGGGCCACTGTAAATGCAACACCCTGAAGGAAGCATGCAAATAACATGAAATTTACAACATGCATTAGCGGAGGTGAGATATGCAAATGATTAGAATTTCAGCGCAGACTCACCTCACGTCACGCGCCCTGTGATGCCACTTCAAATCGCTATTTAAGGCTTGGAGTTTTCGACGATTTCAAGTTCGGCAATTGTATTTTTCTGGTGGTTTTTTCAAAAAAACGATCCATTATGCCTCATAGGAAACAGCGATCATTGTTTGATCAAGTGTCCAAGTTCAACAGAGGAAGGATAGTGGCCTACCGAGAGTGTGGATTATCTTTCAGGGAAATTAGTAGTTGTGTTGGACAAAACCAAACAACTGTAATAAGGATATGTGACCGTGGATGCAGGAGAGTACGAGTGGCCAGCGTGTTCGATCGCATCCACTCAAGTGCATCACTTCACATGATGACAGGAACATTGTGCACATGGCAGTGATGGATCGCTCAGTCACATCATGAACCATAGCACAGCACATTCAGTCTGTATCGCATCATCCAGTGTCTGCGCGTATAATTCGATGCCATTTACAGCAGAGTGGTCTGTCTGCAAGACAGCCATTGCTTCATCTACCCTTGACGCAGAACCACAGATGTCTCCGCTGCCAATGGTGCAATGAAAGAAGGATGTGGATGGCAGAATGGAATGAAATGGTCTTTACTGATGAGTCACGCTTCTGTCTGCAACACCACGATGGTTGGATTTGAGTCTGGAGACACCGTGGAGAGAGGATGCTGAACAGCTGCGTTATGCACCACCCCACTGGTCCTGCACCGGGTATTATGGTATGGGGCTGTATTGGATATCACTTTTGCACTCCTCTAGTATTGTCGGTACTTTAAACAGCCAGTGCTACATCTCCAAGTTGTTGGAGCCAGTTGTCCTTCCTTACCTTCAAAGCTAGCCCACAGTCATATGTCAACAGGATAATGCGCGACCACACGTGGCACGCATTGTCGAAGGGTTCTTCGTCAATCGCCAGATTGAATTGCTTTCCTGGCTGGCTAGCTCTCCAGATCTTATCCCAATAGAAAACATGTGGTCCATGGTTGCTGAACGATTGACCCAGATTACATCCCAAGCTGCCACACCAGATCAACTTTGGCAGCGTGTGGAAGCTGCTTGGTCTGCTGTACTCCAAGAGCACATCCAAAGTCTCTTTGAATCAATGCTGAGGCATGTGGCAGCAGTGATCTCCGACAATGGTAGCTACTCTGATTACTGATTCTGGAAGGAACCACACTTCACAGAAGTCTATAAATTTAATCATTTGATACTTGGTCAACATGTTACCTACTAAATAAATTTTGTTATAATATCTCTTGTCTTTCTTGGTGTTGCAATTTGGGTGGCCAGCAGTGTATTAATTGAAACGGTAAGGTTCGAAAGGTTCTCTAGTTAGAGTTGGTCGCCAAAAATAGGTGAAACTGGAGGAGGAAGGTTTGCCTTTCTTCCCTGTGCTGCGCGCCACTGAGCGGCGGGAAAGTATAGAAAAACTTTGAATTGAAATCTTTTGAAATCCCAAGTGGTCTAAAGTGAAAATATTGTTTAGCTAAGGTTAAATTAATTTGATTTTGAATTACATGATTATTTACAAGTAGTGTATTCATGAAGAGATTTGCATGATGTCCAAAAATAAATGTCATTGCATTCTCCATACAATTTTTAAATTTTTCACCAAAAATATCAGAAGTCACTTTCATTGCGTGAACGAAGTTCAGGTTATTATGGGTGCCTGGGTAAGAAACCCTTATCCCAGTTGAGCAATTGGATCTGTTTCCGATTGTTAATGATTATGGCGTTGAAGAATAAAAGATGTGATAAGCTTAAGGTAGAGGAATTGAAGAATGGCATAAGTTTCTTTTTCATTTTTTGTAGAGAGAGTCCTTAGTTCCAAGTCGATTCTGAATAGTAGAATAAGCTATGATGGCAATGTGAGCAATACTGTAGGATGAATACTTCCGGAGAGTGACGACCGGAGAAGCATCCAGGCAGCAGTGGCGGCGGGTGGAGGCTGAATGAAATTGAAGTCAGGAAAGCATCGAATTTGGCCAAGAGAAGGCCGTTGATTGGAGTGCGATAGTCATGTGGTGCTGGGGGGAGGGGCTAAGGCTCTTTTCAGTCCATACAAATTTTGAGGGAGGGCCGAATAGTAATGAGGGGGAGGGTTAGGAATTGTAGTAAGCCTGCTGGACTTAGAAAAATAATTTGGATTTTTGTAGGCAATCAGCTAAGTTTTATTTTAAAGGGGGGAAAAAAAGTGAAAAAGCTTTAGCATTAATTTATTGTGCTTAGGATAGCTAGGTTTAAGAAATTATGTATGCATAATTAAGTTAAATAAATAACAGCAAGTTTATTTGTATTATTATTATTATTATTTTATTTATTTATTTTTTATTTGTGTTCAGGTTCGTTGAGCTCTTCTATGATAAGAAATAAAATGTACATTTTATCCATTTGAGTTTCTGCAGAGCTGAGGTTATTGAGGTTTTTCTTAAGCAAATTCGTTAATTTTGTAATTTGTTGCCAGCCAAAGATAGATTCGATTTCACGCATGACTTGGAATAATTCTAGAAGTCCAGATGTGTTTGAGCTTTGGTTATTTTCAAAATTAATTGGTGCTGAGGGTTTGTTTGAGCGAAAATGTTCTGTTTCATGTTGTATATAACGGGTGGTCAAAGTGCGGCTTGCGAACCTGATGTGGCTCTTGCAGGCAATTTGTGCGGCTCGTACATATAAAATATATGTATGAAATATGGTAAACTAAAACTATTCAGTGTCCAAAAGGAAGTAATTAATTAGTTTAGACTCTTTTTGCAAAGTTATCAGATATTTCTTTCTATTTAAAACCTCCTCCATTACTTGTATAATGATGTAAATATGAACTTGTGGCTTTTAGAAAATCTAGATGCGGCTCTTGAACATTCCTGAATTCAAATGTGCTGCTCTTACTGACATGAAGTTTGGCCAACCTTGGTATATAATATTATATTCCATGTTTAAACAAACTTTACTGATGCCATTCTGTGCACAAGTTCAATTTCATTTTTTTTTTTTTTTTTTTTTTTTTTTTTTTTTTTTTTTTTTTTTTTTTTTTGCATCTGTGAAACGTTTTGAAATAACGAATGAAGTTTCATAGTTAGTTAGACTAAACTGTAGTACTTAGTTTTAGTTTGTAGCTTCTATACTTGAAATATTATTTGTGTTTTTTGCAACTTGAAAAAATTTTAACATTCTGTTGTATTTCTCTCCTGATAAAGTTTGCTATTAATTCGCTGGCTAAGATCACTCAATACTGGTAGTTTCAATTTCTTGACATGGATGATTTTCTGTATGTAAAAAACCCAAATATGAGATAGTTTCTTATAGAAAAAAACTTCATGAAGGCTCATCTCTTTGTCAAACAATTTTTGAATATTTTATCATAATTTGCTTAATCTACTCAAAACTTTATACTTTCCTTTCCACACTTAATATGTACCTGGATATGTCAGCTGTTTCTTCCCATGTTTAAGCATCTACTAAATTAGTAGTGTGATTTCATTATTATTTAATATAAGGTACCGTGAAATTTACACTATATATAAAAAATAATAGTATTTTATATTTTTAACTATTTAAACTATTATGGCATACTATTTATGCTATGAAGAAAGTAAATATTAATTATTTCAGCAGAAACAATATTCTGTATTTAGAGGGTCTGTCATTTCATGTGTTCTGTTATTCACCGTTTTGTAATACTGGAAGGACTTGTGACAATTCAGTTGTAATAATTAATTTTCTGTTTTTAGTTGCATATTTTAACTGTCAGTTTATGTAAAACTATATGAAAAAATTCTATTTTATTAAATCTACAGATTAAATAAGTCTTTTTAGAAATGTTAATTCTTTAGTTTAAAATATTTTTGAGTTCTTTTCGAAATCATTGGGAAAGGTATGCAATTCCTTTTAAACAGTTTGTTGGAAAGAAACTGTGTGCAGAAAATTTCTTTCAACTTGTTATTGAGACATTAAGCAAATTGGAAGTTATTTCTATATTTTTATTTATATAAACTTTTTAATTTTTGTTTTTTCAGGAAGAAGGGAACTCCTTCATTTAGATTTAACAAGGTCTGCTCCACAGATATCATCATTCTTTCCCCAGATCCATCAAAATGTTCCTTCCCTTCATATTGATTCAAGTAAAACTTTATTTCAGAACCAAAGTGGTTTAAACACTGGAAATTCTTCAAAATTTAGATGTCATTGTGGAAAAAATTTCTTTTCAAAAGCAAATTTGAGAAGACACTATATTACACACACGGGTGAAAAACCTTTTGAATGTAATGTTTGCGGTAAATGTTTCAATGATAAATCAAACATGAGGCAACATCTTTCAGGGCATGCCCTTAAAAATAGTTTAAAATGTATCATGTGTGGAGAAATGTTTGCTAATTATCAGCAAATGCAAAATCATCTTAAAATGCATCATAAGAATTGAATATTCTCTTGAAAATTACTGTTAAGTATTTGTAAAATAACAATTTAATTATAAAAAAGTGCATTTGTTGTGCATTAGAGAATTTTGATGCTCTTATTATTAAAGACTTATTTAAATTTGGCATGTTTTGAAAAATTTGGTTTTTCCCAGAATGGTTTATATTTATGTAAATTATTATAGGTGCCTGTTAAAACATTTCCATAATAATATTAGCACCTTTATAAGTATAATGCTTGTAAATATAATAAGGCAATTCAAAAACTAAGTAATGAGTTTATGATTGAAAAAATAATTTTTCAGAAACATGTTTTTCTCATAGATTGCTGGACGTTCTTTGAATATCAGTTAAAATTTGTTCAGCTTTATTAGATTTACTACTAATTTTATGTTCGCATAATGCATAATTTTTGCTTATATTTTGGATAAAATTCACTCATTTTAACAAAATCTCAATGGCTACTATGAAGACAATGTGTGAATTTTTCAATTTATCCGTGCAATCGTGTTACCTGTTGTACAAAAACTGATTAATTTATTTGTACAATTCAGCAAGCAATTTTTTTCAAGTATGATAATTAAGTGCTGTAAATGATGTGATAGTCTAATTAAAAAATTATAAAACTGGACTTTTTAAAAATGGCTATTATAACAAATTTTCTTTTTGAAATCTGATTTAATAGATCATGCTGTGAAACATTCTGTTAACAATCAGCTATGAATTTTTTTATAATTAAGTTATCCATTTTATCTAAATAATATATACACTGATGAGCCAAAACATTATGACTTTCCCCACATTTTTCAGTGGTGTCTGAATGATGTGGAGGGCACATGGTTAAATGGGAATGGAATTTCATGTCTCAGCTAACAGCCCAAGGCAGTTCTGGGACCCTTGGGACTCTTATTTTTGGTAGAACAGATGATAAAAGCTGTGGATTATTTGAACATCACTCGCACCATTACATGGTGTCTTCCCAAGTGAAAATGGAATCTTCCAGCAGGTTAATACCCCAAGTGATAAGGCTCTAATTATATTGGAATGGTTCAAGGAGCATAAGGATAAATTCTAGTGGATGTCTTGGCTACCTAACTTGCTGATCTTAACCTGATACCACATGTGAGATGTCAGGAACAGGGCTGTTCTTAGCGAGGGTGCGGCACGTAAAAGTACATGGGGGGTGAAAATAAGGAGCAGCTGAACTCGTACCATACCACGACTAAATATTTTAAATTCATTGCAAGTACTTGTCATATGCAAGTACTTTTTATACAATTTTTCACATGCAAATACTTCATTTTATTAATCATGGAGCATTTTTTTTTTTTTTTTTAATTTGGGGGCGGCAATCCATGGAAAGTACGCAGGCAGCCAATGTCCTAAGAACGGCCCTGGTCTGGAAGTGGCAGCTTAGAGCTCAAACACCACCATGTAGGAATATCTTGACTTTGCATGACCACTGCTTAGACATTTGGTGTAACCTATCCCCAATCATCTACTAAGAGCTTGTGGCATCCATGCCAAGGCAACTTGCAGCTGTTTTGCAGGCCAAAAGTCATGCAGCATGTTATTGAGTAAGTGGTCATAATGTTTTGGATTTTCAGTGTATGATAATTTTAAAGTGTGCATTGCTCACATCATCAAAATAATGAACATAGATAAATAATTATGATGATCTGGCTTATGTCATGAGGATTTTTATTTAGAATGAATAATAGCTCTGCAGACAGCAGAAAAATACATCTACACCATCCTGCATTAACTGCATAATATTTTGCTGAATGGCATTACAAATATCTAGAGTTGCATCATACTATTGAAAACAAACATATACAAGTATATCTATATAACAGATTGATGAAATCAGTTTTGTGATTTCCATATGGTGGTTTCACATTAGTTTTGTCTGCAAAACTAATCTGTTACTTTATGTGCAATGATAAGAAGTGATGAGCAATGCCAAATGTAGCCAAATGTTTTAGACTGTTGAATGCTTGGAGTTTGACTTATTTCAATCCCAGGCAAATGGGCTGGCTGCTGTTATAAATATAATAAATCACTTTCCTAGAGAAGCTCAAATGAAGCTTTAATCGACTAAAATTGCACATAAAACAATTGTTACATTGTAAGAACAATATTTAAACTAACAATGATTGTTGCAATTCAATGTAGTATAATTTTAGTGCTGCTAACAATATTAAATATTATACCACATTCACCCCTCCCAAAGATTATTAATAAATTACATAGTCTGCCAGATAAGGTTCCTGATAATTCTTCATTTGAAATTATTTCATCAATTGTTCTTTGGAAAGAAGCAACTCCATTTGTTATGTAGAAATTGATAGAGTTTACCATCAGCTTCAAACACAGTATAGTTTTTCTTTGATTCTTTGATAGGAAACTTGATGATAAGCACTTCTGAGATCAAATGTGCTAAATATTTTATATTTTGATACCTGTGAAATCAACTCTTCAAGTTTGGGAAGAGGGTAAGCATCAGGCATAGTAAATTTGTTTACAGTCTGCGAATAATCTAATACCATTCTGGGTCTATGATGTTCTCATTTCCCAAAAAAAGCTTGAGCACAACAAGGAGAATTACTTGGTTCAATTACACCTTCTTTAAGTAATTTACATACTTCTGTAGCTATGAATGTTCTATCTTCTTCAGTTTGGCGTCTTGACTTTGTAACAATAGGTCTACAATCAGGAGTTAAATTAGAGAACAATGACACAGGGGCTACAAGAGCAGTTGCTAATGAACAAATTCTGAGAGGTGTTCTGTCACCTTTAAATTTTATCTCAACAGAAGAATGATCTTTTAATAAATCATGTCCGATAAGAAAGTCTGCACAGTGGTTTTTCATAATTAATACCTCTACATTAATGTATACATGGATTTGCAATTTGATATTAACTAAAGAACAGCCTGTAACATCTGAGCTTAGAGAAGAGTTAGCCATGGTTATTCTACCAAAACATGGTTTTACTTTAATTCAACATCTTTTTACAAAACACTGATTTATAAAACTTAGTGAACTACTGGTATCAATTAGGGCATTCAGCTGAACTCCATTTACCAGGACTTTAGTTATTGATCTTTCAAGACAGTGAGAAAGCATTGAAGCTGATGCTAGTGTATAAACTGCCGCTGTGGGATTAGTAGTATTGCGTACATGTTTGGATTTGCATAACTTTTGGTAATGGCCTTTTTTACCACATCCTTGACATATTGCATCCTTAGCTGGACAGATACTTCATAAATGAAGGTCTCTGCCAGAAAAGAAACATTTTCTGGATCGAATCTCCTATTTAAATAATTCCTGTACGAGTTCATTATCGTCATTTTTGTTCTCACACTGTTCAACAGCAGCTACCAGTGCTGAGGAAGATATTAAATATGAGGCAGAATGATGTTCAGCAAGTTCTAAGGCTCAGGTTTGATCATAAGCTTTTTCTAACGAAATACTGGCATTTTCTAATAACCGTTCTCAAATGCAGGGGTTCTTCAAACCTCGGATGAATGCATCTCTAATATACTCATGTTTATATTCTTCTGCAGTAACAGACTTAAATTCACAATCCTTGCTCAACTGTTTTAATATTTGTAAATATTCATTTACAGATTCACCTATTTGTTGAAATCTGGATGCTAAATGGTGCCGGGCAAATATTTCTTTTAGCAGTGTGAATCCAGAACATTAATTGCATAGATTGTGAATCATTAATATATTCATAAACACTTGCAGATACGAAATTGCATAACAGCTGTAGTTTTCTTTCTTCAGTTCCCTCCTTCACTTGTGTGAGAAAATTTGAAAAAGTTCTTTTCCAGTGTTTCCATTTAGATTCCGCTCCAACACAGGCAGGGTCAACATCAAATCTTTCTGGTTTCAATAGGTTTTTCATTTTGCAAAAGAATAAAGTATAAATTAATTTTAGTCGATTAAATTGTTATAAATATAATAAATCACTTTCCTAGAGAAGCTCAAATGAAGCTTTAATTGACTAAAATTGCACATAAAACAATTGCTACATTGTAAGAACAATATTTCAACTAACAATGACTTTTGCCATTCAATGTAGTATAGTTTTAGTGCTGCCAACAATATTAAATATTATACCACAGCTGCATGGTTGGTTTTTATCATTTTCTCCATGTGTAATGTGAATACAATCTTTAGAAAGTTTGTGAAAGATTTCTTCCCTCTAGGCAGGTGTCTTTGCAGTAGTGAAGTAAGCTAATCTAACTTAATGTATGCATGGCGGTATTTAGACTTGATAAGTCCCTAAGCTATTTGAAATATGGGGCCCTTTATAAGTCCAGATATTATATGTCAGTGTCAAATATGATTTTCGGATACCTAGAGGGTTTTATGGGGGAGGGCTAAGCTATAGCTTGTGTAGCTTATATGTAAATCCTGCACTGAATGTATGCAATGACTCTGGTAAGTTGGTTGTTTATTTTTTTATTTTTAAATAATTCCTGTACGTATTCCCCCGAGTGACATGGACACCTTTATACACTCATGAGATTTTTTTGTTACATGTGTATATTAACTTATAATTTAAGTTTCATTTCAATTTATAATTAAAATTAGTTAATTCTTGTCAGAAGAAGATGCTTTTTTTTTTCTGCCTTAAAAAAGTGGGGGGGGGAGAAAAAGTAAGAAAAAAGCTTTGTGCATTGAACATCTAAGGATATATTTTCCAAATACAATAAAAAAACAACAAACAAGACTTGTATATGTTTAAGATTAGCAATATTAATTTAAGAATTCAAAACCCTATTAATTCAATTTAAATGTTTAATTCCATCTGAACTTTGTATTACTATTTTTAAAATGATATAAATATCAGTTATTTTGTTCAAAAAACTCTTACAGGCAAAAACATATTATTTTTGGCTATGGAGGTAAAGGATGTATTAGAAGGCTCTCAATTGTTATAATTCTGTAAATATATTATAATCTAACTGTATGTTTATAAAAAAGGAAAAAATTTGAAAAATTTTTGCCTTTGAGCCATGTTTGTATATGAATTTTTTAAAGTGTTAAAATATAGGTGGGAATTTTCCTCTGTTTAATTTCTCATTTTTTATGTCTTTGTATCATTTTGTTCAAACTATGAAATATTTACAATATGGTAGTTTTTAGGTAGAAAATGTTTATTATTTTAATTGACGATTTTAAAATTTTCATGATTTATTATGCACAAGCGAGATTATTTATTGAAAAGATACTCTTCATTGCTTCTTGATAAACAGTTTATACTGATGAGAGATTAAATGGTAGTAATATGTGTTAAATATTTAGATTCATATTACTTTGATTATAAATATGGAATGAAAAAATTATTTCAGAGCTCTAAAAGTATATTTTTTCACCTTCTTTTCTTTGATTGAATTTTATTTGCAACTTGTACTTGAAAATTCCTTGTATTAGCATATTTTAGTTTATATTTTTCGTACTAATAGACATTTATGAGTATTGTTATTATTTTCATTATTATTATTCCAAATGAACAATAAATTACGTATTATAATTTTTAAGTTGTAATGATTAACATCTTTACTAGTTGCTTTATGTCCAGAAAAATTTCTGACATAAGACAACATAATTTTTGAAGTGATGAGCAATGCACCTGTGGAGCATGCTTCATGCATTAACAGCATGCTTCACCCAGGAAATATTTATTTTGTATACTTTCTGAATGAATAATGCTCAGAAACTTTAACCCCTTAACTGCCGCGGGCGTATATATACGCCTTGCTCAGCCGATGCGTTAACTGCCCCAGGCGTATATATACGTCCTTCCAAACTGCTATCATTTGCTTTGCACTGCTACACCTAAAATTATTCGCAAAGTTAACGCATCGGCTGAGCAAGGCGTATATATACGCCCGCGGCAGTTAAGGGGTTAAATTAAGGATAGTGCTCAGAAACTAATAAATACATTTATAATTTTTACTCAATAAACTCTGCATTCATAATTTGTTTGAAGTAAAAATTGTGAATGTGATTAAAACTGTACTTTCTGAATGTTAAAATTTTTATTTAAATAAGTCATTTTTGAAATCTTCTCTTTTATTTATTGAAATTATCTGTCGATTGCAAAAAGTAAATTTTACTTCAGGCCTTTTTTTATTATTTGCATACTAAATTAATGAAGTTTGGTGTGCAAATGTGTATATTTTATGCAATTAAGTATTGTATATATTTTTCAGGCCATTATGCATTAACTTCAAGCATCATTACAAGTAATGAAAAATTGCAAAATAGTTCGCAGAATGATAACTTTTTACCAGTGATGTCTGGAAATATTCTTTTTCCAAGAAAGCAAAGATTATTACATTGTAATCATTGCCATAAGGTATTTGCATCACAATCAAAACTGAAAGTTCATTTTCTTGTGCACACTGGTGAAAAGCCTTTTGCTTGTGAAATCTGTGGGAAAACATTTAGCCAAAAAGGAAATTTAGCTCAGCATTATACCCTTCATACTGGACAGAAGTATTTTAAATGTGAATTGTGTGAACGGCAGTTCAATCGCAAAGATAGATTACGGATGCATAGTTGTCTCGGACAGAGTAATACTATGCTTTAAAGTCCAAGATGAGTTAAAATAAAGTGTCAGCATTTTTTGTTGCTATTATTCATTTTTTGTTTTATTGAATTCATTCTCACTTTTTATGTATATGATAAAAACTGAAAAATGATATGTCTAAATATTTTCATAAAATTACTTCAAATTATGTAGTACTATTATTTGTTTCATCTTTTATATAGAATTAATCATAAAAAGGTATTAAGTTATATATATAAATGCTATTTTTAAGATATGCACAAATCTTCCTCACTTCTAATCATTAATAACATAGCTGTCTACCTGTAGTATATCCACATCTTCATTTTAAACTATTTTTAGTGAATATTTTCTTTTATAAGCTATTATATTGCTGTTTATTGTACAAATGCAAAGTGTAAACACATGAACAAATTTTGTAATTTTTTTAAAAATCAAACTGAGCATAAGCATAAAGCTATAAATATGTATTACATCTAACACAAATGTGTGTTTTCTTAATTACTACTTCATGTGCTAAATTTAGTATGTTTATATATATATATTATAGAAACCATTACTTTTTTTAAAATCAGGTTCATAATGCTAATGTCAATATTAACATCTGTTATGAATAATTTATATTGATACATTATTTGGTATAATTTTGCAGAGTATAAAAGTTACTTTATTAAAAATTTGGGTACTTTTCCGTTTCGCCGGCGCAAATCTCGCCAAGCAGACTTTATTGGCGACAACATACATTATACACACAAAAAATATTAAAAAAATGTTAGTCCTAAGAATTCTTTTTTTGAAGGCATAAACATTTTAATATCGCTTAAAATTTTATAAAAAGCCAATAAATAAAGACAATAAATTTATAAAAAGACATTAATTTAAGAATTTACTATGCTTTCATGGTTCAACATCCTGTTTCGCCGGTTTCATATCACGTGACCCCAAGCGATCTCATCTCACGTATAACTACTCTACAAAAATCTAATGCTCTCAGTAATTATCTACATTAATTTCAAGTTAAATCTTAATTTGGAATACAAGTTTAAATGCAAGAAATACTTCAATTCGTACGAATAACTTACTCAGAAATTATGTAAAACTGCGGTGCTTTACTTCGCTAATGCATTCTCATTAGAATTGATGAATTTAACCCTTGACTTTACCTTTTCTATATTTTCGGCTTCGGGTAAGCGCTGTGATTGCATCCTAATTGATTTAATTGCCGAAAATGGCCTTAGACATAAAACTGAACTATCTGAATGAGGCGTAAAAGGTTACCAGCGAGAATATTCCGTTTGGCATCAGTTGTACCATTATTGGCGACTTTATCGCTTACGCCGGCAAAACGGAAAAGTACCAAAATTTGAACTTCTCAATGTTAAAAAACTTTAAACTTCTTGAAAATTTTTCTGTATTTAAAAATATTTATTAAATTTTCAAATAAAAACACTGTACCAACTTGAAATATCAAAATTTTAAAATAATTTTGAATAACTAAGTGGTTTAGGCTTTAAAATTAAGCCTATTTATAGTTTAAAGTTTTTATCAATTTTTCAAATATGCATGTGTGCATCTCTCTCTATATATATACACTACATATGTATAATATCTTTGTGCTGCTATTTAACTTGATGATAGATTGAAAAATCAGTTGCAAGCATTAAATTGTGATATTTATGTATCAATGAAAAATTAAGCTTTGAATTAAATTATGGGAATTGAAAATGTAAAAACGGTGTAAAAGCCAAGTATGTATATTGTATATGTTGAAAAAGGTGAGATTAGTAAAAAAACGAATTCTTTTTTAAATGTAACCCTAAGTAAGTATAAAACTTATATCATATGATGTAAACGCTGGGGAATGCAAGAATGCTGAATAACTGCATGGCTAGTTTATCTTTTCAGAGAAGTTATAATTAGACTTAAAGAACTGACCTTTCAATTAATGTTACAATTATAATTATTTTATTGGTTATTTCTTATGTATTGCTAGTTTTGTGTAATTTATTACTTATCTTGTTGATTTCCTTTTGATTGCAGTATAATCCTTTTATATGTATTTTCTGGTAGAGTGTAAATTATGTGATTATAATAAAATTATTTACTATAGTATTATTTGCATTGTGTTTGTATTCTGAATTCAGCAGTATGTTTATAGTTTTATGGTAATACATTGCATGGCTAATTTATTTCATTAAGAAAGCAAAAGTTAGATTTGTCATGAGAGATTGTGAATTGCCTTTTTTTTAATAATTATAATTATTCTTTTAGTTTATGTATTAATTGAGAATATGTACTAGCCGATTCCTGCTTCCTTGTTGAAATAAGTTTGTGCAATTTCAAATTTTCTGTATATATATTTTTTTGGCAGTTCGTTTCACACCATATTTTTTAGTGTGATTTTATGATTTTAGTATTATTCCTTATATCTTTTATTTATTGCTTTTACATATGTCAGCACCTCTACTATTTATATATGCATTAATCTTTTATATTTATGTCTTTTTCATATTCATTGTCCATGATTTCATTCAAAATTTAATTCTTCATCGGTTCATATTATCATCTTTTAATATTTACTGAATCAGTTTTTCTATATTTGTATATACAAGAATCCCCCATTTAACACATTTTTTATGTTAACATGATGTATTGTAACCTTATTTTACATAATACAAGATGAATTTCACTTAGTGAAGTAAAAGCAAAACTTTATAAAAGTTGCTAATTACAGCTAAATAATGTATATTTTCCAATTTGTATGCTTGATTTAAATTTTAAAAAATCTACTGCAGAGTGTGTTAAGCCATTTTTAAAAAGATTTCAGAATCATTTAATTAAAGTTCAAAATTTAAATATTTATTATATAAATGTTCATATTGATTGCCTGTTTTCTGGACTGTAAGTCTGCATAGTGTTCCCCCCCCTTTTTTTTTTTTTTGTAAAATTTCCAATTATACTGCTTTTCATTCATCATTAACTTCTTTCCCAAATCCACAATCATGATAGGTTATGGACTTAAAAATAGCTCTTTCAGCAGGTCAGAGCATAATAGTCAATAGGTGAACTGTTTGGGGGTTTCACTGGAATACCTTGAAAAGGTATACAGGTAATACCTGAACAACCTTCATTTTTTTTAGGAATGCAACTTTTGCTTTCACAGTAATGCGACGATTTTTGTCTTGGTTCAAGACTCATTGAAAGTTGTTGGAATGATGAAATAGAATTTCTTCTGTAATTATAAGATGTATAACTTTTCTCTGATTGTATTATGAACTGATTTTTTTTCACTATTATTTTTAATCTTATATTGTAGGAAAAACTACAATAGTCATAAAAACTTTATTAAATCTTCCTTTGCATTGTCAAAACAGTTTATCCATTTTTTTACCATTATTTCTGATAATAAGTACACTTTTTACTGTTTAAGTAATTTATGTAAACTTATGCTTCATCAAGGGTGATAATGTGTTTCTATTTCATCTTCAGCTGAAATTGTGTTTATGCAGAGCTTCATACTTTTTCCTTTATTCACTCAAAAGCCTTGGCAAAACGCAGCAAACATTTTGATTTTTAGCTCTTTTTTTAAGGTGTAAATTTTATTATTTTGTTTATTGCTGCTACAGAGGTATTTAAAGACTAAACTTAATTACGCATCACTGAATTTTCTCTCGGTACCACAGAGTTCACTTTAGATACAGTACATACCTCTCTGGATATTTGTTGAAAGTCTTCGCATGTATAAATAATGATTAATGCTTTTTCCTTTTCTGATCAATAACTTGAGAATTTTGCTCTTCAAAATTTTAAAATCAGGCATTTTACTATGTTATATAATTGAAAAAACAATAATTCACTTCAAAAAAGGACAAAAGCATATACTTTGAATAATAGCTCATTTACTTGTGACATTTTGAAAATAGAATAAATTTCAAGCTAGTAAATAATATTTCTATTTTCAAATTATATGCTACTGCCAGATGTTTTTATTGAATAACAATTACATTTTAAAAATCTTTTACTGAAATAGTTCTAATAATTTGTTAAAATTGTCTGTAACACAAAGATACTTGAAATTATTTCTATAGAAATGTTAGTTGTAGTTAGCAGCTGGTCACAAGGAATGATAAAATTGCAGCCATTGGACATGAATTAGGTTTCAAAGAAGTAAATTTTTGCAAAGGGATTTCTGTATAGGTATTGCAACGTATATTATCATTTTTCAGTGTATAATTTTCTTCAATAAGAATATTTTTGGCTACAGTGGTTTTGCATATAGCAGGGAAAAATAAATAGAACATTAGAGACATATTCTGTTAACATGGGACACTTTGACATTTTCCATTTTATTCCTTAATATAATTTCTGAAATAGAATTTATGCTCTGTCTAAACAGACAAAAAGAAAAGAAGTAACTGAATCTTAATCTTTAAGTTTTAATTTACATAAAAATTTCTAATTTAAAAAAAATCACATTTTGTAGTTTTGAGAGTGTTTTTAATTTTTGAGCAGAATTTAAGCAGTATTCTTCTTTTAAAATAACTATTTGAATTACATTTGGAAGCTTGAAATATTTCTAAATTTTAAAATTTTTGTGCTTTTAATTTGCATTATTATGTATTACCTGTCTGGAGTAAAACATAATTTGTATTTCAGGCTTTTATGCTTTAACCTCTGCTATAAACATAAATGACTTTCCTTCTTTAAATTGGTCTGAAGATGAACAAATGAATAGCTGTCTTCTAGAGAGCAATCAGAAAACACTTCCCTGGAAAAGTCGAAGAATGTTCCCATGCAGTCATTGCTCAGCAGTATTTTCATCAAATTCAAGTCTTAATCTTCATGTCCTTGTCCATACTGGAGAGAAACCTTTCATATGTGATATTTGTGGAAAGGAATTTAGACAGAAAGGACATTTAAAAGTTCACTATACTCTTCATACTGGGCAAAAGAATTTTAAATGTAGCACATGTGGACGCCAATTTAATCGCAGGGATCGACTGATGGTGCATACCTGCTCTCATAAAGGAAAACATAATATGTAAAATTATGTTTAATCTTCTGAGTTTATTTGCTTTAAAGTTATGATGACCATTCTTATTACATTCATCTCACTACATCTCGTTTTAAGTTTTTTTGTTAATGTTGTATATAAAACATATCTAAATGCTGATTTATCTTTAGGATTGGTACTAAAAAGGATGAGTTCAATTTTAATAAACCATAATTTTATGATATAATAGTAAAAAAGAAATATCCTTAAAGAAAAGTTTAATTCCAGAAAATATTATTTGAATGAGGCAGTATAATCGACATTTACATTTTGTAGAAAAGTTTTGGAATATATCATACATCTTTTTTAAGTATTTGAATCTGTTTTAATAAAATAACATTAATTCCAAGCATACTAAGTAGCCTTTTTTTAAGGGGAACTTTTTAAAAAATCCAAAAATATTAGACTTAATATTTCAGCAATGTCTTACATGTTGTAGATAAGAAACAGAAAACAAATTTTAGCATGGACATAGATTTCCTCCCTTCCCCTTTCTTTTTCTTCTAAATGAGAATAAACTTTTGCATCAAAAATGTAAAACTTGCTAATGTTTCTGCATGTAGTCGATGAATATTAATAAATGTAAAAGTACACAACTAATTAATATTGTATTCAAAAACTTTTATTTTTAATTAAAATGACTTAATCTTCTTGTAATAATATAACTTTTCTTTATTTCTTAAATTCTTTGCATTATGCTTTTAATTAAAGTTTAAATAAAAGTTTTGTTTAAGACAAAAACTGCTAAGCATGCAGACCATTGCATTATCCAGATTGATGTAGAAACAGATAAAATAATAACATAACTTTATAATAGCTTCTTAACTCTCCTTTTTAATTTGATTATTTCACCTTTCTGCCCTGAAAACGGTATTATGTTAAAATAAATCTCTCTGAATTGTATCATTTTAAAATTAGTGCTTGTCACATAAGTATCATAATGAAGTTGAACCAAAACTGAATCAACTGTAATCTAATTGGAATTGATGCATTTTTCTTTCACTTGCTGCTCTATTACCTTTTTCTACTAAAATTTATTATTATAAAAATATAAAAAAGGCACAGATATGATCAAGAATTGCCATGCAGAAACATTAGATATATTTTTAAAAGAACTGATATTATTTAGAGACTACTTATGAGTTCAACAATATGCAAATAAATAAATAATATTTAAATAGTATAAAAATATTAAAGTTTACTAAAGCAATAAAGAAAACTAACCCTTTGCATTATGAGAGACTCATTTTAAGGGATGTGACCCATGATTTTTTGTAGCTGAGTATTTTTCTGACTGAAAACAGCAAATTGGTGCATATATCTTTCTAGAAAACATTCTTTGGCTGAGGCTGTCTTATAACAGAAAATATCCAAATTTTTATTACTTTTCCAAAGAATTTTTTTTTTAATTTTTTATTATCTGTATCAGCAGTTGCAAAGATTATTTTTTAAAAAAAGAGAGAAATGTAAATACAGTCAAAAGTCTTTAATCCAGACTCGTCGGGACTTCGGCGATTCCGGATTATAGATCATCAGTTTAAATCTGGTAAGATGGCATGCAGAAATTATAAAATTAAAAATATGAAACCGTAATTTATAAAATAATGAGCAATTATGATCTAAGTATCTATCAAAATTTACAAAAAAGAAGCTTAATATTTATTTGTTTACTTTATTAAACATTTCTTTCAACGCGCGCGTGCATAAAGCATACCTTACGCATAGCCGAAATTAGAAAATTGCAACCAGAAAACTATTTGATTTGTATTCGTGATATTTATAATGACGAGGAATTTGATTTAAATAATATCAAAGACGGAGTACATCGAGATTAAATACTACATTTAGTAAGGAATTATAAGCTGAATAAAATAAAAACATCTGCCCTGAAGATAACGATAGTGCTGACAGATCAACTTCCAGTTCATTACACGTCCCCCCCCCCCGCGCAGAGCAGCGTGAAATTGATAAACAGATTTCAGAACGGTTAGATAAACAAAGGATATGGCTTTATCCATTTTTTGTTTGATGGACATCGAAACATACTTTCGTTTTCTAGATCCTTTGGGAGCTCCAGCATCGGAAATTCTATTTGACATAATTGAAAGTTCAAGCTTACTTTTATAAAATTGCTCTTACAGTCTGCAAAAAATAATGAGCCGGATCCAGTTCGAAGATTAAGGAACAACTCAATCATCAACATTAACTGAAATAGATAATTAGAGCTTATACCGTCCGTTATACATTAAACGTGCACGCGAAAACATATTCTGCACTTGCGCAAACGCATATGCGCAGTCGTAAATGTCTTGCGCGCACGCGTAAAACCCCTATGTGCTGTGCAGAAAGATTTTAGCTTTGAGGTCCGGATTATAGATCATTCCGGATTATGGCTGTCCGAATTAACGACTTTTGACTGTATAGTTCTTTTCCAAGAAAACTTATTCTCATATAAGATGCTTGTGTTATATTTTTAAAGTAAAATGTACTAATTAAGACACAATAACACGCCGAACAGATACTAATTCAGAAGTGAAACAACAAAAATCAGCATTATATTTTCAAATTTTCACAGGACTAGTTTGGATGGTTTTACCAAACCATCATCCTCTGCTGCAAAAGTGCAAATGAGATCAAAACATTTGTTCTCATTTGCTAACTTGTCGATCGAAATTTTTTCATTTTAACTAACCTCTCTGTCACTTTCTTTATGCCTTTATCCATTTTTTGCAGCAATTCCACTTTTTGTTTGATGGACATATTTCGCTTTGTAGATCCTTTGGCAGTTCCAGAATCGGAAACTCTTTTTGACATAATCGAAAGTTCAAGCTTACTTTTTATAAAATTGCTCTAACAGTCTGCAAAAAATAATAAGCCGGATCCAATTAGAAGATTAAGGAATAACACAACATTAAATAGATAATTTACGCATGCGCAGAAAGTTTGTAGCTTTGAGCTCCAGATTATAAATCATTCCGGATTAAAGACTTTTACTGTACAAATATTAACTAATTAAACATTTCTTGAATCTTTTAAAATATAGTAGATTATGACAATTTAGTTGAAATATAATTTAATTATAAAAATTGTTTAAAAGTCATAGATGTGGAAATGGAATTTGCACATCTACACCTACCAAATTCAATAAATAAAATTTATTGGTAGGAAACATTTTCTTAGTCAAAACTATGAAATTTGGTGATCTGCTGGGAAAGGTTATGAAAAATCAGGAGCCTGTTACATTTCCATAATGTAATTTTCACAGAGTGGCAGTTAAAAACAATGTGTAGCTGCATGAAATAGCTTTTAATCTATTGACAATATATCTGTAATAAAAATGTCAAAGTAATATAATATATTATTTAATATGAAATGCATTTTACATTACCTCAAAATACCTTGAATTAAATAGTTACTTATCCTAAAAGAATCTTGAAATGCAAAGGGCTTATATTTTGTATTTTTATAAGAATAAAAAGATTGAATGACAGGGAATATTTCAGATGACAAAAACTAACTGCAAGAAACATATAATGCAAAGAGTATATAGATTTTATATTACAATTTTACAGACTTAAGAATCAAAAAATGAAAAGTATGCTCAGATAAAAAGCTTGCATTTTTTTTTTTAATTTAAATTTCAAATGCAGAAAGCTTGTGGTCAGAAGCCTAAGGCTTTGAAATGTAATAAATGCCATCAAATATTTTAATTTTTATTAGCTCTATCTTAATGGTACAGTTCATACGAGGGCCATCCAGGAAGTAGATTACGTTTCCGTCTGTGTCCGCTAGGGGCGGGGCTAGCGCGGCCATCTTTGGGTCAGAGCGTTGCGCAGCTCAGTCTGCATCTAGCCGTGCTAGTGAGAGGTTCGTGCTGTGCTCCGTTCAGATACTGTGACGGTTTGAAATGTCTGCGTTAATTGAAAATCCCGCGAGGTGCGCTCAGTAATAAGGTTTCTGACTGCAAAAAACTGTAAACCGATAGAAATCTATCGGCAGCTTCGTGAAGTGTATGGGGACAAACATTATCACTGAAGGTGGAGTGCGTCAGTGGGTCATAAGATTTCAAAATGGCCGAACCAATGTTCACGACGAAGATCGAAGTGGGAGACCCAGCATAGTGACCGCCGAACTTCTCAAAAAAGTCGATGCTAAAGTCCGTGAAAATCGAAATTTCACAATAACGGAACTTTCTTTGAGTTTTCCACAAATTTCGCGAAGTTTGTTGCACGAAATCATCAGCGAAAAGCTTGGTTACCACAAGTTTTGTGCAAGATGGAAGGCAAGAAGAGGTAACGAAGTGGTTGAAGGCGCAGGCGGCCGAATTTTTCGACGAAGGAATTTCCAAGCTCGTACATCGCTACGATAAATGCCTTAATTTGTATGGTGACTATGTAGAAAAGTAGTATTTGAGTGTGGCTTTCATCTGTATATAATAAAATTTGTTTCCTATACTTTGTTTATTTTTTTATTCCAAAACGTAATCTACTTTCTGGATAGCCCTCGTATGTTAGAATTTTGTGCTTTTGAAATAAAAAGTTTGCATTATTATGTTAATATGATTATATCATTTTCATTCAGAATTGTTAACACTGCGGTAAAATGAAATTATTTCTATTAAAAGAATGCATTTTATACATTTGAAGGAAATTTTATAATAATTATTTCAGTGAATCATGCTAAACTTTTGAAAGAATAAATGTCATGCTAAAATTTTGAATTATGTACCTGATGTAGTTTAATTTTAGTTTTATTCATAAGAATATTTATCAAATGCCAAATATTTGTCATAAATCTATGTATTTTCCAGTATCTCTGAGTAGTATACTTAAAAATCTTTCAGTGAACTGCAGCTATCCATGATTTACAGAATAGTATGCTATTCAGATGAATTAATTTCAACTAGTTTATTTTTAATAAAAAACGTGCATTATACATCAACAAGGAGTAATTTGAGTCTTAAAATGCAAAGAGTAATTTTTTAAAATTATTAATATAATGTTTAAAACCTTGTATAATTTACTTTGAAAGTGATATTCATATATGTACATGCTTTGAACTTAGTAGCTTAAATTTTGCACCCAGAAGTACTGGGAAACAATATGGCTAAGTGACAAAAACTCGGTAGTTGTAAATAAATGAGATATTCAGATGATATTTTACTTTCTTCATAAGCTTCAGATGTCATATAAAAGTAATGTAGTAGTTTGCTGTTGTTGCAGAACATGCTTTTATCGAGTTCTGAATCTGATTATAAGATCTTAAGACATTCCATTTGCCATAGTCTAAATTTTATTGTAAATAATCCAAATTTTATTGTGGAGCAAAATAAAAAGAATTTGCTTTCAGTGTCCTTTCAGTAATGATTTATGAATTCATTTTAAGTGTTGTTTGAACTAAAATAAATTTAATGTAATTAAAATAGTTAGCCTTTTCATATGACACTAAAGTTATAAATGCTAAATAAAGATATTCTTTTGTGGTTGTTCAGCTATTTTAAAATTCCTGATTATGTTATTATAATCTAGGTTCTTATTTCTTAAACATTGACAACATATCTGTAGTAAAAGTATCAAATGTGACAAAGCTATTTATGAATACTACTACTGCCAGTAACTGTAATGATGATTTATTAAAAATACACTTCCTATCCCCCCCCCAAATAAAAAAATAATAAATCTGGAAAAAATAGTGAATTGTGATTAAACTGATCAAAGACATTGGGGAGACGGGTATAGGTTATAGCAAGGCCAGCACCTATGCATTCAAGTAGGCATATTAGGTATCTCCAGACCTTGCTAACTGCTACGTTTCCACCCAGATGGAATTCTGAGGGAGAACACTCCCCGAATGTAGTCTGGGGTTCTCCCACTCTGCTTTCCCTACCACCAAGAGTATTTTGGTTTGCCATGTATTTTAACCCTTAGCGCTCTGTTGGCTCTGCTACGGAGCCATCCGTCATTTGTTCCGTAACTCCGTAGGCTCCGCTGCGGAGCCTAGTGTTCTTAGCATGATTAGGCTTAAGATGTTATGGAATCGTCGGCGTTGGCAATTATTATCTGTAGTTAAAACGTGCTCAGTCTTGCTACTGTTACGATTGAAACATTATTTGGCCCATTTTATGGTTAGCAACATGGAGAAAAATAATTATTGTGATGAGAATATAGAGCTGAGTGATATAAAAGATGTATTTGATTTTTCATTGTTAGAAGATATTGTGGAAGACAATGTTGATTATAATTCTGACACTTCAAGTAGTGATTCCAAAATTATACTACCAAAGAGACGATGAATGGTAGTTATTGAAAGTGAAAGCGAAGAGTCGCCGGAAGACTTAGATGAATGGCGATGTCACAGAAGAATTAGATATTCCGAATAGAATACATTTTAGTATATCGTCAAAGGTCATTGGACCACAAATTCTTACAAATATTGTACAGCTAACACAATATTCCAAATTATTTTTAACAAACAAACTGGTAAATGAAATTATAAAAGAAACCAACAATTACACAGAAATGTTCTAAAGAATAAAGAAATATCTAGTAATTCTATTTGGAAAATGTGGCATGCAGTGGAAGAGGATGAGTTGTGGGCTTTTACTGGAGTTATTATCAATATGGGTACAATACCCCTGGCGAATATGAAGGATTGTTGGTCAGTTAAGGAGAATAGTCACATCCCTTTCTTTGGTAAGATATTTACAAGAAAGAGATTTATGCAGGTATTCTAGATGCTGCATTCCACTGTGAAAATGTGCCGGAGTTGCTGGTAGGCAGTGGTACAAAAACATGCGGGCCGCTAAGGATTAAGTGCTCCCTTGCTGCATGGACACTATACACTTACAAACATCCATGCATTCTCTGGGATTTGAACCTGGGTTATTCGATATGGTAGTCAGTGTCACTAACCACTGTCTGGCGGCACAATTCTGGAAGCAATGAGGAAAACATGAGAGGATCAGTAACATCATTAACATTGCATTAAGAGTGGTCCAAAAACATTGCAGGTTAATATAGAGTAAAACTGCCTCACTTGTCGATACACGCAGAAACATGATGTGGCATAGATGCATACAGGCATCTAATCAGAATTTAAAATTTTTATTCTGTTGCTAATAGATATTAAATCCAATTTTGAATTTTTTACTGAGAGGGGTGTAAGCAAAAGTTAATTTTACTATCATAAAAATGAAAATAGAAATAACTAATTAATCTTTATAGCAGGAAGACTAAAATTTTGGATGCAGATGAATAAATTGATAGATATGATCTTTAATATCTGTACTTTATATAGAAGTTTACCCAGCTACCTTTTGTGATGAATTAATACTATCATTAAATTAAAAAGCTGCAAACATAAAATTGAGAAAAGATATTACGGTAAACCTTAACCAACCCAAATTTGCAGAATATGATTTTACACATACACATGTTAATTCTTTCCATTTAATTTACCCAATGCTAGAATTTCATTCATACACAACTCTGCATTTGTGAGTGTCACTAAATGCTTGCTGGCATCATCTTTGGCCAGAAGTTGTCAACAATTTTAAAGAACTATCAACTGAAAATGAAGCCAAAGAAATTGTACAAAGTGCAAAAGCAACATAATCAAGAATGAAAAATAGTGAAGAAGATAAAGAAAGCGTTTTTTAATTACAAGAAGTTAAATGAATTTAAAGTATGTTAAAGTCACAGAAATTATCCAATTTTGCAATGAAGATCAACCAAATAAAAAATCACGATAACATTTTATGAGGAAAAAACTCTGCTATATTTACCTTTAAACATTTTAAGAGTTGCATCAATCATTCTCCCTAGCAAAAATCATTTCAATCAATATTTGTATAAGTTTTTCTGTTTTAATTACAATATTTAGATACATTACAATATTTAGATTTGTTTAAATTTACCTACTTGAGTTTTTTCCCATAAAAAGTTACCTTCGCAGAGTGTAATTTTTCGTGTGTAACCCCTGTGTTCGGCAAGGGTTTACTGCATACTGAAGTTTAGCAACCTAAGCATTGATAAAGATTTCATTTGGAATTATTCCTAAGTGAGAAACTTGTATAGAAAAATTTGGCTACATATGTTGGCATTTAATGCTTTTTAATATATTCCTTTTCTCAAACTAAACATTATACAAATGGTAAGAATGCTATTAATTTTTTCTTAGTGTACTAAATTGATTAATTCTCAAAATCATGATGATTTTTAATATCTGTTTCTATAATATTGCATTGTTTGAAACCTATGTATTAAGAGAAAGGAAATCTTTGCATTATATGAGAATATTTTTATAAGTTTTAAAACTTTTTTTTGTATGTGTGTATTTTTACAAATGATATAAATATATATGTTAGATTTAACAGTTTTTTTGTCAAATTAATTGTGTTCTCTTTATCTTTTTATTATTATTATTATTATTTGTAGATTTAACATGTGTTTTTAATAAAATTTTTCAGATGGTGTTTATAGCGACACAGATAAATTGATACCTAATTTTCATTATCAGACAAGAAATGAAAATTATGATGCAGGATTAGGCAACAGGAAAGAGCCTCCAGAAAAGAAATATCAATGTGGAATTTGTTCCTATATGTTCAGAAGCATGTCTCATTTGAAATCTCATTTATTGATACATACTGGAGAAAGGCCTTTTGATTGTCCTATATGTGGAAGAAGTTTTAATCAAAAGAGTCATGTGACTGCTCATGTTCAAACGCATACAAAACCATTTAAATGCAAAATTTGTGACAGGAGATTTAGTCGAAAAAAATCATATGCGACTCATATAATACATTGTCATAAATAGTTTAATTTCTTATTTTGGGAAAGAGATTACAGTTAATTTTAAAAACTGTATTCCATTTCATGTTACCTTTATTTATGTGTGTTTGATTAATGCAATCATTTTTAAGAAGATAAGTTCTTTTATAGTAACTCTGTCAGTATCCATAAGTTTATATACAACTTCAATTGTGATGGCAAATTCTTGTCTCTCCTTTTTTATCAAGAAATATCTCATCTTTCAACCAGTTCCTTGTCGAAATTTTTGATTTTTGAAGAGAAACATTGAAAATAAATGAAAAAAAAAAATCTAATTCATAAAAAAGGTAATACACTTAATTTTAATTCATAAACTGAGGCAATACTTAATGATTCTATAGGGTACTTTTAAAAACCAAAATAATAATTTGTAAAAACAAGTAATTCATAAATTGAGTTTTATAGAAACATGGGTCCACTGTATAGTGAAATTTGTATTGTTAATAAATGTGAATGATTTTGTAAACTAAAGTAAAAATTTTTAAAAACATTTGCCAGTTAGGAGTTTTTATTCATGGTACTTTGTGTACAAATTTTCAAAGATATGGTAAAAATCTGAATATTAGAATAATTTAAAGACTAAATGAGCTTCTCTCCCCTTTTCTAAATATTTCCTAAGAGTTTTTTTAATACAATAATATTGCAGTTTATTATTATTATTAAATTAATGAATGTTTATTATACTAAGAATGCATTTGATCGAATTATTTAATTTTAAACATTATCATATAATTTTTTTTCTTTCATTTTATATGAATAAAAAATTACTTGCCTTTCAGGCTGTTTGCCAACAGCCAAATAGTTGTGCTTCATTAAACAGCTGGAAGCATGAAAACTTAGAAAAACGCTTAATCGAAAGAAAAGGCAAGTTTCAGTGTAATTACTGCCCTAGGAATTTTAAAAATTAAAAATTTAAAGCATCACTTTCTTGTGCATACTGGTGAAAGGCCTTTCACCTGTGACATTTGGGGAGAGACTTTAATCGAAAAGGAACTTTAGTCTTACATAATACAATTCACACAGCACAAAAGTATTTTAGATGTGAATATTGTGGAAGACAGTTTAATTGAAAAGATAGATTATGTAGGCATGTTTGCACTGCCTAAAGTAATGCTGAATTTAAAATTTTAAGTATGTGATAAGATAAATAATAAGCTTTCTTTATGAAAATTATGCTTTTCTGAAGTTCTGCCCCTCCTTTCCAATATATCATTCAGTTTTTATTTTCATATTTCAGTGTTTCTTCAACAAAATAATATGTCGCTGGTTGTAACAAACGTTTCTGCCAAAAACGTTCTTCAATAAAGTTCAAGGGGGGGACCATGAAAGCAGTATGGTTAGTAAAGCATCCTCCCTAAAGTATGACTTTCTGCCAACATTCTGGTGTGTTTTTAAAGCCTTTAGCACAGAAACTTGGAGGCTGTGAGTGCAAAAACAGATCAACCTCATTTTGGATGTCCTGTGCAGAATGGAAGATAGCACCAGCAAGATGTAGCTGCAGGTGTGAAAAAAAAGGCAGAATTCCAATGATGTGATGTCGGGGTATATGGTGGGTGTGGCAAAAGATACCATATGTTTTATTTATTGTAGATATAATATTAGTTTATTTTTTCCAAGCGGATTGGAGAGGAATGACCATTTCTAAAGCACTGAAAGTGCTACACGAATTGCTTTCAGATAGTGAATCTGATACGGATACCAACACATGTGCAAAACATGCAATATTGGGTTGTGCTTTTTCAAAGGTGGTGTCACTTTCTTCAAAAAGTACCACAATGAAAAAAATGGTATGTCATAGCTATATTAAATATGTCTACATTATTTAATGTATGCTTATAAAACTGTTTGCCTAAAGACAAATGATTATACAGTACAAAGTCCGAAATCTGGACTTCGGTGATTCCGGTTTTGGGATTTTTCCGTTTTTCCGGATATTAGATCATCAATTAAAATTTAGTAACATGGCATGTAGAAATTATGAAATTAAAAATATGAAATCGTGATTTATGAAATAATGAAGTATTTATGATCTAAAGGGTATCAAAATTTACCAAAAAGGCTTAGTATTTATTTGTTTACCTTATTAAACATTTCTTTTAATGTAAATTGTTTAAGTTCCTTCGTTTTTTGTGCTAATACTTTCTCTTTAATTCTGTAGACAGACATAACCTTGAAGTACCGAAACTACTGTTTCGAAAATTCCGATTAACTCGTCAATCGAAATTTTCTCGTTTTCAGTAATTTCTCTGTCACTTTCTTCACTATTGCTAGCGATATTTTTTGGATCTAGAACCATACTACAGATTTCGCCATTCATTAATGATTTATGATTGAGAAGCATTGTCATCACAATGAAAAACTTCCTTTTATATCATCTTCATTTATTGCCGCTTCTCCACATTTTACAAAATCTGTAAAATCCTAGAAGAGCCCACCCCCTTGGTGACAAACCTGGAAACTGCAGAATCACCCACTGCTTCGCACGTTTTTCAAATTCGCCAACTTGAAAATAACAAGTCAAAGAATTGCACAAACTCGGTATCCATGTACACATCGACCTATTTTTGCTTAAAAATAAAAACAAAAAGAGAATTGCAGAAACTTGGCATTCCACACTCCCTTGATTTTGTCAATGTACACATCGATACACGCCAAGGGTGTGGGCTCTGCTAGGATCCAACCACAAAATTCATTAATTGGAAAATTTCACCTTTGTTTTGTGATATCCAAAGACCTTTAAAATTAGTGGCCATCATCATCAAATTTAGCTTGAAAAGAACAAGCTATACATATTTGGCTATGCATCACGAGCTTGACAACTAACAACAAAATGTTCCGTTAAATTTTATCTTGCTTCAATCGTGCACTGAGACAATTAAACCTGAATTGTATTAGTTATTTATTGTGCTTATGTCTATTTCTTGAACAAGCTTAAGGCTTATCAGAGTTCTGAATAAATAAATTCCCACATATACTAAATGTAATCTTTGGGTCTATGGGTATCATTAACAGAATTTATTTTTAGCATATGGAAAGAAATTGTTAAATTTTTCGTCAATATGTTTTAGCGCATTTAACTTAAATCTGTAATCATCGCTAAGCGTAATGTCAACATAAAAGGTTACCACACGCATTTATTACTCAATTATTAACATAAAAAATTTGTTTATGCATTACTACATGAGTCATTACTCAAGTTGTTATGTTTTGGTAAACATGCGGTGATGAAAGGAAAGTATAATAAATAATGATTCGCCAGGTTGGCGTCAGATCGACAATGTATCTATGTGGAATGTTTCAGTTTGAGATGTGTGCCAAAGCACATAGGCAACAACGGAGCCAAATTACTGACAAAGCGAAATTAAGAATCAGGGACTCTCCAGATGTTTTATTATGCGCAGAGGGGAGAATCAAATGCGCATGTGTAACGGGGGGGGGGGAAAACGTTGGTGGTGGTTTTGAGGTCCGGATTTTAGATTATTCTGGATAATGGACGTCCGGATTTCGGATTTTTTACTGTATAATGAAAACTTTAAATGGGATTTATTACAGAATAAAGTATATTTGTAATTAAAACTGTCATTATTCAAGAATTAATGCATAAATGAAATGTACTTAATTTTGTTTCTCAGATGTTATGAAATACCTTTTAAGTACAGAAAAGTGTAAAATGGTAAAATTTGTCAGCAGCCTTGTAATACAATATAATTTATCTTGCTTTGAATCATCTTTTACAATAAGTTTCTTACAATATGTTTAACAAGGCTAATATTGTCTCTTACTTGTACATACTTGCTTTGAAAATACATATCTAACTGAGTACTTAATATCAGTATCTTGCTATAAATTTATAAATAATTTTCATTAAATTACTTATAATAAAGTGAAAAATATTATGATTTAAATTAAATTATGATAAAAATAATTTTTAATGTTTTGTTCCTTACCAAATCGTAATTACTGAAAATTCTAAATTTTTCATTAAAGATTGGTACTCTTCAGTATGAGGAATGGATTCTGAAATGCATGTATGCACATGCATATGTGTCTGTGTGCATATATGTGTGTGTACACGCACCTGCATATTTAAATACATATACATACACATGCATGCATGCATGCATACCTTAACCTGATCCCGATAACAGAAGAGTACCGAGAGATTATATATGGAATGGTACCTTTTACTTTAAGGGTGAAGTTTTTAGCTAATGCCTATAAAGATGCAGCAGAAAAGCAATAGAATTACTTGCACTCTCCAAGAATTGATCCCAACTGAAATATCATATAGTCTGGGAAATGGGGGAAATTATACATGCTAATATAACATTGGATTATTCTTAGCTAACTTATTAGAAATTCTGGATAACTGAGTCTTATAAATAACTAATTTCAGTTAACTTTTTCCTCATATCTTGGATAATCATCAGTTTGAGAAGTAAGCTATATATTTTTAATGCAATTTTAGATATATTTAAAATTAAATCACATTTTATAGGAAATTAATGATAAAAATGCAGTGGTATGTGTATAATAGATAACTGTATTATTATTGCATAAAATCAAAATGTTCAACATAACATAACCAATATCAAAACATTTATTTGCAGTATATACATTATATATAAAATGTTTATACAACAATATATTTACGAGAGTACATATATGCAAGATCCAATGCACCTGTAGCTTGATAGATAAGAGATAAATTATAGGCTATTTCACGCTTCAGATTAAATACTTCCTAAGGTAGAAAAGAAAATATAATCAATTAGCAAAAACACAGATGAATATTTAAATTACAGTAATGCAATTTGAAAAGTTTTTGTAAAAACATAACCAAAAACTATATTTAGAATGAAATTGGAAAACATGAAATCAATTAATTACTTCATCTGGTCCCTTAATAACAACTGGAGCACATAGAGCTTTTTTATAATACTGAATAGCCATATCTTTCATACCTAGAAGAGATTAATACATATAAGGAAAAGTACTACTAATGTAATTAAAATTTCCTAAAACTATGTTGAAGTTCATGATATTGTCTGAAATTAAATATCAGGCTACCTTACTTATATTTATAGAAGGACTGCTGATTTTTTTTATAATAATTACACTAATATTAGTGTTGATGTAATGCTATTTAATCTAGATAATATACTAGTGTACTCAATTAAGGTTGCAAATGAAACACATGCAATACCTTGAAATATAATTAGTTTATTATAATGAAATTTTGTACAGAAATGACCAACATCATCAAGAGCAACGATTTTTATAGTTTATAATTTCAAATTGTAGATATAATATTAGTTTATTTTTTCCAAGCGGGTTGGAGAGAGATGACCATTTCTAAAGCACTGAAAGTGCTACATGAATTGCTTTCAGATAGTGAATCTGATACGGATCCCAGCGCATATGTAAAACATTAAATATTGGGTTGTGCTTTTTCAAAGGTGGTGTCACTTTCTTCAAAAAGTACCACAATGAAAAAAATAGACTAAAGTGTAAATAATGAAATATCATATACCCAAGTTACTTTTTTTTTTCCATTCATAAGCATGTAATCATCATATAACCCAAAATGAGCTTTCTAGGGGGGTGTAGAGTAGCAAATTTCCTCATGGCACACCCTGGGTAATGCTAAACCTGCTGTGATATTCAGAATCTAGTGTTTTTTAATCGTAGGCAAAATCTCTTTATTCTTTTACGCACTTCCCAGCAATGCTCATTTCAGCACTCTTTTCGAAGCTCTATTCCAGGGTTGGCCAAACTTCACGTCAGTAAGAGCCACACATTTGAATTCAGAAATGTTCGAGAGCCGCATCTAGATTTTCTAAAAGCCACAAGTTCATATTTACATCATTATAGAAATAGTGGAGGAGGTTTTAAATAGAAAGAAATCCCTGATAACTTTGTAAAAAGAGTCTAAACATATTAATTACTTCTTTTTAGAGACTGAATAGTTTCAGTTTACCATATTTCATACATATATTTTATATGCACAAATTTCCTGCGAGAGCCGTATCAGGCTCGCAAGCCACACTTTGGCCACCCCTGCTCTATTCAATCAGTGTCCCGTGGGCACACCCACAGAATTAAAACGATAAGTGCTATCTTTACAAAATTTTACTTGTGTACTCTTCTAGGCCTAATTAAACTGCCGACTTTTTTTTTTAAATCGAAATTCGAGCTTTAAAAGGTAGCGTGCCAGAAAGTGTTAAAATGTTAGGTAAAGATGCAGGCACGTTTATTAGTTTAACAGTTATATTTGAACCTCCATTGACACATCTTCTATGAACAGAAACTTGCTAAATTCTCAAGCCTTCAGAAGAGGTCATTGTATTCTCGTATAATGAGCATTCTTTGATTATAGATAAAATGGTCTCGTGACCATTCAAATTTTATATGCTAAAGAAAAAATTTTTTATAAGTATGCAGAAAAGTCAAAAAATTTAGAATTAAAGGGAAAAAAGATTTAATGGTAAATTATGACATACAATTTTTAAATCAATAAAGTTAAAATGTTTTAAAATTTTCTCTCTGTTGGCATGTAGAATTACACACATTTTCCTTTGTTCTGTAATCCTGTGAACATCTAAAATATAAGACTACACCTAATTTCAGACAATTTTATGTATCAAATTCTGCTTTTGAAAATAGCGTTCTTGTAATAGTGATCAATTTTTCATCACAGCTTCTTAATTAATTTCAGTTACCCTACATTATCATTATTAAAAGCTATATCAACGTCACTCACAACAAAAGAATAGAAAAAATTGTTTGCATCTGAAATTTGATTCCAAATTTTTTAAAGTAAATTATATGATGACAATATAGCAAAGATATTTTATTGCAATTATGACAGACACAAAACATTGTCACATTTTAAAAATATTCTTAATAGCTGAATTATTCAAAATCATACACCATCCTGTTTATAAGAATTTGCTGGGTAATTAATTATTTATTTAGCTATTATGGCAAATCATGCAAGAATTATCTGCCAAACAACGTGCTGCCTTCACAGGATGACATTTTAAGGAATTATATAGATTAGATTGGATTAAGCACATGATGGCCATTTGTCCAAAGAGAAGGAAGAATGTTTAGGTAAAGCTGGTTCACATTTCAAATTACAAGAAACCACCTGCAGCCAGCCTATTCATCAACATTTGAATACGAGTCGAACTAACACTATTCCTTGCACATGATCTTATTCACTTAAGGAAAATATTTAAAAAAAAAAAAAAAAAAAAAAAAACTCTGAATATAATTTCATCAAAACTGTTTAATACTTTAAATTAGCCATTTCAAAAATTTTTCACGCATTTAATTCACATTCTTTAACTGCAAATTAACAATTAATTTATTGTAATTTTAATTGTACGTATTTTCTTAAAGTAACTGTCAAAAAAATATAATTCTCAAAAGTTACATTGAAGTGGGGGAAAAAAATAGTAGTTGCTTATTATTTTAATGCAAAATAACATCACAAAATTTTATACTGCAGATAATTCCATTTGCAATCTCAATAGTGTCTGAAATGTTTTCTGTTAAGAAAGAAGATATTAATTTCAATGCTCATTATTTCATATTTGAGAAAAATTCTTATTAAAAAAAATATGACTAGGTAATGACATGTTTCAAAGAAAATTACATTTTATAGTTGAATACATTTAGATTTATAACATTATGTTTGGATCTAGAAGTAATGAAGTTTCTTTACTTATATATTTAGATTCACACATAAAATTCAAATTACCAAATACTTGTGGGCAAATTTGCTTTCGCATGCTCTTCTGCAACTGCCTAGATACTTAAACTAATAAAAAATATTTTTTGTAACAAAGCTTTCAGTATTTCACATAATATTAAAAATACTGCAAGCACGTAGACATACTATCTACCCATGTTAAACTTATCCCCATAACACTTAAAAAAAACTCAATCCAGTTGCGAAAAGGGATTGTCAGTTTTGGTGAGATGTGTTAAGAACATTTTGCTTTTTAGTATGACCTTGCTACTGTCTTTCATTTTTTTAAATACTAACATAGTACACAAGTAACCAAAAAGGAAGGGAAAATGGATCAGAATGTTTTCAGTAAATGACAAAGAAAAAATTGTTAATATTTACAAGTCTTTGAGACATTCCTTTCTAACCTCAAATGGAATTAAACTTCCTTAAGCTTTCAATAAGTTCTACCATTAGTGAAGGGACTGTACTTGGATCATTTCTGTCTACTTTGTGTTTTACAGAAGTAAAGACATTTTATTTTATGATTATATTGCTCATAAAATACCTATGAAGTAAAAAGTGTAGTTTGAAGACAAATATTGATTCAAGTTATTCACCTGGAATCATTCCACGTAACACTGTATTCTCTGATGATGTAAAAGGTGATTACAAAAGAAAAATGAAAAATATGAATTACCTAACTGATGTAGAGCTCTTCCAATATTATAATATGCCTCTTGACATTCACCTTTTAATTTCAAATAATGAGACAGGAAAACAAATCCCTAAAAATAGCAAAATAATTACGATAATAAATAATTAACAATTTTTATTCAGAAGACATTTTTTTTTATACAAATTTTAATATTTTACAAGATACACTAAAAAGTATTTTTAACACTTGGGAAAAAAAAAAAAAAAAAGTTATTTAAATGGAAAGTCTTTCGTATTCTCTTACCTGTACCACAATGAAAAATACTCATTTGAAATAAATTATAATAATTACAGGAGCTTAATATGACATTCAGAATTAAAAATTTAAAAAGACCAATTTTTTTCATATATATATTTACTGGCTTTTCTTGCAAAATATTTTTTTTGTTTCCCAGTTTATTATCTATCTCCCAAAAGATGCTCATTCATCAACATGAGTAACGTGCACCTTTAACCATGGTAAAGCTTTCCATATAGCATTTCATTAAAGCATTTTTTTATTTCTATTCTGTGCCAATAAAAATAATAATTTATTCTTAATACTGAATGTACTGATGGAAAGCCAAAATGTTTTCTTCCTTAACCCTTTCTGGCACACTGTGCCCAATCTGAGTACACCTAAAAGATTCCCTCTTGTACACACAGAAAAATTGAATGAAAAAGGATTTATAGGTTGCTTTGAACCTTTTTTATTTAGGCATCAAGGTGGCAGCAACGCACAAACCAGTCCATGCATTTTAGCTATGTTTAGTTTTAAAAAACCCTCATTTTCAGATTTTTTTTTTTTTTTTTTTTTTGATATAAAATAAATTGTTTGAAAAGAAATTTCTATGTTATTTTCTTGGCTGTATGCTGATCTCTTTATTCTATATACGTTTTAAATTTTTACCTTGAAATCTTGCCTAAAATCGAATGGTGAACATCTGGTGTGCCAGAGCGGGATCATTGAAACACTAGGACCAGATCAACCAACAACTGTATCTTTGCTTCACTGCAGTTCTCCGGTGATCTCATTTACAATAGAAAGGTGGGTCCACATCTGTGTTTCATTTCCTGTTTTTCCTTTTTGTTTTGTTTTTTGGAGGGGAGGCTTGGTTATTTTTATCAGTTAGCTCTTTGTTTTTCACTACAGTAGTTCTCTTTTTTTTTTTCTTTCGCTTTTGTTGAAAGAAGCTTTGTTAGCTCTATGTTTTGATAGTTTTCAGTTGTAGATGTTTATTTAATTTTATTTTAAAGTTTATATTTTCTTAATTGTAGATATAATATTAGTTTATTTTTTCTGAATTTTAATTATTTTGCAAATGGATCAAAGAGAGCTGACCATTTTTGAAACACTGAGAGTGCTAAACGAATTGCCTTCAGATAGTGAATCTGACACAGATCCCGGTACATACGGAAAACACACAATGTTGGGTTGTGCTATTTAAAACGTGGTGTCACTTGCATTGAAAAGTACCACCATGAATAAAAATAGAGACGAAAGTGTAAATATGAAATGTAAATATCACATAGCCAAGTTAATTTTTTTCATTTATATGCATGCAATCATCATATAACCAAGAGGATGAGTAATGCTAAGTCTGCTATGGTAATCAGAATCTAGTGTTTTTTAATCGTAGGCAGAATCTTTTATTCTATTATGTGCTTCCCAGAAATGCTTGCTTCAGCACTCTTTTCGAAACTATTCATTCAGTGAGCCTGCTTCGAGCACACCCACAGAATTAAAACGGTAAGTGCTATCTTTACAAATTTTACCATTTACTACTCCCATAGGCCTGATTAAACTTTTTTTTTTTTTTTTTTTTTGGTTGAAATTCCAAATTTAAAAGGTAGCGTGCTTGGAAAGAGTTAACACATTCACTGCACTGACGTGCTGGTGCATCAGATTTTTGCCACTCTTTATGGAAGCAGCGCTCTGAGACATTGATCAAATATCAAACATTATGTGCTTTATTTTTAGTGTAGTACTGAAAGTTGAATGAAGAGGTTGTTTAGAAGTATTAGTGAAGGATTTTTTTTTTTTTAAATGTGTGTGGTTTTTCAAATTTTGTGCTTGAACTTTGTGTGTTTTTAAAAATGGGGGACGGTACAAGTACAGCAGAAACTTCACAACTGAAGAAAAGGAATGTAAATAATAAAAAAAAAAATTATAATGCCAAAATATTAGAATTATTAATAAAGAATAACCTTTCCAAGCTTTGAGAGCACAGACGATGAAGATTACAGTTGGGATTCTGTGAACAGATAGGAGATGATATTGTGGTGGACATCATAGAAACGTTGGATTCAGACAAAACAACAAAAGACAGCACTTCAACTATTACAGACGATTATGCACAGACAAACCAGTTATTGCGTGAACTGCAATTAAATATTCCATAAGTGATAATGCAGTAATATGATAATGTTTCCTAAACAAATGACATCTCATTTGATATTAATTTATAATTTTTGTATTCTTTTCATGCTTTCTTACTTCACTGATTATGTATTATATCAAATTTGCTACGTTTTAAAATCTTTAAATTTAAACATTCAGCATGTAGGTACATGCATACATTTTATTTTGCTTCAATATTTTGAAATAATAGGAATAATTTAACAGCACCAATATCTGTATTTTGAATTTGTTATTTGAAGAGATCTATATTTTTTCATTAATGCGACTTCTTATTGTCCAATTATACATTTAATTTCTTTTAAATTGTGGTTTTATGCAATATGACAGTAATATCTTAGAATAATGATCACACATGCTACAGCGTCATTCGCGCACGGATGATAGGTTGAACCTGATGTGCTAATGATGCTCTACAGCAGGTGTCAGCAAACTGTCAGCCAAATCCGGCCCGTCATTTGTTTTTAATCTGGCCTGCAGAATGGTATTACTTTCTACATAAAAATAAATAAAATTACATATTATTCTGCAGTGGTTGACAGTTGAGTTTAAAAGTTGTGAATAATAATCATGAATCATACTACTACCATATTCTTGAATTTGTTGTTGCTTTTGAAAGCACTCTCAACAGATGAACGTTTGTGCAATGTATGCCACACAAGCATGTGGAGTTCTGCTATAGCAATGTGTGTGATATCATCTGTCAAGGTTATCTGCAATACTTTGTTCTTTTTTTATCTATCTTTATCATGTCACTCTCAAAATCAAATAAGAGAAAAAAAAGACCTCAAATACCGTGCTTTTAAAGCAGAATAGAGTGTCAATTATTTTGTCATAGAATTAAAGGAGAAAGACTTATGTTTAATATGCAGTGACATAATAGCTGTGTGAAAAGCATACATATCATCATTTTTAAACTAAGTGCATGACACAGTATTCAATATTCATAAAAAATGAATAATCATTAGAATTGAAAAGTTTAAAACATAATGCAATTTATTCATAAAAATAAAAATGATAATGAAGTCGGCTTAAAAATAGATCATTTATTAGCCACAAAAGAAAAGCCATTTACCGAAGGTGAATTAATTAATTCATGTTTGCTAGCCAAAGAAATATGCCCCAAAAATGTATATTTGTTTCAAATGGTCAGTCTTTGGTAAGAACAACTATTAGAAGACTTGAGGACATTGGAAGCCTCATCAAGAATCAGTTAAAAGACACAGTAAAAAAATTCCCATAGTTTTCATTGGCCACTTTTGCTTCTATGAATAGTCTGTGTGGAACAACCACAGAAGAAGATATATTCAAGGAATTCGAAAAAAACACTAACACAATACAATAGCAATGGAATCAGTTAAAATGTGTCACAGCTAATAGTAGAAAAATATGTGTGGAACTGGGAAAGGTTTAGTTGGACTAAATGTTTAAAACCTTTGGTAATCCTCTGTATTATTCACCAGTAAGCTCTTTGGCAGCATTTTATTCTGTCATGAGTCATTGGACCAGTTGTATCAGTAGTAAACTTCTTTCACTCTCAATGGCTTATTCACTCAAACTATTTACAGTTTTGTGTATTTTTATTAGAGATTGAAGCTGAATATCCTAACTTACCTTGTCAAACAGCTATTTGATGGCTCAGGAATGGGAAAGTTTTGTTGAGATACTTCGAACTGAGAGAAGTCACGGATATTTTTTAAATGAGAAAAATTGCCCACAACCTTTATTATTGAACAATGAATGGTTATTAGAAATTAGCATTTGCCACGGATGTCGTGGGATACATCAATGAATTCATTTTAAAATTACAAAAGGAAACAATGCTCATATGTGAAATGAATTCTATCACAAAGTTTCAAACAACACTACACAAATTTGACCATTTTCCATGCTGTAAAAAATTTCAAATATTAGTGAAACCCTCCATTCCTAAAAACATTTATGCAGGATATATTTTCTGAACTTATACTACAAATAGAAAAGCATTTTGTGGATCTTTATGCAAATGCAAAAGATATTTGCATGTTTTAAAATCCATCAGACTGTATAATTGAGGAGCTTCTACTGAAACTACTGATCTTCACATGAAAGTCATTGATTTGCAAAGTCATGATAAGTAAAGAAAATGATCTAACTCAATTTTATAAATATCTTTCAGAAGATAAATACACTCTAAAAAAATCATATGCATCGGGATAGATATCCATATTCAGAAGTACCTTACCACTGCAAAAAGACATTTTCAAAGATAAAGTATGTAAAATTGCAGTTCAGATCATTATTAACAGACGACCATTTGCAAACAACATACTAATTTTGAACTCAAGTATGATGAAATATTATCTCAGAAAAACAATTACATTCTTTGCTTCAAAAATGTTAATCTATTTAATAATAACACTGTTTAACATGTAAATGAAAATATTTTATTCCACTTTTTTTGGGGGGGATAAATGTTATCACTTCACAATGAAAAGAACTTTTTTACTCTATGGGGAAACTATACCCATTCATGTCTTCATATTTGCTACTTGGGCTCCCAAGCCTAAAATTTTTATAATCTATACTATACCCATTCATGTCTTCATATTTGCTACTTGGGCTCCCAAGCCTAAAATTTTTATAATCTGGCTTTTTCTTAAAATAATTTGCCAACACCTGTTCCAAGAACATTGGAAAAAAATATTACACTAAACATGAAAAAAATTTTTTTTCCATTTTTCTAGTTTTACTAGTAAAATATAAGAAACATTTTTAAGCATTAAAGCACTATTTTGTAATCCAACTTCAAAGGATGAAAATATCAGCAGATATGTTAAATTTACCTTCTGGAGATCATACCTATCTTTTATATGCAGAACCTGATATTTAAAAAAAATATGCAATAAAATCATGTATTTTAGTGAGTTTAATGACAACAATTTTTTATTGCAATTCATAATATCAGTTTTAAACTTTTTACGTAAAATAATTAAATAACAATTAACCTACAATTAAACCAATATAATCCTAAAATGATAATTAAAAATTAATGTTAAAACTAAACTATTTAGCAATTTTGAAATTTTTTATTTTTTATAAGAATATTTTTATAATTACACTCTTGAAACTTTATTTCTTAGAAACAACTACTATATCATCTGTGTTTGTTTCATATTGCTCAACAACAACTTCTCAAATGTATTCTTAATTTCATAAATCTGCAAGTAACCTTTTTGATTAGCACCTCTCTGCTCAAGAGTTTTTCTTAGAATCTGCAATATTCTTCTATATGATTGATGACAGCATGTAATCACTTTCCCTCTCAGTTTGTACCATAGTCAGTTTTTAAACAAGTTGTCTCAATATTGCTGTGAACTGACACATATCCTAAAAATGAATTTCCATAACTTCCCTCAGTGATGTCTGAAATATTAGCTATAGTTTGTAGTGCCTCTAATGCTTCTACATAGAAGCCATGTTTGAAAAATAGCTTTTAACTTATTTTAAGAGACTGACCCATTATCTTGAATACAATATGCATGGCAATAGCAGAGATATCAACTTAGTTACCTCCTTTGAGTTTAATTCAAATTCCTTCGAATTTAATTCTGTTCATCCTTTTTTGAAAACTTTTCTCTGTAATGATATTTAAAAGCCTTTATAATACTCTAAAAAAAAAATAGTAGAAGTTGTATTTACTGGAAGGAAGCTAATGTTTGCCAATAACCAATGCTATCTTCTTAATTGTGAGGTTCCTGTTGCACCTTATTAGTATTGAAATTTATTATTCCTTCAGTTTCTCATATCAGCTGCTTTTTCACTTTTAAATATTAATGTCTTCTGGTAACGTTCCATAATGCAGTCCAGTTTGTCTGTATTATACATTTCATTGCTTTTATTCATTTAGCGGTCCAAGTACAACAATTTTTTATCCAGTTATCAGCTGAACAATGAACTGCTTCTTGTTTCTCACCATACAGTACTTGATGAACAATGCTGGATTTTTCTTTCTTCAGTTTGCAAGCCATCTGCCAATCGATAAAAAGTTCTCTCCAGGCACTTAGTGAATTAGCGAAAAAAGATCTAGAAATTAGAACACATCTTAATTTTATATCTTGAAACCATTCTAGAAAAGCAACTGCAATGTCTCTCTATTTTATTTTTTGTGTTTCTTTGAAATATTTTCAAACTTTTAATAGTTCTTCATTAATTACAATTTCTTGTTTAAGTACACTGCACAATATTGTTTGGGAGATTCCCAATTTAAATGTAGTTTTTCTCTGGCTGCAGTTACCAACAGCATTAAAATCTTTTCACAATTTATCCTTTTCTTTCAGACTTAAGTCCTTTTGCTTGGCATTTTCAACATGCCACAAATTAAGCACACAATGAATTTTAAAAAACGCTTCTTATAATGATTTATTTAAATTTCAAAACTTATATCTCTAACCAATAAAAATTTATCTTTGTCTGCTGAGTCGATCTGCTATTTCATGATTACGAGCATGCTTTTCTTGCTTTTCCTTCAGTCTACAGTTACCACCTCCTTTCCAATCAAAGACAATGTAAGGTAATGCTGAGAAAAATTTTAAATAACTCTCTGTGAACATAATGTATTGCTTCCAAAGGTAAGATTTTGATGTGAAAATCTTAAAAGATGGGATACAGAAATTGCACTTCCACCTCCTTATCACTTGGGATTCAAGAAATAACTCTCCCTAATTTACAATGTTTCTGCTATACAGAACTGGTTTCGTTAACCTTAAGATAAAAAAATTCTCTCACACGTACAACTACTAGGAGTTCAGAAAATTTCAGTGTAACCAGTTTTATTGAACCTGAACAATACATTCACAATCCACAATACATTAAATGGATGAATAAAAAGCTTTGGCAGGTACAATTCTAGCACTAAAAAATCAGTCTTTTTCCAATCTTTGCACTTAATTTTACCTCTCAGTGCAATATTTAGTGCCTTTAATTGTCTTTTTTGTGGAATCTTATCAAGACACTAAATGTTAGATTGTCAGTTATATGAAAACCATCTTTATTCTTGCAAAACAACTTAAAATTTGCTGGACTATCTTATAAGTCTGACTATCTTGAATTCAGACCAGTTATTTCCCAGACAGAATATTCCAAGAAGTTCAATAAACTTGTTATTTCAAAATAAAATTTCTGATAATTTTAAACATGACAGATTTTTTTATTCATCTATAGAACTAGATATATTCCCATGAAAAATATATACACAAATGAATTTTTTTATTTTTTAGTAATGTTGACTTTACTATATGAAGGTCATAGTTTAAATTATTTAATCTGCAATATTGTGATATTAAAGTGATTTGAATGAATTGATAAGGAAACACATAAAAGAAACAAAAAAGTTAATACAGTACAAAGTCCGCAATCTAGACTCATTGGAACTTCAGCGATTCCGGATTAGGGTTTTTTCCGGATTATAGATCATCAATTTAAATCTGGTAATATGGCATGCAGAAATTATACAGTTAAAAATATGAAACTGTAATTTGTGAAATAAAGATCAATTATGATCTAAAGGGTATAAAATTTTACAAAAAAAAAAAAGCTTAATATTTATCTGTTTACTTTATTAAACATTTCTTTCAACTCGCGCATGCGTAATGTATGCGCATTCTTTACACACATGTGTAATGTATGCGCATTTTCTACGCGCATGCGTAAAGTTTGTGGCTTTGAGGTCCGGATTATAGATCATTCCGGATAATGGACGTCCAGATTACAGACTCTGTACTGTACTGCTATTCCTCATTATTGTAAAGATATAATATTATCACAAAATAGCATCTAAACTTCAAATAAATTACTTAAATTTTCATTTTCATTATAAATGATATCATTATTCTCATATCGTGCAAGTTACTTGTGCTAAATAAAAAATCATTTTAAAAAAGGTCTTCCACAATTTTAATCAGTTTTTTATACTCAATCATTAAATTTATTGTCTATACACGAAAAGTGCATTACCTGAAGAGCAAGAAAATGGCGCTTAGTGGCAAATTTTTGGCAAGCCATATGTATAAAAGTATAACCAACACAAAATGTTGCAAATGGATCATTTGGTCGTTCCTTGAGAATGCACATATATTCACCTGTTTAAAGTGAAATATTAATTACCTTTTAAAGACAATCACAATTTGATACGAAAATATAAATAATAACATAGGTATTCATGTAATTTATTTTGTAGCTCAAAATACATTACCCAAAGCATGTTTATAAGTGCCAGATATCATAGCATTGTGTCCATTTAGAAATCCAAGAGCCAAATGATCTTGATGCTGAAAATCAAATTATAATTATGATTTAAGAACTCAAGTAAGAAAACTGTACAGAAACCAGAAGCACAAGGAGTAATATTGTAAGTACAATATTAGGGGAAAAAATCAAAACAAATACAAATCTTTAACCATCATAATTAAGATGCTAAAAGAAAAAGGAAAGTTAAAATTTTCATTATGCATATTCTTAAAGTTTGTTTGGAACAAAAATCTTTACATACCGATTTTAAAAACAAATAAACTTTCTAAACACAGATATGTTCGATCAGAAAGTGCTATTATGTTTTATATCTTTAAGTAAAGGTAAGGCATGAAAAAATTACAGCTTCTATATTAAGTATTCAAGTGCACATTTCATGCTGTCGTTAATTAGAATCCGAAGTATCTGGAAAACACTGATAGTAAATTGCACTAAAATTTTATACAGGGAAGAGATGGAGGTAAAAGTAAGAGGAACACCATACCATCATAATAAATCACTAAGTTTTTGTTCCTACTTACTAATTATTTTCTCATTTAAAACTGATCAAACAAATATAAATTGTGTTCTCAGTGAGGTCTTCAGATGTGATACAGGGTGATCAGCGAATAAGCCCTGATTTCAAAATTAAATATCTCTACAACAAAGATTGATAGAATTATGCGGTAAACTGTACGTTTATTAGCAAAACTGTAAAAATGGTGTATAAAAGTTTAGAAAATTTAGTTACAAAAATCATTAACAGATGGCGCTCTGCACTTAAAACTCTTTCTCTGAAATGAGTAAAAAAAAAACTAAAAAAAGTGGAACTTTGCAATAAAATAAAATTTTTTCAAAATGTTCACCATTCGAAACAATGAGGTGGCATAAACGGGTGAAATTTGTCGCGTCTTGCAGCTCAACGGAAAGGGATCACATGCAACACCAATTTCAATAGGTAGTGGGATTGTTTTGATAGACAGTGTCTTTCAATGCGTCCCACAGAAAGAAGTCACAAGGACTCAGATCGGGAGAATATGGAGGCCAAGCAATTCCTGTGTCAGTAAATTGCGGATAATCTAACGCAATTTCTCTATTCCCAAAGTATTAATGAAGAAAGCGAAAAACTTTATCTGTTCGATGTGGTCGAGCCTCATCTTGCATAATCTAATCGATACCTGGTCGATCCTCCAACGTTAGTTGAGTGCTGTCAAACTGTTCCAAAATCGTAACATAACGTTCAGTAGTTATCGTTTCTCGTACGAAAAAGGGTCCAACAATGCCTCTGGCGCATACCGAAGCCCATGCAGTAACTTTAGGCGAATGCAGTGCTTTCTCTTCACACAAATGCAGATTTTCGGAACCCCAAAATCTCCAGATTTGTTTATTAACAATTTCATTCAAATGAAAATGTGCCTCATCTGTGAACCAGATGCAGCTCACATCAAATCTGTCATTGTCGATCATTGTTAGAATCTGATTTGCAAAGTCAACCCTTTGTTGCACACCTTTCATGATGACTTTGGATTTTGTATGGAAACATCCATAGACTATTTTTTAATATTTTTGTTGCATGCTTGTGTACTTTAAATCTGTCTCTGATGCAATCCGTCAGATGCTTTTCCTAGGATTTTACTGAACAATTCCAGAAACTTTGGCTGCATTTTCAGGAATGACTACAGTTTGCCTAGGCCCAACATTTCCCTTTCGATCATCTGTCACACTGCCAGTCCGTTCGGATTTCGCGAAGAGCATGAGAATGGTTTTCGCATTGGGTCCAACTGGAACATTGAATCGGTTTTGAAAGCTGTGACGTGTTGTCGTAAGACTGTGTTCTAATCAGTAAAATTCCAGAACGAGCAAAAAAAAAAAAAAAGTTGTTTAATGGAATACATTATTTCACTTTCTACGCTAGCCTCTTATCACTTGCCAACAGTCGTACTGATCACTTTCAATGTGTCTCAAGAAATTTCTGTAAACTATGGAGATTTAAAATTTACTCCTTAATATGGATTAGGAAATGCAAGACCCTGTTGATTTGTTTTTCTATTCCTTTCATTTAAAATAAGTGACCATAATACGTTTGAAATTAGCCCCTGTAGCCCATGGAAAAAGGTTAAAGGCTATTGATAAGTCATTGTGATACAGCGCCCTCTGTTGACGATTTTCACAACTAAATTTTCTAAACTTCTGTACACCATTTTTACAGTTTTGCTAATAAACGTACAGTTTACCGCATAATTCTATCCATCTTTGTTGTAGAGATATTTAATTTTGAAATCAGGGCTTATTCGCTGATCACCCTGTATCTGTGTCACTCATTCTGATAGGAAACATGACAACTTTCATTTTTCCATGCTTTGAAATATATCACTTCTCTGAATTATACTATACATCAACCATCATTAATTTATATTTCTGTACTGTTTCTGTAAAGAACTGATTTTTAGAGGATGAGTTCAGTAAAATGCAGCCAGTTAGCTGCTAACTGTTACTCATTTGGCAGAAATTCGTCCTAATTATTTATATAGCTAAGCTAGCATTTAAAATAAATTATAATATGCCCTATTGACGATTTTTACAAATATTAGTACCATTTATATAATTATTAATAGATGTTGTGACTATTATATATTGTCATATTTGTTAATACAAAAGTATATATCATATATTGACATATTTGCTAATACAAAAGTCTCCCCTTCCTTCATCTAAATCTTGTCATTTTTTACAAAGGCCTAGTCCAAATCAAAATTTCAATCTGTCTTCTATAATATATATTTTTTTAATCACAGTTTTTCTAGTATGTCATCACTTTGTAATTATAACAGCATAATAGCTTCATGATATCCAAAGCCAATTTTATGCCTGAAGGATATATTGTTTCCAAATAGCTCCTTTTGCTACATAAGTTAGCAGAAACTGCACAAGCTCCAATTGTAGGTGACATAGGCAGTTAGCCACTTAGGCTGCCATCTAAGCTGTTTTCATAAATGAAAACTAAATAGAGGTATAATCCAATTAGAATTATAAAAATATTTAATTTATATAGTACTGGATCCAACCAGATGATATCAATTTTTGAAAATAACTTTTTGAGAAAAATATATTAACATCTACCTTACCTTCATCATAAGACGAAGACAGAAACGATTATGTCTACTTTCCTGGCTTCGTGTAATGATCAAACAAAACAGGTTCCAAGCCTTTGGATTATTTATATTCTAAAAGAAGAAATATACTTTCTCTTATTTCAATAAAATCATAAATGCAATTACCTGTATAATGGAAATATTTTATAATGCATTCAGAAATAAACAAGGAATGAAAACAAGAGATAAACAATTTTTGTTGTTTGACTTCTGAATTAGTATAAACAAGGAAGTTACCTTAATCACAAGATCTTTGACTAACAGGTAAGCATAATAGTGACTATTGTTGAAGAAACAACTCAATAGAGCTTGGAATTCGCAATCCTGAAAAACAGTAATATTAGTATATTTATTTGTCCTAGTACAACTAAGACTTTATACTTTACACACTTGAGATTAAAAAAATAAATAAATATACATGAATTCAAATTCAAGATGAATAGGCCTTGAAAATTTAGTGAATAAAACTTTGCAGTATCTACAATAATAATATAAAAAAATATTAGGTAAAATGAAGTCTGATTAAAAGGAAATCAAATTTGCAAGTAATCTGCCACAATTAATTTTAGAATTTTCATAATGATATCTGTTTAGGGAAGGCTTTTCAAAACTTTTCACCAAATTTTACAAATACTAAAATTTGAAATACCATTACTTATTTTAAATAGTGACAACAAATTGTGAAATTTTATAATATAACTAATTTTTATTATTGTAACTTTTACATCATTTGAAATATTACTACTGAAATTATGATTTTTATCACTTTTAAGACATCTCTAATTTTTATTTTATTTTACACTTAAGTGGAAGACTTCAGTCTTAAACCTGATCATCTATTAAGCAAATCCAAATTAACGAATTGATGTATTAATACACCAGTGGTTAAAGGGACACTAAACAGTCACTTATAAACACCTCCTCCTTGTTTAAAGGCAACTGGCCTTTTTAAACTTGTGCTAAGATATCCCATTATATTGAAAAAAAATTAAAACTTCATTATATTAAAAAGAAAACTAATAATTATATATGAAAAAGTTACTATTTTTCTAAAAGCCTTCAAAGTTTTCCATGAGCTTTCAAAGTTTACCTTAAGCCTTCAAAGTTTGCCATAACATATTCTATCTTGGCACAAAATTATAAATTAATTACTATTGCAGTTTTCATATTCAATATTGCAGTTTTCATATTTTTATATTAACACAAAAAAGCAAAACTTTTAGTGCATTTTTCATAACAATTTTATAAAATTATTTTGTTCATTTTCCATGTTCAAATCATTCTTAAAATAATTATAAAATTCTTAGCAATAATTCAAAAATATAATTATTTATCTTAACGTTCCATAAAATAATTTTAAAAATCTTAAAATTCTTTACTTACTTTACTAAATCAAATTATTAGAATTCAAATTTCTAATATCATGGAAATTATACTTTTTCATATAACAGTGCTGCATTTTTCAAATCTAGTTCAGTAAGAAAAATATCAATTTGTAATGTGAATGCCATTACAGAAGAGCAGAAGGGAAAATAATTTTCTAGCACACTCTTCAAGCATAATTTTCAATCCTGTACTGATTGAAAAAAACCTGACTAATTTATTCGTGAGCCAGAGGAAGCAAAGTAAATATGCAGTTTGGAGACCTTCAGAGTACTTTTCAGCATGAATACTAAGCATAAACCTTGAAGAACCATTTTGATGATTCATTTCTTATACACCGCATTGAATTTAGCATACAAACAATGATTTAAAGAGCTGGCTGAATAAATTTACCATTAAGGTCTGAAGCAATAGGCAGCCATCCTGCTGACTAATATAGGATGAAATAATTTCTGTAGGTACTCGATTCTTAACTGCACATATAGAATAACGAAGCACGGTATATATGGAATATTACATAATAGTGAAGAAAAACATTAGCAAAAGTGGCACTGATTCATAAATTGTTTTATTTCGTAATTCAACATATTCACATATCATCATGAGCATAACACACACCCATGTAATTTTCAAAGCTTACATTAGACAGAACTGAATGGCACCAAAGCTAAGCAGCAAAGCAAAAAGGGGTGTGAAGTAGTAGCAATGGTATTTATAGTGAAAGATTTTTTTAATCCGACTGGACAAGAGCTGTCGTGCTACAGGGTTAAAGATGGCATAATGCAGATTAGTTTTTCAAGTGATGCAGTTAGTTTTAAGACAGGAAGAGGTCATAGCCAAATTAAAATGAGTAAGTAAAAGGTTCATCCTGTATCCTAAGATATGTTTAGTAAATATTAAGTTAAAAAAATTATTATTGCAAACAAGTAAAACAATTCAAAATATTCAAATATATTACATTTGAAATTCAATCTATTAAACTGGTATAATAAATTTAATTTGTACCTTAATACAGGAGAAAGAAATTAGTTAGAATAGTAAAAAATAAAATAAAACAGCCAGAGATATGTACTCACAGTTTTGAACAACTTTAGTAAAAATGACAGTTAGATATAGGTTACCATAAAAAGGGTAGACACTGCAATTCACATGTGGGTTACCATTAACGAACTCTAATCTCACAATATAGCAATGGCAAAATAAATATGATCTAGAAAATATCTTAAAATGTTAAAAAAAAAAATTAAAAAAAAAATAAATAAATAAATAAGGCAAAAGTAAGGATAAATAAGTAATTATTTGTTAACAAATAAAACAATCTCCATACTAACTGGCTGATAATAACAACTTTTAGAAATTAAATAGCCATTTATTAGTCAAAGAAAGAGGAAGACGTATTTTTATAAGTTTACAGAAAAATTACACAATTGACAATTACACAAAATGAAAATTTTTTCACATATACTATATCTCATACCTCCTATTGGGTTTAAGAAAGAACTTCATAATGTTAGAAAATGTTCATACATCATAGACTACTCCAGTCTTCAAGAACTGTAATTAAATGAAAGCTAACAGAACTTGATTATCTGTTAAAGTTGGTACAAGTAACAGAATTTCTTTTTGCTGCTCTTTTACTTCAGTAAAAATATTTTTAATATGTACTAATTGATTATAAATAGCACTTCCTCTTATTTTTTGCAGGATGTTAGTTAATCAATTAATAAGTATATTTATAGTGAAGTTGATAACTCTTCTTTAGTCATAAAGTCTTAATTCCTGGAGATTGATGATAGATAAATCAAGATCCAAATTGCAGTATTATAATTATATCTTTAGGCATAATACTTTCATACTTAGACTGAAACTTTTCAATAAATAATGAATATTCATTATTTATTTTAATATTTTTAATTTAAGCCACAGTTAATTAACCTGAGCTGTTCTTGTTTAATTTCAGATATTCAGGATATATATTGCTGTTTTCAATGGGATTAAAACTGTTAAAAGCTATTATATCGTCAATATATCAGAAGGGCTGCCTAGACGGTATAGTGGTTAGGAAAGCCTGACTGTGATACTGAAGGGCTTGGGTTCGAATCCCGGAGAAGGTATGGATGTAAATTGTCTGTCCCTTCATAGGAGGCAAAAGTGATCCACCTATTAGGTGCCTTCATAATAAAGAGACTACCACATCTGTCTGGTCTTAGGAGAGCCAATGCCCACATAGGCAAGTGCCCATCATTGGAAAAAATATATATATCAGAAGGACAGATGAAATTTTTGCAAATCATTAATTGGAAGCGAATATATATATATATATGATGTAACTACTGCTAACTGTAATAGCCATGCTGACCATGCATAGCTGAGTGATTTCAGTTTAGGCCTGCATCTTTAATTACTTGTCACTGATATGCCTAAAAACAAACAGGTGATAATATAGTATCACTAATAATACTCTTACTCAGTTTAATGTTGCTGTTATTTCAAAGAACTTAAAAGGGGCAGAAGAGATTCTCAGAATTAATGCAAGGTAACATAAATATTCATCTATATTTTTAATTCTTAAAAATTATCTTAGAATGTTAGGAAGGTCTTACATCTGATGGATCTTATTTTCTAGTAAACGCTGTACACATTTTTATCTTAGCATTTAAGATTGCTGCATTTTATTAATTGCAAAATGTTTAAAAGTAACACTATATAATTATCATTATATTTTATACTCCGAAGCAGCATTCAGCAAATTTTAGATGGTCATTACTATTATTTTTAAATAATTAATTATTTATATTGTAGTACATGCCTATAATATTAGAGTGAATGTTGTTGGAAGAAGAAAAACATTTTTAAATTCCCATTAAAACAAAGAATTATTAGATGTATACTCAAAAAGATAAAGGCACATAACTTTATACATGCTTATTAAAAATTTGATAATAGTAATTATTGATTCTATGATCAAAAATTGCATTTGTACATTTTCATTCCATTATACTACATATGTATGAAAAAATGCATTATGCCCATAGTTTCTCAGCACATGCAATACAGTCTCAGCACCGATCTAATAGAGCTTTAGTGGTCCAAAAGGCAGTAAAAGTAAAAGCATATTCAGAACCAATAGGGCAAAAACAGTATGCTTGCGAAATATGATTGCTTAAACATTTAAATATTCATTTGATTATGCAAATATTACAGACATGTTATCTCCATAACAGCTATGACAAATCATGTCGGTAAATTCTTCACATAAGTTGTACTTAGTTTCATTTTTCTCTTCCAAGTGATTTGAATTTACAAAAGATATTTAATTATTTAATATTTTAAATCGTGCCCACACGTGCTATTTAAGTGTTTCCAGTATGCCAAAGCAGCATGATCTTATATTTTCCATGGTAAGAATCTATACATGTTTTCCAAGTTGATTATTATACATGTTTTGAGACATTTTTTAACATTATCATTCTGTTTCTGTATTGAGTGGTGAGTTATAGTTAATGATTTGGCGCAATAAAGTTACAATAAATGCCTACAGTTTACATTCAAAAGATATCTATTATTGAAGCAATGAAGCACGACATTGAGAAACACCTCAAAAAAGGGGCAATAAGTTAAAAAAAAAATGGAAAAGTATGGTTAAGGCATTTCACACATAAAACAAATTACATCTGTAAAGCACTTTGGCTCATTTTGGAATATCATTATTCAGCCTACTGGTCTCAGTAAGATACTGCATTTTATAATTAAAAGTCAATCAAGATTGATACTTAAATGGAAAATCATTACTATAAATACTATACTTTTGCCATCTCTGGATTCTTCATAAACATAGTAGATGTTAATGCTGCAAGAGATAAACATTGAAGTTCTTCAAAACGCTTTTGTTCCAAGAGTTTATTTGATACCTAAATGGAAGTAAAAATATAATATATGAAGAAAACTTTTAATCTTGATAACAGATGAGGAAATAAATAATCTTGATACAATGTTTCTATAATTTACTACATTAAAAAGGTCAGTGCAATATTTTTAATCTTATAAAAAGGTTAATCAGTGTAATGTTTTTGATTTTACAAAAGTAAATTTTTTAAATTGATGCGAATTTTTATCAAAGCTCTCATTTTACTACTACTTTTTGAAATAAATAAATAAAACTGTCCTGTTCTATCAATTATCATTCATGAACTCTATCCAAATAAAAACTTCATCAGCTTTTAAGTTGACACTTTTTTTTAATCAAACCTCTCATTTTACAACTACTGCTTTAGCCCCCCGAAAAAAACCCTCTCCTTTAAATTGACATAAAGTTTACTTCACTCACAGTTCTGATGTATCTGAAGTAAGTGCAACCTTTTTAAATTGAAATAAAGTTACTCAAAAAGTCTTTCAAGGAAATAAGCTAAAGAAAACAGTGCATAGAGAAACATATACAATCAAAAGTCGTTAATCCGGACTCATCGGGACTTCGGCGATTCCGGATTATCGATTTTTCCGGATTATAGATCATCAGTTTAAATTTGGTAAGATGGCATGTAGAAATTATAAATTAAAAATATGAAACCGTAATTTATGAAATAAAGAACAATTATGATCTAAAGGGTATCAAAATTTACAAAAAAAAGCTTAATATTTATTTGTTTACTTTATTAAACATTTCTTTCAATGTAAGTTGTTTAAATTGCTTCGTTTTTTCATGTGATAATATATTCTCTTTAATTTTATAAACAGACATAATTTCTTGTTCAGTTACAAAGTTCCGCTGTTCAAGTCCTATAATTGCTGTGTCGAGAATACCGACTAATTTGTCAATTGAAATTTTTTCGTTTTCAATAACCTCTGTCACTTTCTTCACTATCGGAAGCAAATTATAATGACGAGGAATTTGATTTAAATCATATCAAAGACGGAGTACATCAAGATGAAATACTACATTTAGTAAGGAATTATAAGCCAAATAAAATACAAACATCTGCCTTGAAGATAAGGATAGTGCTGACTAAAGATAAACAAAGTTTAGATAAACAAAGGATATGCCTTTATCCATTTTTTGCAGCAATTCCACTTTTTGATTAATGAACTTGGAAACATACTTTCGCTTTGTAGATCCTTTACATATTAGTAAATATATATCAGAAATTCTATTTGACATAATCGAAAGTTCAAGCTTACTTTTATAAAATTGCTCTAACAGTCTGCAAAAAATAATAAACCGAATCCAATCGAAGATTAAGGAACAACGCAATCTGCAACATTAACTGAATTAGATAATTTTAGTTTAGCTTATACCGTCCGTTATACATTAAACGCGTATTCGTAAATGTATTTTGCGCAAGCACACATGCACATTCGCAGCCGTAAAGGTCTTACGTGCATGCGTCAACATGACGCATGCACAGAAAGTTTGTAGCTTTGAGGTCTGGATTATAGATCATTCCAGATTATGGGTGTCCGAATTAACGACTTTTGACTGTATTTATATTTACTTGTACTTACTATTTTAAAAATATCCCACATGTCAGACAAAGATATTTTGCTTCCAATGAATTCAGGTGCTGGTTTCTTAGCTAAAAAATATAGAAATGTAATTAAATATACTCATTGCATAAGGTAACTAGCCTTTGAGAACTGCATTAAAGCATTCCATATATATAAAATTACACTCATTCATAAGGTCTTCAACTTTATCTTGTATAAGGAGGGTAAAAGGAAAAATTACAGAGAGGTAAACCCTAAATATATTTGATACTTGACATTCAATTTTTCATTAATTATAACATTCATTTACTATAATTCCAAATTATTTTTCTCGATAGATTTCACTTTTTATTTATGTTATAAGGTACCGTGTTTGACGGCATATAAGACGCACACTTATTTAGAAGGCCACACACAAGGGAAAAAAGTTTCAATAGTCCGCACGTTCTTTTAGTTCTCACGTTTCGTAAAAGCCGGAATGCAATACAACAACGGTAAACATACTGTAAACAATCATTGAATGCAATTACCAAACATATTTTTATTAAGGAAAATTAACAAACGCAAGCTATTTTGAACATGATATGTAAATTTCAATAATGAATAAATGAATGAACGGCAAGCAATCAAACATAATACAAAATAAAGCAGAAACAACAAAAAACACAGATTCAAGGAAAACGTTGCCTATCATGAAATATGCCTGAGGCCAAGATGGAGGTGGGCGTCGAAGGTTATGTTTTTGTTTTTTAGCAGTCTTCAGTTGATCTTCCTGCAGTTGCCAAGTACGTATCAATTTTTCGGTAGGTGGTGGACCGAAATGCCTTGCTGCTGCTCTGTTTCCATGTACTTTGACATAGTTTAACACTCCTAGTTTATACTGAATTGTATAGCTTAATCTCTTGTTTCCTGTAGTCATATTTTCCAGGGTATTTTTTTTAAACAAATAGTTTTAAGCACCGATACCGACACGTGTGTCGGCTGAGTCAAAGAAAGTCTATGTAAAAAAGGAAAGGCTCCATAGACGTCATGTGATAGTCGAACCCGTTTGAACTTCGACATCAGCTTCGAGCTTTGCCACTTTTTGGAGACAGATATTTCACGCATGCGCAAAATAATTATGACAGATGTAGAAAAAGTTATGTGTGTCTAGACCTTTATTCGGGCTAAAAATAGCATTCAGTATTGAAAGTTAACTGGGTCCTTCACGTATAAGGTACTTCACGTATAAGGTACTTTGGTCACATATGCAGGTAACTTTTTTGAGACCAAATTTAGGAAAAAAAGTGCATCTTGTATGCCGTCAAATACGGTATTTCTCCCACTTTCATAGTGTGCCTTCGTGGTGTAGTGGTTCTGCACGCTGGGCCAGAGGCGGCTGTTCATTTTTCATCTCTCTTGCTTCCAAAAAATTACCTAATGTCTCTACAGTGGCGTCCGAACTAAAAAGGGTGTTGGATGAGGTTTCTCCACACCCAGGATTTGGCAATTGGGTCTCCTGAAAACCCCAGTCGCCCTTTAAAAAGGGGAGTATATAAGGTATTTCTCCCACTTTCCTAGCGTGCCTTTGTGGTGTAGTGGTTCTGCACACTGGGCCGGTATTCCAGAGGTCCGTGGTTCGATTCCTGGCGAAGGCGGTTGTTCATTTTTCATCTGTCTTGCTTCCAAAAAAATTACCTAATGTCTCTATATTTTATATTGTTCTATATCATAAATATCATTTTTCATACATTCATTATAACACTATCAACTCAAAACACTTAATATTTTCAATATTATAACATAATTTTCTGTATTTTTTAATGGCCCAGCACCTTTTATATAATAGCTATTAGTCTTGCACCAATACAAAGGCTGGAAATGCTGGCCATTTCATTATGGAAGCACCTAATAGGTAGCCACCACTGCCTCCTATGAAAGCATGGACAGTTACAACTATGCCTTATCCAGGATTCGAACCCAGGCCCATCGCTATGGCAGTCAGGTTCACTATCCACTATATTGGCTGGGTGGCACTTTTCTGTAGTTATATTCAAAATTATTTCATTTATTTTTCATATTTACCTCACTTCCACAATAATTTTAAAAATCTTTAAAAATCTCATTTTCAAAAATTTAGAAAATTCTTAAAATTAAATTAAAAAGTTTCACAATAATTTTAAAATACAATATTAATTATAGTAAAATTTAATAACCTTCTCTAAATAAAATAATTAAAAAATCTTTTTATCTGTTACTTAATTTATTAAATATGATTATTAAAATTAAGTTTCCAATACTATAAAATTTTTATTTGTTACTTTCAAAAAGTACTGCTATATTTTTAAAATTCAGTTTAAGAAGAACCCAGCATTTTGTGTTCAAAATTTCAAAATAATGACAATAATATTTTATGTATATATATTTTACAAATCATTTTAGTTACACTAATGAATGATCAATTTATCTGTTTCATAGACAAGAAAAGTTTTAATTGATACTATACTAATAACAGTATAGAGCACTAAAGATGAATTGCAAAATAATATTATAGACACTTAAAAAAAATTATAAATTCCAAGCCATTTAAAAAAATACTGCATTGTTGTATTTACATAACTTAAACAATAATACTTTTCACTCCCCCCAAAAAAAGAATAATAAAATTTCAAAAATAATGTTACATTAGATTAAACTAGATGCAAAATGTAACAATCCCACAGCATGTTTAATAATTTTGATTGTGTGAAAACAATCCTGATCACTCAAAGATCATAATTTAAAGTTTTTGATGGATGAACGCAATGTGTTTAAGAAGACAGGAAGTGAAAAAATTTCTTGTGCAACACACACTAGAACATAGTATAAACAGAGACCAATGACCTTGGAATCACTGCAATAATGAATCTTTAAAATATTAAATCACTTTGATTATTTACAGAAAATTTTTTCTTCCATTTCTAAAGATTAATAAGATGACCAAAAAATTTTTTAAACCAAATTAGCTATGAGTTGGGATTGCAATGTGGCATTTCATTTCACTGGATGTAAGAACTTTTGAACTTATTTGAATATTAATAGATAAACTGCACTTTAAGGTCCATTTAAAGCTCTCAAGGCTATTATATATCATGATCCTGTGGAATCTGAAATGGATCTCATAGCAAGACTCATCTACACTGCTGCTACAATAAAGAAACTCCCAGTGTGTTCAGCTGTGTCTAGCAATCAATGTTCCATGGGTGTCAGGCATGCTTGATGTCTGATGGTGCAAACTACAAGCCTCTGTTATAACATTACAGCTGTATTCATCTTGTATGTCATTTGTACTCATAATGTCCAATAAAAGTTTCATATTAATCACTTCCTTGTGTCCTTTCTGATCTTCTATTGCTGCTATTACTTAATCCTGATGTTTCCAGTCATGGGCTGCTATGCAATTCTCAAACTTTATGATGTGTCCTACCTCCCCTAAAACTTTGTGGCTACATTTTCCATACACCCAGAATAGATATATGCAAAAATATCAGCATGTCTTTTATGATTCATTTTCCTGAGTTTTTTCTATATTTATATAGATAAATTTTATTTCTACTTCAAACATACACGATAGCAGTATAAATACACATTTCAAATTTATTCATTTTCATATATACAAATAACAGTAATAATTATTTCAATGAGTTTATAGTTATAGCTTTTATAATCAATAGCTCCAACAAGCGTTTATTTCTCAAACCTTTATAAAAAGTAACACAGACAATAAAAGACAACAAAATATTTTCAAAGCCAGAAATGGCTCTATCCATGTTACAAATAAATTGTGCTTGGAATTATTTTTTTAATTTAGATTTATCACAGAAATATGGGATAGATGTCTGGGTTTTCATACTTTTCCTCATGTATATCATAAGTAGTAACCTCAATTTACTATAGAAAATTCTCCATGAATACATTGGTGCCTCTAAGGCAAATAAATAGCCTCCAAATGCTTTGCTATGATAAAACAGCTTAATCTACCATAATTCTAACAAAATTATTGATAAAGTTATTAAAATCATTCAAAGCGATGCAAAAAAATGCATATTTGACTTTAACTCATAACAATCTTTATAAAAAGTTTTACATAAGAGTGTAATATTGCAATTAAACTTTTTGACAGAAGAAATGCAGGCACTTTAATTAATAGAAGTCAGTTTATATTTCCCTATTGTAATAAAACACAATTACAGAACTTCTTTTTTTGTCTTAAAACCAATTTCTTTTTTAAAGATGCTAAAGTTAAATTAATGCTGTAATATTTATTGTATATTCTTTTGGAAATCCATCTTTATACATTAAAAGACAAGTTGATATCAAAGATGAATAGATTTATATAATAGTTTCTGACAGCATTTTCAAAAATACAAATGTAAAAAGAAACCATTATTTATTACTTTTAAATTCAGATGTTTGACATATTAAGACTAAAAATAACATTAATGATATCAGATTTAGGAAAACAATTTTGATATTCTTCATTTTATTAAGAAGATTTTAAAGAGTTAAAAGTAATTATTAAAAAGTAGGTATCAACAAAAGCTCCATAATTAAGCAGATTCATTTTTAGCAAATCCAGAGAACTAAAATAATTTAACTTACACTGAGCTTTTAAATCTCTTAGAGCTTCATTTCTTCTTTTAGATGTCTGGTTGGCCATAACAGCTAAAATGGGGGTAAAAAAGAAGATTAACATTAAAAAAAGAAGAAGAAAAAGATACAATGGGATATATTTCAAATTTAAAATTCAAATCAAGAAATGAAATACAGATTTCTCCCATTTCCTGAAAGTTGCCATCCTTATAAAGCATGCTGTAAGCCAAATTAGTATAAAGTGAAGAAACAATTACCATAAAGTTATATAGGGAATTTTATTTTAATATTCTCAGTCTTCAGAAATCACCTATCAGTTCATGTTAAATTAAAACGTAAAATGGCACTAAAAGTAGAAATGCTACAATATGCAACTACAATAAACAGAAATAAATGTGATTTATTTCTGTTTATATTTTCACCTTCCAAATGGGATAGTCAGTGATGTTGACATAGTAAGCCGAGATACCAAAAATCTAGCAGTGACAAATATTAGAAATCAAAGGATTTCTTATATTTCCGAGGAGGACTGCCATTTTTAACTATCAGGTTAACATAGCGGGTTTTTTTTAGTTCAAAGATCATTTTTATAAGCTGTGCATTTTGCCAGACCCATAATCATTAACCAACATGGTTAATCTGTTATATTTTTCAACATGTGCATGTGTGTGTCAGTATTAAAAAGAAATATTCTTCTCAAAAAGGTTGGATTTTCTGGAAATAATACTTAGCCTGAATACAACAGAAATTGCTAACACAGTGTTTATTAATCTATATAAACAACTACAGTAGAATGTCCGATATCTGGACTCGTTGGGACTTCTGTGATTCCAGATTTGGGATTTTTCCCGATATTAAATCATCAGTTTAAATAGCATGTAAAAATTATAAAATTAAAAATATGAAATTGTGATTCATGAAATAATGAAGCATTTATAATCTAAAGGGTATAAAAATTTACAAAAAAAAAAAAAAAAAAAAAAAGCTCAATATTTTTTTTTTTTTTTTTTTTTTTTTTTTTTTTTTTTTTTTTTTTTTTTTATATTGTTTACTTTAGTAAACATTTCTTTCAATGTAAGTTGTTTAAATTGCTTAACTTTTTTTGTGGTAATACTTTCTCTTTAATTCTGCAGACAGATATAATTTCTTATTCGGTTACATTGTTGAAATCCTGTAATTGCTGTGTTGAGAATTCCAACTAACTCATCAACTGAAATTTTTTCATTTTCAGTAACCTCTGTGTCACTTTCTTCACTATCGGTAGCTGTATTTTCTGGATATGGAACTATGCTACAGATTTCGCCCTCCATTAATTGATTGATGATTGAGGAGCAGTCATCAAAATGAAAAACTTCTTTTATATCTATCGCTTTTCCACATTTCTTTACAGAACCCTTTAATTGGAAAATCTCACCTTTGGTTTGCGATATACAAAAACCTTTAAAATCCATGGCTATCATCATAAAATTTAGCTGTCGTTCACTATACATATTTGGCTATGTATCAAGAGATTGGCAAAAGCCCACACAAAAAAGCCCACTATGATAATTGCCCATGCTATAAATACCCACAGCGATGAAAGCGCACATTGATAAAAGCCCACGCTGATAAAAGCCCATGTTGATAAAAGCCTACATAGACATAAGCCCACGCTAATAAAAGCCCCCACTGATAAAAGTGCCCATAATCAATTACTAAACCATGTACTTATAATTTTAATTACAATAAATAGAGTATTCAGATCTAAATTTTAATGTCTTAAATATATGTCTGTTTGTATATTTTATCACTACTTTATTTGTTTAATTTATTAGGTTGAAAGCAAACTTTCTACTCTCTGATTAAGTAATTAGCTATAATGTTTCGATGATAAATCTGAAATTGCATTTTATTATTTATTTACTTATTTAACTTTGGTATGTGTATGTGAAAATGAAAAATATCATTGTGGATTTTCTCACATGCTATTTTTAAGGTAATATGGCTGAGATTAAATATAATTATGTTTCATTATTAAAACTATTAACTTTTTAATTGAAAACAGTTGAATTTTATTTATTTCTTTTTAGTTCCTTTCTAGTTTAGGAATATTAAAACAGTTAAGCACAATGAAAACTTGGCTAACAGATATTTTATTCTTTACTTTAGACAGATTATTATCAAAGCATATCTCTCATTGAAAGCTTTTTTGAATGTAACAATTATAATTTGGTGATTTTCTAGAGATATTTTCTTTTAGATTTCTGAATAAATTAAAACTGTCAGCTGACACTCTGTGGGATGGAACAACTCTTAGAAATCAACATATCTACAAATTTAAGTACAATCCCTTCAAACTATAGCAATAAATATTTAGCATTTTATTAGAGATTGTGAAGATTACAAAGAACTATGCATATAATAACATCTAATAAAATTTTGTAACTACATAAATTTATATTTATAGAGTCACCAGATTCAAAGTTCATCGTTTTTAGATTCTAAGTATACATATTATATACATTCATCATTCATTAACAGTATGATGTATAGTAATAGAAAATTAGTATTAATGTTTCAAATTGTAATTTTTTAATAATTTGTCTTGTATTTGCTGTATATTTGTTCAAGAGGTATGGATATGAATTATATAACATGAAAAATACACAGAGAGCAGCTAATCTTATATAACAGCTAATTGTGAAAGAAAAATTACAGTACTTTTAATTACAGAGCAGAGGACAAAGCAGAGGAACAGTGGTTCTATTTCTTTATAAGTATGTGAAATTAAAAAAAAAAAAAAGGATCCTATATGACTAAAATGGAATTAGATTCAAAAACACACCTCTTGAACATGTCTGAAATTCATTATTCTGCTTGGAATAAACTTATCTAAAGAAAATGTTTAAAAAATATTAGAACTCAAAAGCTAAGTCAGGTCAAAGTAGTAAGGGTCATTTCGTTTGAATATATCTTTTCTTAATGATAAAGTGACTTTTCGAACAGCGAATGAAACGGAAAAGACGGATTAAGTGCGAATGGCAGCAGACAAATGACACTGTTTCGAACTTAGCATGAAAAGAGAACGCACGAAATGGCAATAAGCCAAGGGAAGGCATGGAAGATATTTTTAAGAAAACTTGCTCGTATATATGTTACGCAAGAAGAAAACCACGAAACTACCCAAGCAGTCAGCCTTTCTATCGGGAGTTAAACCTCGGACATATAAAAGCATTCTGTACCGCACTACGCGCATAGGGAAAATACATTCTTGGGATTGGGTATAGCTTCCAATGAGAGCATTTCCTCTACACTTAAGGAAGCTTTTGCTTAGGCTCGAGAGTACACCTCCATACCAATTGTTTATATTTTGATAGCAGTATTAGAAAATTATCACTGTTAATGACGTGTGCTGTATTTTTGATGCCATGAGATTTGGTGAATTAAATTTAAAAATTGTAGCAAATTTTTCCTCTAGAGAGAAAAAGTATTATTTCTTCTAGTGTGCTAAATCTATAAATGTGTATTAATATTCGGTGCAGAGTTTTTTAATTAATGTATTCTTAATTTAAAACTATTCATAGTAAAGGTGTGGTGGTTATTAATTCGTTATTCCGTGTTCATTATATATCCATTCTCTGCAGATGTAATCTCTTCCGAAAATATGAAACAAGTCATTTTTCGCTGATGGCAAAAATGTTGTGAGTTAACATAATACTCATTAAATTCACTATATTTTTAGTTAGTCAAGATAAGTAAAATTCATTTTTGAAGTTAGACTACTATAGATTTGTATTAGAAAAATAAAGATACGTAATTCAATAATATTACTTTATGAATATTGCCTATTTTTAAAGTGTAACATCTTTCGTATATTACTTTATGAATATTGCCTATTTTTAAAGTGTAACATCTTTCGTACATTTCTGTAAAAATAATGTTTATCAGAAAAGGAAGTTTCTTTCCTTATCCACGCGTATTAAATTCAGCAACAATACTGAATGCATTTTTTTCTTTCATTTAAGGCAACAGAATATTACAAATGGGAAAGACATGGATACTAACATCGAAATAACATATGCATTTGCAAAGGAAATATTTTCTGCAATATGAAAGGAAATGAAGGCAACAAAATTGCACTTATGAGAAATATACTTACGAGAAAAATATACGAGAAAAATACTTACGAGCACACACAGTCTTTACATTTCGGCCGAAATCGTTGGGTAATCCAGTGTGTTTTGGTTTTTGTACTAAATTCTAGAACTTGATAATCTAAGCGCTTAAGTTTGCATCTGCTATTAATGACATCTTTAAAGGATTTTATAATTTTATTATTCCATAAAACAGGAAGCCATCTGCAGAATGCTGCAAGTAAATATTTTCGTCTGCAATATTGTTAAAAGAAAACAAACGATAATTTTAACATTTCCGTGTCACTAATGCATGACATTCAACGAAAACAAAACCTTAAGAATCCCCCCTAAACGTCAATATGTCAAGAGAAAATGATGTCAAAGGAAAGTATGTCCAATCACAAGCACAGATTTTCCCCTATGTGTGTGGCACAGTACAGAATGCTTATATGCATCCCGGACTGAACTACCAGTGTTCAGCGTTTTTACCGCTTGGCAGCTGGTGAGCCTTGTGTCTACATGAAAAGCATAAGAATTGGATGACTGACGCTTTTCTTAATGTACAGCTTTTATTCCATTTTTTTATTAATTTTTATTCATCTAACTAATTATTTATTTTTTCGATATTTGAACTTTTTAACTTTTTCTCAGATTTATTTTCAAAGGAACAATGTCTAAAAAGTTTTGCGAATCGAAAACAAATGATTAAGTCTTAGATGAGATATGGTCTACCAATAAAAAAAAAAAACGTTTTCACATTTAGCATCTTCTTTATATACATGCAGCTTAAGTGTTTGTCGCCAATAGTTTATTGGTTGCTTGCATAACTGTAAATTGTTTTACTCCCCGTGCAGTGCAGCACGTGACAAATATTATGAGAAAGCTAAGGCGAAAAAATTAAAAATACAAGAGCACATGCATTTAACATTTAATATATAAATTTAACATCTATAATAGAATTCAGAAATATGAAACCGGCAAAAACCAGCAATGATGAAAAAACAAATAAAATGAAATAAATAAATATCTTTATTATATGCGGCTTAAGTGTCTGTTTGTCGTCGATAGTTTATTGGTGGCTTGCGTTACTGTACTAGCAAATGGGGTGAAGTTGCCACCGCAGAGAGTTGCCGTTTCAATTGAGACGTAGACAATTAATTTCCTGTAAAAACTTGCCTTTGCTATGACCATCAATAAGTCTCATGACCAAACACTTAAGCGTGTTGGCATTTTTTTACCTGAGCCTGCATTTGGACACGGTCAACTTTACGTTGCCTGTTCAAGAGTTCGTGAAAGAACGGATGTAAAATTAAAAATAATGGATGGTCCTCTGCACGGTGAGCTTAAAAATTATGGAAAGATCTACACAAGAAATGTTGTGTACAAAGAGATCTTTGACATGTGAATTAACATTTTATTATTTAAATCACCTTTATTTATTAATTGATTTATTTATTGAGCTAGCTGTGGCTCTTAAGAAATGTACCACCGGTGGTTTCCTTCATTGCACTCTACTTTAAGCAATTAAGCAAGTAGAAGGGGGAAACCCTGTGAAGCAGTAAGCAAAGGGGCGTCCTCGCCACCTGCCTTGTGTAATTCAGTTTGAATTAGCAGACACCTTTGCACAAATCATTTTAATTACAATTTATAATATCTAGAACAGCGGTCATTTTGTATGACTGCCGGGCTTTCTAGTGTAATAAATGTAAGTTGTTATCCATACTGCTTATCTCAACAAATGCTCAATTTTTTTTTCTCTTTTGAAATCAATAGAATTGTTTTATGAAACTAACCCCAATAAAACGTAAAATTTTATTAAATTTTATGTTTGATTGTTATCTTCAAGAATGGAGCTAACAACAAATTATAAGGTCTAATCGTTCACGGGAGCATGCAAATTGTCAATGACGTTCTGTACGATTGCTGGTGACTTCTCACTAGACAACAGAGTCTGCCGAGCGGTAAAGTCGCGGAACACAGGTAGTTCAGTCTGAGTTTCGAATCCCGCAGACAGGCTGGTTGCATGGACGTTTTCGTAATTTTCCCTATGTGTAATTTATATAGAGCCAGTTTCTCTTAGAAAGTCTTCTACGAAGGCATCCCTCTCCTCAGGCAGATAGCCCTCGAGGCTTTGCCGTGCTCACATACACCAAACCAAACCAAACTCACTAATCAACTTGATGTTAAGTAACAACAGAATACAAAATAAGGATAAAGGTTGAAACCTTTTATCCAAGAGAACTATTTACAAGAGTACACCTTGTGCTTAACATATAGACCACTGCTTGTAGTGTTATGTTAAGTTAGAAATGAAGGGGCCACCTAATATTTACCTGAAGTAAGTAGACATTAGCTCTACACACTGACTAAAAAAACAACAACCTTCCGGCGTCTTCGAATCATGATGAAATTGTGACTCCAGCCAACACTGCAAGTTCTGCCATTGACGGGTGTTAAATTAGATGAAGTAACATGCATTACATTACATGATATATACAGTGATACACAGTTGTACAGGTGCATGTTTTATGACATTATTTATTGTAATGGGTACAGGCATGTTTCAGGACATTACATATTGCAGTAGATAAAGGCGTGATGTAGATAATGTTCTTTTAGGGCGGGTTTGTAAACATAATCTGTTTACATCAGTGTTTACTATCAAAATTAAGTTAGCACTATAAAATTGTTTACAAAGGTTACTTCATTCTGCATATTTATGCTTACTGCTTACATTTAAATATTGTTATAGATGTGCTGATACTTTAGCTACTCAGTATTCACAAATGAGTTGCTAAAGTATCAGTACAACCATACAACAATACTTATGCTTCAGTTTAATTACCTTTTGAAATATGTGCAAAAATTAGATTATTACATACCACTATATTCTTCTTCAGTTTCTAATAGATAACAGTGGCTGTATTGAAGTAAAACTGCAGCCTGGATGAATTCATCCCATCTTTTTTCTGCCTGTAACAATCTACACCTTTGATATAGAGCATCAATACCCTACAAAATTTAAAAACTATTTTAAGTACCTTTAAAGGTATATTTAAACATTTTGGTAATACAAAATACAATTAAGAGCTAAAAAAGATTAACTGTAAAGTGAACATAAAATTTTATGAACATCCAAATCAACTTCAATTTCATAAAAAATATTAATTTTCTCTTTAAGAAAAATACTATTATACACCTAGAAAAGCAAATATTACAAAAGGGTGCCGTTTGTACCAATTAGTATTTTATAAATAAGAATCATGGTTACAAATCTGAATGAAGAACATACTTTAAAGGTTCAAGTTCCAGTGAAGACATTGCACATTTTTCACATCTCTTGCTCCAAAATAACCTAATAACTCTATAACCTTTTGCCATCTTTTTGGTAACACATAGAACATTTCGTCTTTTTCAGCAAAAAACTCAACCAAGTGCAAGTTCAGCTATTAAAATTTTTACCTTTTAAGAAGTTTTGTAAACTTCAAAATAAGTGATAATCTCAAGGTGCAAGGTCAGGCTATATGGGGGATGTGACATCACTTCCCATCCAAGGTCCAATAATTTTGTACGTATTACTAAAGATGTGTGAGGCCTCACACTGTCATGGTGGAAACTTTAACATGATTTCTTTACAATCTGCCAATTCTGGTCTTTTCAATTTGATTGCTTCTTCCAGTTTCATAAGTTGTTGTTTTTTGAGTTGATCTTTGGTTGCTTAGAAGCATCTCTAAATACACAACACTTTTGTAATATCCACCAGATTGGCAGCATGATTTTTTTATGATGCACTTTAGCTTGATTCATCATACTTGGACCATGATCTTTTTCAATTAATGTTATTGTATATGACAATTTTCATCACCAGTGATAATAAATTAAAAAACCTCCCATTTAATACAGAGGTCTTAAGATGGGGTCGGGCTTGATCGTGCATCTACCTTAAATTGTGCTACCAGATTCTAACAAACTAGTTCTCCATTTCCATGTGTTATTGGCAGTAAACGTCTGAGTTGATTGTTTGGTTGCATGGAAGCAGTTCCCAATGCACAACACCTTTGTAATCCCACCAAATAGACAGCATGATTGTTTTCTGATGCAATTTAGCTTTTGATATGATTTGTGCTGATTCATCATGCTTGGGACATGATCTTGTTCAATTAGTGTAAACAATCTATTTTTCACCACCAGTGATAATTCGTTTAAAAAATCTGATGTGTACACCACATGACTTCCTTGTACAGAATATTAAATTATACGCATTTTTTCTTGCATTTCATTTAAACTTATTGGATTTAATTAAATCTACTTCACCGACAGCGCATAAACCACAATAGAATAAATGCATTCTTTAAAATTCACTCTATTTGTTTACCATAGTGACACTCTGGTGCTAGGTTCACTTAACAGTATTATATTTCGTTCATATTATAACTCAGAATGCACAAAATTTATATCATTTAAGGAATTATCTAATCGTTGCCACATGTTCTATTCAAATACTATAATAAAGCTAGAACGACGTATAAAAGAAATTAAACAAACAAAACAAAAAAGAAAGTTTTTCACAGATGATTGAGTACTTCTCATTCAATTAATTCAGTTCTCACTTCGCGACAAGGCAAAAATACATAAAAACTCAAAATATCTGTATTAAAAATTACGAAGTAAATCTTAAACACTTATTTCCTCGAAAAAATTCCAGAAAGGATTAAGCATGACTTAATTTGCAATAATAAATGAAGGCATTATCATTGTTGTTATGAAGCTAAATTTCTCTAGATTGGCAACAAATCCCCTATTCTGCTGTTTTAAATGTAAACAAGCAATGGCCGCCATCAAAAACATTATTAGGCTTAGCGGCACTTAAACAACTTTAAAATTAAAACACAATAACACGCCGAACAAATACCAATTCAGAAGTCAAACAACAAAAATCAGCGTTATATTTTCAAAATTTTCACAGGACTAGTTTCGATGGTTTTATCGGACCGCCATTCTCAGCTGCAAAACCGCAATATTTATTTTGTTTTCTAAAATAAATATTACAAGCAAACTGAAGGATTAGCCATGGGAAGCCCCTTCAGTCCCATCATGGCTGATATCTACATGCATTATTATGAATCAAAATTGTTTGAAACTTTAAACTTCCCGGCATGGTTCTGTTACGTAGACGATACTTTTACCCTGTTTGAAGGTAATAAAGATGATTTAAATAAAGTTCTTTCAACAATGAATTCTATTGATCCTGCTATTCAATTCACTTTTGAACCTGAGCCTTGCACTTCTCTTCCGTTTCTAGACATTCTGGTCACACGTAACACATCCAACTTCAGTACTACAGTTTACCGTAAACCTTCATCGGTTTGCCTTCCATCCACACTTCAAATCATGTCATCTGACTAAACAAAAGTTAGCTTCATTTTATTCCTATGTTTTCCGTGCTCTTCAAGTTTGCTTCTCTAAACTATCCCTTGATGAAGAACTAAATTATTTAAAAGCAATAGCTATTGACAAGGCTTTTCACCCAACATTATTAATCAAGCGGTTAAAAAATTCTCATCTTAATACACTAAAAGATCCGTCTCTTCTTTTAGGAGATTATAAAAATTCTGTTGTCATTCCCTTCTTTCCATCAATTAGCTATAAAGTTGCACATATTTTGCAGAAATTTAACTTTCGGGTTGTTTATTCTATTATAGTATGGAACTCGGAATTTTAAAAATTCCGAGTTCCATGCTCAAAGACCCCATTCCGGATATGAATTCCTGGGGTATTTATAGGATTCCTTGCCAGTGTGGTTTAATTTACATTAGCCAAACTAAGAGAGCCTTAAAATTTCACGTCAAGGAACATGAGGCATAGTTAGAAAAAAGGAAACAGAGAAGTCTTTTGTTGCTCAACATTGTTGGTCCAAAAATCACACTTTCAATGTTTCTGCTGCCAAAATTATTCAAAAAACATCTTCCGTTGGAGAACTGGATTTTCTAGAGGCATTTCACATTCAAAAAAATCTTTCTGTTCTAGTTAACGATCCTAATTCCAATCCATCTTTGCCTTCGGCCTTTAAAGAAAATATGTTTTAGTTCTGGTTTCATCAACAGATGGCGCCACTTGCTTATTTTTGTCCAGGCTTTCTTATCTTATCTAATCATCATTTCCTATCTTGTTCATTTGCGGTTTTGCAGCCGAGGATGGTGGTTTGATAAAACCATCGAAATTAGTCCTGTGAAAATTTTGAAAATATAAAGCTGATTTTTGTTGTTTGACTTCCGAATTAGTAACTTTAAAATTGTTGATAATTCTAAAAATATTGCATACAGATTTACTAAAAGCATAAAAACCTTAACCAGAAGATAAGAACAACATAATTCAATCATTTTTAAAGCAAAAAATGTACAATTTACAAACATATAAGAGTAAAGAAACTGCAACCACTGAGCAGGGTAACAGAGTGGATATGTACAGTGGCTCCCAAAAGTGTTCGTACACTTATGATTTTCATTGAAATAGGACTCTATATATTAATTAAAAGTAAACTTTCTGAATGAAATTTTAATAATAAGATCTCTAATCTATTCGTAGCAAAATTACATGAAATATTTTTTTAATATAGCGAAACTTTATTTTTAAAAAATTAATAATCATTAAATGACAAACATTTTTATCTCACAAAAGTCTTCGTACACTTCAAAAAAAATCTTAACATATTAGTTAACAATTTCATTTTTTGTTAATTAATATTAGTAGGATATCCTTTAGCATCCACAACAGCTTTGAAATCTCTGGGAATAGATTTTACTAGTTTTTGTTTTGTAATTTCTGTATCAATGTTCATCCATTCTTCCATCATGGCTGTTTTGAGTTCTCTTTTCGTTTTGATGTCATGTTTTCGTACTTTAACCTCCAGCTCTTTCCAAATGTGTTCTATGGGGTTTAAATCTGGCGACTGAGGTGGTGTTTCTGAAACCTGTGGACAATTATAGAGACACTACAGACGAACGTTGAGAGCTGTATACTTTGGATAGTTATAATGATTAAAAATAAAGTTGTTTCCAATACCCAAATTTTGGGCTGATAATTTTAAATTGTCTCTTAAAATATTTAAATAAAGAGAATGATTCATTATGCCATCAATAAATACCAAATTATCTAGTCCTGATGCTGTCATGCCCCCCCTCCCACACACACACAAGAACACCTCCACCGCCATGCTTAACTGTTCCAACTAAGTTCTTAGAATGAAGTTCCTTATTTTTTCTTCTCCATACAGTTATTCGACCATCAGAACCAAAAACATCCATTTTCAGAAAATAGAACATTATTCCAGTATGTTTCAAGTGTGATTTTGCGAATGAGAGCCTAAGCTTTCTGTTTTTCTCACTAACAAAATTTTTTTTTACGAGCAGAACGCCCATGTAATCCAGCTTCTCTGAGAACTCGTTGAACAGTTTAATATGAAATTAAAGTAGAAAACTTTGCTTTAAATTCTGCAGAAACTTTTGCAGCACTCAAACGTGGGTTTTTTACAAATTTTCTAATAATAAATCTCTCATCACGTTTAGTTAACTTTCTCGGTTAACCTTTTCTTACTTGTTTTCAATCCGATTTTCTTCTTTAAAGCATTTTATTACATACTGCACTGTAGAATGGGATAAATTAATTAATTTAGCGATATTTTGAATTCATTTACCATAACTATGGTAAAAAATTATCAATTTTCGAATGCTGTTTGTAATTTCTTTACGACTGCGGCCCATTTTTCAATAATAAATAGAATATTATGAAGTAAACAATAAAAAAATAAAGCAAACGATTTTTTTAAATGCCACCCCAATGCAAAAATTAAAAAAAGCGGCGAACGATAATTTTAATTTTGATTTCATCCAAAAATATTTCAGTGTACGAAGACTTTTGTGAGATAAAATTTTTATCATTTTTTTATTATTAATTTTTTAAAAATATTTCATGTAATTTTGATACGAATAGATTATAGATCTTATTATTAAAATCTCATTCAGAACGTTTACTTTTAATTAATGGATAGAGCCCTATTTGAATGAAAATCATAAGTGCACAAACACTTTTGGGAGCCACTGTATATAAATATATTTACATACGTTTGGTGCAGCCCATTGCAACCAAAATACGAGGTGCACATATACATGTTATAGCAGTCTTACATACAAAACTTCAACGTTCTGAGGTTACTCGTTTTTGAGTTATGCGAGATATGTACGTATACGTTCGAACAGACGCCACAAAAAATTGTCTTCAGAATTCATTTTAAAGCATTTTTATAATTTTTTTGGAGGAAAAGAGTCTTTTATTCTGTCCTTACGTACAGATATCACGCAAAAACATCGTTAAATTGCATTCGATAGTGGTCAAAATGGATATTTTCGTTGAAATATGCTGCTTGAAACTTTTCGCGATTACAATACTTCCTTTTTACTTCGTACAAGGAAGTAAAAAAGGGTCGATTGCATGACATTTGAAATGCGCATCACAAATATTGATTTGATGTGTTAAGGGAATTTCTTTCAATTCATGTGAAACCCAAATATAGAGCTTTTTAACGAGTCCAAGATATCTTATATGATTTTCAGTTGTGAGTGATGCATTTAATCATTTTGCAGTCTCTACAATTTTACGACAATTTGATTCCCTTACAGCTTTAATTTTGTCATCAGCAACTTCAGAAAATTGGCCAAGACATTGATCAACTTCCAAGTGAAAAGTCTCCAGAATGAAATCATTTTTGTCAATTTCCAAGTGAAAAATCTCCTGAATGAAATTTTTGAAGCCATTTCTTGTGCATATCAACACCATAATCTTCACATATCTCTTAGCAAGAATCAGTTGCTTACTTGCCATTTTGAAAATAAAAAAGTAAACTATATTGAAAATGTTTATTTTTGAACCCCATGTTAAAATTGATGGTAAACTAAACTGTTGTAAACAAAAATACACAGAATTTGTTTCTATAGCAACTTAAAAGTATCAGCTGCTAAATCTCAAATGAAAAAATATATATATAAGATGGGCAAAAGAATAACAAAATGAATATAACTCTTATCTATTTGTGTAAACTGAAATTACTTTCTTGCTAGCTCAATACTAGTTAATATAAGGATAAAATTTTAGAGTTTCAATCAACACCATAATCTTCACATATCTCTTAGCAAGAATCAGTTGCTTACTTGCCATTTTGAAAATAAAAAAGTAAACTATATTGAAAATGTTTATTTTTGAACCCCATGTTAAAATTGATGGTAAACTAAACTGTTGTAAACAAAAATACACAGAATTTGTTTCTATAGCAACTTAAAAGTATCAGCTGCTAAATCTCAAATGAAAAAATATATATATAAGATGGGCAAAAGAATAACAAAATGAATATAACTCTTATCTATTTGTGTAAACTGAAATTACTTTCTTGCTAGCTCAATACTAGTTAATATAAGGATAAAAGTTTAGAGTTTCATAATTGCATTAGCAGAAAAAAGGGAAAATCTAAAATTTCATCAATAGCAAATATGGATGAGGTATCTTTCACTTTTAGTGTGCTTTCATCAAAACAATGGATCACAGTAAAACTACTACTCTCAAAACATCTGAAAACTAGCTAAATATAAGGATAAAATTTTAGAGTTTCATAATGGCATTAGCATGAAACAGGGAAAGTCTAAAATTTCATCAATAGCAAATATAGATGAGATATCTTTCACTTTTAGTGTGCTTTCATCAAAATAATAGATCTCAGTAAAACTATTACTCCCAAAACATCTGAAAATTAAAGGCAAGCAAACAAAGAATACCAACAAGAATTAAACTTAGAAGTTGGAAGGATGAAAAAGGAATAGCAAAATGAACAAAAAATGCATAGTTTAAATGTTCTGGTGACATAAAAAAATTCCTCTCATGGTATTAGATTAATTCTGATGGCACAAAACTGAACTGTTGAGAAGAAATAAAGAAACAAACCTGATGCAATGAAATCAAGTACACCCAACCAGATGCAATTTCATTTTTAATTTTTATATTATTATAGAGAGCCTACCTTAAAAAAAACTCTGTCATTTAACAAGTACTTACAGAAAGCACCTACTTCTGTTTAACTGAGATGAAGTGTTTGACACCTTTTCTTTAAGCTACCTACAAATTTTTAGTGCTGTTTGCTTGATGGTATTTCCATCTACTGGCAATCCTTTTTGTGGCTTATCTTTGATCCATACTGCTAGAGACTTTCATTTTTTCCTTGATATATTCCTTGTATTTTATGATGAATTAAAACTTACTTTTGTTCAAAAACATAACAACTTCCTCACTGAAGGTTCACCTTTCTTAATAGTTTTTACATAGCTTCATGTAAGCTTGTAAAATACTTTCCTACAGATGTAGCATCTTGTCCAGTTATAAGGCAATCTTGAATTTTAAGTTCCACAGAATTTTTTTAATGATGAATTATGTGACATTTCATAACGGATATCAAAAAATATTGCAGTATGTATTAATAAAAAAGCGATGAAAAATTTGTAACTTTATAATTGATTGTCAAAATTAATAAATTTATTAGTTGATAAATTTCACTAAAAGTTCTTTCACTTTGAAACAGAGCTACGTATTAAATCATGAAATGTCTTTTGAAGACACATAACATGTAAAAATTATATGTAAAAATTATTAAATGTCTTTTGAAGATACAAAATTCAATCCCAAATTATACATAACAACACAACTTAGAAACAAGAAAGAAAGAAAAAAAAAAAAAAAAAAGAAAGAAAGAAAGAAAGAAAAAACTAATACATTTAGTAACATGATTTGCTGTTTGCTGTGGAGAGGTACTTAATTCTTCTCCATTAGTTATTATGCAATTGATTTGTGTATGCACGTAAAATATATGCCATAAATATGGACTGTCTTTCTTAAAATTTAGGGGGGGGGATTCAGAAATTGGCTTGGATTGCTTGTGTTAAATCAAAATGGCACTGTAAAAAGAGAATGAAATATTTATTTTGAATTCATGTAAAAAAAGTGAATCGAATTCGTGGAAAAAAAGTTCATGTAAAAACAGAATTAGGTGTACAACTCAGATCAAACTCAACTATAAAATTAGCAACATAATAACCTTGAATTTGGCATAGATTTATGTCAAGATCTCAATCGATTTTGAGGACAAGCAGGAGTCTTCCAGTCTTGCAGATTTATTTGCTTTTGACAAAGAGGAACCTGTACTACTTCCCTCAAAATAGAATGAGATCTTGACATAAACCTATGCCAAACTGAAGGTTGTTGTGATACTAATTTTATGTTTCACTTGGCATGTTTCTCTGCCGTTTTCAAACACAGCTATAATTCCTGGGAGCCGAACTAATCAACTTCAGGTTTTAGGTGCTTGTGGTAAAAATCATTCAAACATTTCTTGAAATGCAATAACTAGGTGCACAGCTTCAGGTAAGATCATCAGATTCTGTGACTTCAGTAAGAAGAAAGAGGTTCCATATTTCAAAACTATGTAAACAAGTCAAAGCATTATGGGATGCAATGAAACAAAGACTTGTCAAAAAATCATTTCAGAAATATTTTAAGAACAGCACTTGGTAGCTACAAAGATGATGAATGCTTTAAATAAAAATAAAGCAAACAGATCATAGCTTAGTTTTTGAGATTTCAAGTGATGAATTGCCTAGTTCTGAAAAAAACTTCTGATCTTCTAAAAGGCAATGTAATGATTCCTGTTAAAACATTCAAAGGTTACAATTATATTGTTACCTTTAAACAAAAGGACATCTAAATGTAATTTAAGATGCATGCTAGTTCATATATTATTACCGTTTTACACTTGAATATTCATTACTTTTGTAACTAAATAGATTTTGTATCAAACGCATGAAAATTAAAGTATTGTGATATCTTGAAATTAACATAGTAATACAGAAGTTAAAATAAATACACCCATAGACATAATATTAAAATAGGAAAGATTAGACAACTATTCATTAGATGAACATTTTAATATGAACAACATTGAAATTTATGTCAACTGCATGCGATACAAAGATTACTAATATCCACTAATATTTACATCACAATTATGAAACTAAATGATCTTACTGCAATGAGAAAATCTTTGAAGACTGGAAAAAATATTCTGAAGTGCAGATCAATGCAAACCTCCTTAACCTCTTTGAAGTATCTAACAACAATCTTATATTGAAGTTTAAGCAAGCTCCATTTTCTGGAAGCTTTGGTATTGGCTGCTACTCTCCATTCATTTGAACCAGAATCTTCAAAGGTGTTCAGCCTAGATTATACCTCCACCACATACATACCTTTATATGTTAGAGTATGAATCCCCAGTTTTATTAAAAAAGGTTTGGTTCTGAAATTCCAAAATCAATCAAATGTGAGTTCCTTTTCCAGATACACAAGAAAAAGTCTTTTTAAACATGTAGCCATTGCATGTATATCCTATTCTTTTAGTTTAGGTGACATAAATCAAGATATATCCGTACTTTCTGTTTCAATAAAACAACTTAGAAAAATAGAACACAGCATTTTTTTTTTTTTTTTTTTTTTTTTTTTTTTTAAGGCATTAGGATAATGAAGTGTGTCTTACATAAAAATGCATTCCTTTAAACTCCCACTGTCCAAGTAGATATTGATTTTCTGGGATAAAAGTGTCATTACAAAAATGCTTAATTAATAAATTTTAACCTCTAGCTCCTGACCTACCTTTTGGTGTGAAATGAACACAGTAAATACATCACTTATGATCGTACATTTAAAGTTGACAATAGTTTTATTTTATCAACAAAATTAATGTTTCCTTCCTGCACTGATAAAATAAATTCATTTATTCTAATAATTTACTTACTAGGGTTGTTACTTCCTTTCCTTCTTCATACTCTAAAAAGTAAATTAAAAAAATTGATCATGACTCTAAATCATACAATTGTAAACTACTTTACCAAATCTCATATTATTTTTTAAATATAAATTAAAATTTAAAACATTCTCATACAGTTTAGATTTTTAGGGTACAAACATGACATATAATTTCTTATTTTCTTATAAAAATGAAATAATACTGATTTTCTGAGAGCAATGAAAAAAGTACTATGTCAGATGACTAGTGTATGAAACATTTCTTTACAGCTTTAAAAAAAAAAAAAAAAAAAAAAAAAAAAAAACCACCTAGGATTTTTTTTTTTTTTTTTTTTTCTATTTAAGTTTTAAATAAATAGTAATTTAAATTAGCCATCACTGTATCGAATATGTAGATTAGTGTATATAAGAAATAAACAAATGATGAAAACATTAAAATTTTGTTCATGCAAATACACACATACATACAAAATAAATCATACTTAGAAATTCCTCCCTAAATTTCATTAATCATTAAAAAATAAATGTATTAAAAAAGTTTTTTTAATCATTACATTCTTAATGAATCTTTTTTCCATAAATTATCGATGTTGATTTGTTTAAAGTGATGTTCTAAATGCTGAATTCTCAGTTTCCAAAATATTTCTTTTATTTAAAGGTTATCAAGAAATAAGAAATAAGTTTCCTACTTCAGAGGGTTCTAGAATGTGTTCTATTGGTCCAAATGATATCAAATTTGAACTACAGATAATTCAAATGATGCGTTTATAAATTCATTAAATAAAAAAATTTAGTACCAAAACCCATAATACACATAAAAATATTGAATATGCTGTATAAGTGTTAAATAATACAAAAAAGTAGCATTAGCATTGTAAGGGCTCAATATTATCCCCCTTCATGTTCAACAATGTGCTCTACCTGCAGAACCACACTTTACATAGCTAACTGGAGTGAGTCTGTTGGAATATCAAGAACATGGAGGGCGCCTAATGCTATCCTTCAGATCTGGCATAGATGGTGGCCTTTCATGATAGATACAGTACAAAGTCCGAAATCCAGACTCATCGGGACTTCAGCGATTCCGAATTTGGGATTTTTCCGGATATTGGATCATCTTAAATCTAGTAAGATGGCATGTAGAAATTATAAAATTAAAAATATGAAATCGCGATTTATGAAATAATGAAGTATTAATTATCTAAAGGGTATAAAAATTTATAAGAAAAAAGCTTAATATTTATTTTTTTACCTTATTAAACATTTCTTGCAATGTAAGTTGTTTAAGTTGCTTTGTTTTTTGTGATAATACTTCCTTTTTAATTCTGTAGACAGGCATAATCTCTTGTTTAGTTACATTGTTGAAGTCTTGTAACTGCTGTTTCAAGAAGTCTGACTAACTTGTCAATTGAAATTTTCTCGTTTTCAGTAACGTTTCTCATTTTTAGTAACTTTCTTCACTAACGGTAGAGGTATTTTATGGATCTAGAACCATACTACAAATTTCGCCATTCATTAATTGATTGATGTCTGAGAAGCATTGTCATCACAATGAAAAACTTCTTTTATATCATCTTCATCTATTACCGCTTCTCCAGATTTCTTGATTTCTTAATAAAATCCGTTAATTGGAAAATTTCAGCTCTGGTTTGCGATATCCGAAAACCTTTAAATCTAGGGGCGATCATCATCAAATCTAGCTATCCTTCACTATACATATTTAGCTATGCATCATGAGCTTGGCGACTAATGACAAGTTGTTCCGTTAAATTTTATCTTGCTTCTAATTGCACAGAGACAATTAAGCCTGAATTGTATTAGTTATTTATTATACTTATGTCTATTTCTTGCACATGCTTAAGACTGAATAAATAAAAGTGACTGAATAAATAAAATAGTGACTGAATATATAAAAGACTGAATAAATAAAATAGTGGAGTTCTGAATAAATAAATTCCCACATATACCTACTTAAGCCTTATTGAGGGCCGGCACAAGTTGTCATATTTTGATAAACATGCGGCGATGAAAGGAAAATATAATAAATAATGATTTCCCAGGTTGGTATCAGGTCAACGATGTATCTATGTGGAATGTTTCGATTTGAGATAAGTGTCAAGCAGATACGCAGCAGCAGATCCAACTTACTGATCATACAAATTTATGCTAATGTGATTGTTTCTTCAATAACAAGGTATTTTATTTCATGTCGAAGTGAAATTAATAATCCGGACTCTCCAGATGTTTTATTATGTGCGGAGAGGGAATTAAATGTGCATGAGTAAAGCCTACGAGAAAAAACGTTGTTGGTGGCTTTGAGGTCCGGATTTTAGATCCTTCTGGATAATGGATGTCCGGATTTCGGACTTTGTTCTGTACTGTCCTTCAGAAAACCTCGCAAACAAAAGTCACACGGGGTGATATCCAGCAAATGAGGAAGCCACGCTGTTGGAAAATGTTGGCTGATCATCCCTTCATCTGTGAAATACTGTCTTAGCAATTGCTTTACACAACGATCTATGTGATGAGGTGCACCATTCTGAAGTTACTGAACCAATGCTGAAGTGGGATTACAAAATCTCTCAGTATATCACCATACCGTTGTCCTGTGGCAGAACAGGTTTGGATTCCATTTGCAGTTATCTCTTCCAAAAAATACAGTCCAACATTAAAGATAGCCATAAAACCACACCATACTGTCATACTGTCATTTTCTCAAGATGCAACGGTTATTCCTGGAAAGGGTAATGTTTTCTGCTACCCAAATTTGACAATTGAGTATGTTAACTCATCCATTCAGGAAAAAGTGGGCTTCAGTCCATAGAATGTTCCATGATCAAGTACTGTCAACCAACATTAGAGCACGAAACGGAAGCGCGAAAGATTTATGAACCTCTGAGTCCCCGTGCTGCAATAGGTGGATAGGCTTGATCTGATTAAAATTCAAAATCCACCGTAAGATTTTTCACATAGTGGAATATGGCATATCCAATACATGAAAACAACTGGCACAGTCACATTACCATGTCATAATTGACTGATGGCTCAACGACCACAATAGTCACATTTTTTATGCTTAGAAGACTGAATTTGCTTTTGTCCTCTACCTGAATGAATGTAAAGTTGTCTTAAATTTCTTTATCATTTTGCATAGGGCAAAAGGAGACATTGGATCCCTTTATATCTGCTTCATCCGACAGAATTCTTTTACTGCTGTACAGGAGTTCTACGATTTCTGGTCCAACAATTTTACCAATAGCATTTTTTTTTTGGCAACATAAGCATAATGTGCAGAGCATGCAGACTATCTGCCTTCTTTTTATCCAAAGACTAATGCTAATAGGCATGCACTGTACGTTCAAATTTGAACGTACAGTGCAAAAAAAAAATGAAACAATCTGGCTGCTACTTGTCAGTACAATTCTTCCTAAATCATCCTATTACTCTGTACAGTCATTAAGTTAAATCAATGCTGCAGTGTAAAAAATGTACAATGCCATTGCCAGGATTCAAACTCTGGACTTCCTGGGCACATAGTGAGATTGCTTTCTATTTTACACAACGTGTAGGTATACATGTGGAGAAAATACCCTATATACCCATCCTTTTAAAGAGCAAATGGGGATGAGGGGAAGCAGTTGCAAATCCTGGTGGTGACGAATGGAAAAAAAAGTGGAAAAAGTGGTTCATCACTTTCTTAGTTTGGATGCCAGTACAGCATTGTTTTAGAAATGCTCAATGTCAGGAAACAGAAGAAATCTGCAATGCTGCTGCCAGGATTCTAATTCAAGACCCTCTGAATATGTAGCGAGCACACTTCCAGTTACACCTTGAAGGTATGTAGAAAGAAGGAAGAAAATAACTTATATACTCCTCCTTTTAAAAGGTAAATGGGGATTAAGGGGTCCAAATGCCGAATCCTAGTGGTGATGAATTACCATCCTCCACCTTTTAGTTTGTGCACCACTTGTAGAATCATTTAAAAATTTTTTTAAGTCATAAAACAGAAGAAATCCTCAATACTCTTGCCAAGATTTAAACTCCAGGCCTCCCAAAATACATACCAACATACTTCCAGTTAAATTATGAAGGCAAGCAATTTCATCAACCAATCATTTTAGGTACAGGAGGAAGAAAATACCTGTACCTAAAATTTGCGGCTATCATCTTCATCGTCCTCACCATGAAATATGGTAGCTGGCCATAAATTATGCCAAGCATTTTTTAACGTATCTGGAGACAGATCCTCCCACGATCTTGTGATGCTCTACACAGCAGATTTTATGCTAAAAAATGGCCTGATTTTATGCCTGAATGGATGAGTATGTTAACTCATCCATTCAGGAAAAAGTGGGCTTCAGTCCATAGAATGTTCCATGATCAAGTACTGTCAACCAACATTAGAGCACGAAACTGAAGCGCGGAAGATTTATGAACCTCTGAGTCCCCGTGCTGCAATAGGTGGATAGGCTTGATCTGATTAAAATTCAAAATCCACCGTAAGATTTTTCACATAATGGAATACGGCATATCCAATACATGAAAACAACTGGCACAGTCACATTACCATGTCATAATTGACTGATGGCTCAACGACCACAATAGTCACATTTTTTATGCTTAGAAGACTGAATTTGCTTTTGTCCTCTACCTGAATGAATGTAAAGTTGTCTTAAATTTCTTTATCATTTTGCATAGGGCAAAAGGAGACATTGGATCCCTTTATATCTGCTTCATCCGACAGAATTCTTTTACTGCTGTACAGGAGTTCTACGATTTCTGGTCAAACAATTTTACCAATAGCATTTTTTTTTGGCAACATAAGCATAATGTGCAGAGCATGCAGACTATCTGCCTTCTTTTTATCCAAAGACTAATGCTAATAGGCATGCACTGTACGTTCAAATTTGCGGCTATCATCTTCATCGTCCTCACCATGAAATATGGTAGCTGGCCATAAATTATGCCAAGCATTTTTTAACGTATCTGGAGACAGATCCTCCCACGATCTTGTGATGCTCCACACAGCAGATTTTATGCTAAAAAGTTTCAAAAAGTCTTGAATAGTCTTACCATTGTTCAAGAAACTTAACATAGATTTTAAAAATGCTACTTTATATTTGCCTTTCAGCGCATGCACTATTCCCATATCCATAGGCTGAATGATAGACGTACAGTTTGGAGAGAAGAATAATATGGATACATTATCTTTCACTAAAGCTTTAAGTGAAGTATGCACTGAACAGTTGTCACCAATCAGAACTATTTTTGAGTCATCGGGTAAACCAACCGAATTCAAATGTCGCCGAGATTCGGGTTTAAAATGATTTTCAAACCAATCATTCATCAATGCTTGTGTCATCAATGCTCTTTTATTTGTGAAAGAATTACTCCTTTAAATGCATGCGTAAAGCATACAAAAAAAAAAGTTTGTGGCTTTGAGGTCCGGATTATAGATCATTTCAGATAATGGATGTCCGGATTACGGACTTTGTACTGTATAATGATTTGCAAACTTGATAGTTGATAAAATTGCATTATTCATTCCTGAAAGTGGAAGAAGGAGTGGTTATTCCTGTCCTCTTGCTTAAATTCTAAGATAAATAAATTATAGTAAAAAGCAGAAAATATTTAAATTTGATTCATTTCATGTAACTAAAGTATTTTTACACCAAACTGCAAAATCATAATGCAAAAAGATAGCTACAAACCTATAAAAAATCATTCTATTTTTCTTGACAAGATAATTACCCTCACAACTAAATTCTGGATAATTTGATTCTAAGGAAAAATACACTGGAAAATAGTATATAAAATGATGATTATTATTTATTATTATTATTATTATTAATTTAATAAATCGCTTAGGGAAGAAGTGAGCATATTTCTGAAAAAAAGGCCCATATTTAACATTATTTGTGTACTCAAGAAGATTTGTATAAGTGACTTTCGCCTATTGTTGAGTCTTTATTTTGAAAAAAAAAAAAAATTCAGTTATTTCAATAGAAATGTGGTCAGAGCTGTCTACATCACAGCTCATACAAATATGAGTTAAGTAATAAGTTAAAGCATTTTTAAAACAAAGAACTCTGGACTGTATGATATAATGAAAATATTTACCTTGTTTTAAGATGCTTGCAGCTTCTGCTATTTTTCCTTTTTTAAGAAGAATATTAGATAAAGCAAGACGAGCTTCCTGATAAGTGGGAGCCATTTCAATAACTTTTTGATATGCACTCATGGCTTCTTCTACATGAGATAAAGCATGCAAACAGTCTGCATATTTCATCCACACTGCTGGCTATAGTAATAAAAAAAATATTCATTAACATGTGAAAGGGACAATGCACACTGGCACAAAAAGTGAAAGACAACATTTTACCTTTGCAGTCATGTTACATTCTGAAAGATCATATGCACCAATCAAAATGTTAGCTTAAAAAAAAACTCATTTTATATTTTGAAGTTTAAAAAAGACTATGAGTTATCGAGAAAAGTTATAAAAAAAAGGACTTTTTAATTATATTAAATGTTCATTTGCACTTTTGCATCTGAGGTAGCTCGCATTTGATGGTGGCTCGGTAAAACCATTGAAACTAGTCCTGTGAAAATTTGAAAATATAACGCTTATTTTTGTTGTTTGACTTCTAAATTAATATCCAGTTTCCTTATGATGTTCTTAAATCTCAAGTAAACATTCTCACATCTAGTCAAAAATGAAACAATCTGGCTGCTACTTGTCAGTACAATTCTTCCTAAATCATCCTATTACTCTGTACAGTCATTAAGTTAAATCAATGCTGCAGTGTAAAAATGTACAATGCCATTGCCAGGATTCAAACTCTGGACTTCCTGGGCACATAGTGAGATTGCTTTCTATTTTACACAACGTGTAGGTATACATGTGGAGAAAATACCCTATATACCCATCCTTTTAAAGAGCAAATGGGGATGAGGGGAAGCAGTTGCAAATCCTGGTGGTGACGAATGGAAAAAAAAGTGGAAAAAGTGGTTCATCACTTTCTTAGTTTGGATGCCAGTACAGCATTGTTTTAGAAATGCTCAATGTCAGGAAACAGAAGAAATCTGCAATGCTGCTGCCAGGATTCTAATTCAAGACCCTCTGAATATGCAGCGAGCACACTTCCAGTTACACCTTGAAGGTATGTAGAAAGAAGGAAGAAAATAACTTATATACTCCTCCTTTTAAAAGGTAAATGGGGATTAAGGGGTCCAAATGCCGAATCCTAGTGGTGATGAATTACCATCCTCCACCTTTTAGTTTGTGCACCACTTGTAGAATCATTTAAAAATTTTTTTAAGTCATAAAACAGAAGAAATCCTCAATACTCTTGCCAAGATTTAAACTCCAGGCCTCCCAAAATACATACCAACATACTTCCAGTTAAATTATGAAGGCAAGCAATTTCATCAACCAATCATTTTAGGTACAGGAGGAAGAAAATACCTGTACCTAAAATTATGCATATTGTGTAAATTATAACTTACACAAAATACATCTTTAACCAACTATTATTTACACTATTGACACAAATCATTATTAGGAAATATACTTATAATGATTTGTGTCAATTTATTTGACATATACTTAAATACACTTTAAGCTATTCCATTCTTAAAAACATTAAGCCCTTATTTATTAGAGTCCATCATTCCCAATACAAATTAAAAAGGAAGGAACAGTCTAGCAATCTTTGGCTACACATGCAAATACAAGCCTCCATGATTCAAACAATATGCGATGAAGTTTCACATATTAAAAGTGAAAAATCATAAAAAAATTATTACAATTTGATTGCAAAATCTATTTTTAATTTAAAGACTATAACTGCATATTTTTTATATGGTTGTAGTAGCAAATTTCAGAAAAGTAATAGTTTGGAGCATACTAATTTATAAACTGTATCACCTTGCAGCAGCACATAATAAGAAATTAAAAGTTTGAATAAGGTTATATGACAAATGCTATAAAAACTGGAATTGTGAACATCAGAATTTTAATCTTCGAAGAGTTGCTTTAAGAGTTCTGGAGTTTTAATTTTGGGTTATAAATCAACATCCATTTAGACAACATCAATAGTCTAATCGGATCAAGATATTTTTATCACTGAAAATGCACCATGTCTTTGAAGAGAAAAACAGGAAAACAGTAAAAATTATTTTTTAACTGTTTACCTTTTCATAAAAAAGGAAAGAAATGTGAAAACTGAAAAATTCAAACATCTCAAAACAAAAGAAGATTTTTTTTTAATGTTAATTATTTAGTACTCTTCTATTGACACAGCACCAATCATCAAATGTGTGCCAAAGTGTCAAATGTGGTAGCCTATTTATATCAAACTATGAAAATTACATAATGATAATACCCATATTTACTCTTGCATTCTTACATCTCTTGTAATTTTCACTTTAGCATTTTAGTTTCTGGAAAATGTTTTGGGCATTCATGTAATTTTCAGATTCAGAAAGGGAGCTGTCCTAAATTTTAAAATGAATTCATCCACTTAGTGGTTGTTTTCATCTGACTAGTTGATCCAGTTGTGGATTTTGGGTAAATAGGCTTTAACTGATGATTTAACTGGTTATTTATGATGAGACAATAATAGTGAGAGTTTCAAGAAAACATGGATATTTAAAGCTGTTGATGGTTCTGTAGATCACTGGATGTGAGAATATATATAGAATGATGATGAAGACAATGATAACAGTGATGACCTGCAAACTTTTGCAAATAACACAGACTGTAGTTCCAGCAACATAAAACAATTTAAGGTCTAGGAAGTAATGGATAGCAAAAAGTATACACAAAAGTCAGGATACAAGGAAGTAGAGATCAAGACATTTTTATTAGCTATTGTAATATTAACATTACTAAATATTCCTACTGGAATATACATTTCTTTTAAATGACTAATATTGTGATAATTACTGGTAGTTTATATATACATGAATAATTTTCAGTTGTTATGCTCTTACTGTACAGAAATTACATTATTCAAATTATTTTCTCTGCTTGATTTTAGCATAATAAAATTAGTATTAAAAAACGAGAGGAGAAATTATTTCGAGTAAATATGGTATGTTTAATATTTGCAATGTTAAATCTGTGTGTTATACCAAATTTGTGAAATTCTCTGATTTTTTTAAGCAAATCACTGTGTAAATAGGGAGAATGGAACAGCTGTTCATTTTATATACACAACAATCTGTTTCCGTTTAAAAAAGCGGCAGAAAATACACAAATTCAGCATCATGAACAGCATCGGCAAATATGGTATGTTTAATATTTGCAATGTTAAATCTGTGTGTTATACCAAATTTGTGAAATTCTCTGATTTTTTTAAGCAAATCACTGTGTAAATAGGGAGAATGGAACAGCTGTTCATTTTATATACACAACAATCTGTTTCCATTTAAAAAAGCTGCAGAAAATACACAAATTCAGCATCATGAACAGCATCGGCAAACAGCATATTAAACATTACATGCATTATATTTGTTATATATAACACAGTTAGTTTTTTCAATTTATATTTGGTGCTAAGTGGTATCCTGTTTACAAAACAGTACCATTATTTGAATTGAAAATCAGTATTAATACCAGTCATTACTAATAATGGTACTTATCGCAACCACCTTACTAGAAGTCACCAAATTTCAGAATACGCCAGACTCTGGGAGTCATGTGCATAATCTTTCTTCAGGCAACCATGCTCATACCAATCCTTCAGCAAGTAATGTTGCCAATTTCATATGCATTCTTTATGTTGTATTATAAGTTCCAACAGTTTTTATAAACAAAGTGTGATTCCCCCCCCCCTTAATTTTGAAGTATGCACCTGTGGAATTTAACAGCAATGGAAGAAACTTTGGTAAAATTGCTACAAAAATAGAGGATTTTGCCACAAAACCTCTAAAGGAAACAAAAGGAGATGCATTTGATAGATAGCCAGTGTCGCTGAGGTTTGTGCGGTGCTCAGTCTCTGCAACTCTTTGATGTTTACTTAAGCAAAAATAGGCTGCTATGTACTTGGAAAGATGAACAGCGCTGAAACATTACTGAAAGATTTGGAAATTAATGTTTTACTTTTTTTAATGTATCAGGCAATCTTTAATTAACAATTAAAATTTGCACATTGACTTTTCACATGTTGATAATGCTTCCCAACTTGTATAAAATATCACTAGTTTGGAAATCCTTTTACAAAAAGTTGCCAAAACCACCAACTTCCATCTAATAAGAAACTTTTACACTTTCTTCTGCAAAAAATCGCCAAACTGCACCAACATACATTGGTTCCATTAGCACATTAAATATCCTAATAGTAATTCTAAATAGCTCAGTGCCTGGCTCAAAACAACCAGTATTTTGTTGTAGCAATACGCCTAAGATGCATTTTTCAAACAGTTTGGAGAAAACAGCACAGCCATCACAATACTGGTCTTGTGTACTTTACAGTTAATGTGCAAAAATGTAAAATAAGAGAATATAAAAATATGATTCTTGTGGATTTTCTTTTAAGAATTAATTCAGTTTACATTTACATCCATGAACAATTCTGTTAAAATTCCAGGTCATTAAAAAAGCAGATTAAAATTAAATCATAACAAATTTTTATAACATAAATGCAATAATACATTCGCATGAATAGAGTTCTTTCTTTATTTGTCTCTTTCAAAAAAACTTTATTAAATGTTAGTTAAATTTGAAGAAATGTAATAACAACATATTTTTTTTTATTCACTTGAATCAAAAACTTTCAAATTCATAGTCTTAAATTTAAAAAAAAAAAAAAAGTTTATTATTATTTATACTTTCATTTGATAACTGAAATGAGTTTCTTGCTTCATCTTATAACAGAAAAAGAAAAAAGGAAAAAAGATGCGTATATTGCGAATTGCAATCTCACTGGTCAATGTTTACATTTACAAAGTGTTATCATGCCTATTTTTTATATTTGCTATACTATTTATATTTTGGGTGTATATTGATGAACATATCTAGATGCAAAAATTGTTACTGCTTCAAGTTATACAAAAGGTTCAAAATTTTTGGTTAAACTTTTGTTCTTTTGGAATATTTATTCACAAAGTTTATAAAAACTGTTAGCACACAAAAGCAGTAACTCAGTATTTCAGAACACAGAAAACTATAAAATAATTAATTTAATTAATCTTTGAAGTTGAGATGGCAATGAGTTGTAAAGCAAAGACTTTTATTTTGAAAAACAAATAAGATATTATTTTTACATACTTAAAATTGTGAATATTAAGATTTCAATAATACAATCAATAGGATTTTATATAAGCCTTACCTATTATGATTTAATTTTACAACATGCATTCTGCGAATTGTTCCGATGTTAGTTTTAAGATATTATGAAATGACCTAAGATTTAGGGCATGAATTGTTTAACTTAGCTATTGTTTACTTTATTATTTATTGTTACTTTAGCTATTATTTTCAGTGTTAGAAGTGACATCAGCATTTTGTTTAATATGATTCAGAATGGCAAAGAGAAAAAAATGGTGAAGGAAAAGGAATTATGAAGAGAAAAAATTTGTTTGGTGTGCACGCATTCAGCTGATTAATGTCTACATTTCCAAGTAATGTTTTTGAATGAAAGCAATCAAAAACAACCTGACAGAGAAAATTGAGCAATCAAAAAATATTAATTTTCTTTGCATACTCGATGAGTTTAATTAATTATTATTGGTTGACATTTTAATTCAAGCATTATTTAATTCATTACAGAATCAGGGGCTTACTAGTTCTTACCTAATACTGACATAGTTACAATTACTACTTGAACTAAATCTTATTTAAGGTCAAGATTTTACATCATGACAAAATTCCCAAAATTTATGAAAAATTTTAAAAACAAACAAAGAACAAACCAGATTATAGTTATCTGTTTTTAACAACTTAGAAAGTAAAGTTTTTGCAAACTCATATTCCTTTATCTCCATGAAAGCTTCTGCAACATCTAAATATAAGTCTCCAAAATCTTCTGGGTTTTCTTGAATAAGAGCTTCCAAAAGAGGCTATAATAAAAATAATAATACATATTTTCATTCTTCTTTTACACATATTCTATATCATAAGTTCTCAAATTAGGTAGTATGACACAGAAAAAAAAAAAAAAAAAAATTCACAAAATTTTTATCAGAAGAAATGGAACATCTTAAAACATTATTATTTCTAAATAATTAGGGAACTGCACTTTTTGAAATCAGGTATATGGAAATGAATTTTTTATGAATAATTCAACCATAAAACAATCAAAATTAAGGAATAAGTTTGTATGTATTCTATTCTTCTTTTATTAATCAAATTCTACCAACAAGTATCTACCATCACTTGGGAACGATGTAAATATAATGTTTACTTACGTGCTATTAGGGACCATGCATTATTAAGAGTGTTTATTTATCTGTATGTCTTTAACTCAAATGATAAATTGAAATCTGTATAAATAAGTCTGCTATATTGTTTGATATATATGGATGTAGAACAACATGAATTATAAACAATTTACAGTTTCAAATCTATTTTTCTGGAAGTTCTTTCATAAGTTTTCAAAGCAACTTAAGTACGTATCTATTTAAAACTTAATAAAAATAGCAGCTTCATATGGTAAAAATATACAACATAATACACCAAAAAATTTATTATTATTTATTTATTAGTTATTATTACTTTTATTTATTAGTTATTATTATTTACTAGTTATTATTATTATTTAAGAATGGATTTCCAGTCTAAAAGTTTAAATCAACACTCACTTGAACTGCAGTTAGAGACTGCAAATGTATTAAACATAGCAAGACTTTTACAGCTAGATCAACAGGAAGAACTTCTGGAACATAACAGCTGAAAGAAAGTATTTATTTTTCTTATCAAAAACTAATGAAAACTGCAATAAAGTTACATAGCATTAAATTATTTTTATTGGTCAATGATATTTAAACATAAGGACAATTGAAAAAAATTATTTATTTATTGATGATTATTAGAATATAACTGGGAATTGAGATATCCTTTACTTTATGAGCATTTACGTTAAGGCAATTTGCTTTTGTGACTTAAATTAGTACCTTTCTAGATTAACAAAAATGAAAAAAACTTCTCAATTTCAAGAGACAGTCATCAGAAAAACAGGGACCTAAAGTTAATCACCATCATAACTGGTATTTTTATTTTCAAAATCTATCCCATCTAAGTTTGCTTTATCTAATTTTAAATTATACTTTAAAAATTATGCAACTGTGTTCTTTAGGCAAGAGTGTTGCTTTATTGATCACATCTCTAAGAAATAGTGGTCTTTCCATGAATACAACTTACTTTAAAACAACTTTAAAATCATCATCTGTGAAAGTCTCTAGTTCATCAGGTGTATCAATTTCTCTGTCAGGCATCTGAAGCTTGACACCACAATGTTGAACAAAATTCTAGAAACAAGTTATAAATAACAAAAAAATAAATATATTGTATTAGGTTATTTGAATTTGGCAAAGCATATGTGGGCTATCTGTCAAAGGGAAGAGATGCCTAAGGAACTCTGCTTCACACCCATGTTACATAAACAGAAAACCCTGCAAATTAACCATGCAGCCACCCCATTTGCCTGGGACTGAACCCTTGTCTAACTACCAGCATTAGCAATCTTAACTACTCAGCCACTGGTGAGGCCAGCACACAAACAAAACAAAAATTGAATGTAAATAATATGAGCAAAAGATATAATTCTTAACAAAGCGGAAAAAATGAAGGAAAATAAAAACAAATTTAACATTATTATGAATAAAATAATATACAGGCCCAAAAAATAAAAAAAACAACTAATAAAAACTCATACAACTTAAATGATTATGCAGTTAGCACAAGATCTTTATTTTGGCACACTTGATATATTTTCAAAATGCAGACAAAAATTAAATTTAAATAAGAACATAAGAAATGTGATATAGGACAGGACAAGGAAAAGGTGATGTTACAACATTTAAGACATATATTTAGAAAAAAAAAAATAGTGAGGTGTGTGGTCACCCTGACCAACAAAAAGCTTTCCAGAGATTTTAAATGTTTTGTATTAGATTTAGTAGGAATTAACGTGGTAACAAAGTATATTTACAATGAATAGCACTTTGAAACTCCTGCACAATGCTAGGTGAGGAGTGTAGTGAGACAAGTCAGCATTCTAATGCATCTTATACATGTTCTGTTGGATTTAAATCCAGAGAATTGCAAGCCACTTCATCCTTCAGATTCCTTTGCCTAAGATAATCAGTCACCAGTGCAGCATAAAGGGGGACAAGCATTATCATTAATTATTGTCATTAATTATTGTCGTTATAGAAGTGGTAGAAACAAAGATACAAGGGTTACCTGCTTGTATTATAGTTGCTTTAGAGCAAAGTATGAGTCAGTGACATCACATGCTTAAAGAATTTTTGATTGGGTACAGAAAACATTATAGCACAGTAACCTTGGTAGTAACAGCAACAAGAGATCATTTTGCAGCAGGTGGCTATATTCCATAATTTCACAAATTTGCATTAAACAGTTATAGCAGATTTAAGTTCTGTGTATCATAACATGCACTGCAAAGTTACTGACACTGTTTTTACTATCCAAAGTTTCTATACATATCACGGTCACCTTACTCGTCCCTATAAGAACTCTATACTGCCAAAACTTTGACACTTTCTAATTACTTTCGTGTAAAAATTAAGAAGACTTATTTACAACAAAGCAAATTATATAGGAATTAAAAATCAGGTTCATCTTTTTTAGTGACCCTATACATCTTCCTGCATTAAACATTACAATAATATATCAGTTTGTTTTTCTGAAGGGTTCTAATTTAAAAGAATTGAACAATGAAATGAGTTACAAAACACTCTCTTGGAAAACAGCAAAGCAAAACTTTGTGTCCATATAAAAGATTTGGCTGCACTTTAAATTTATATCTACTCTCAGGAAGCATCTTGTACATAAATTTATAATTTCATAACTGCCAACTTTAAATGGGAAAAAAAGGTTCTCATATAAAAAGGAGGTTACAACAGGTTTTCATGTTGCATAGTGATGCCATTTCAGAAGAACTCAAAACTGATGCAAAATTTACTTTATAATGAATGATTTAACTTATAGAACTATTTATAACATGATTATGATGTAAAATATATTTATTTTTAATTAGATATCCCAAATTCTATGTGTTTTGGATAATTTCATTTGTAATTTTTTTTACACTTTTATGTTGAGAAAATCATGAATAACTAAGGAAAGCTTTTATTTATTAAAGTACGAGGCGTATTCGGAAACTAAGTACCGTTCTGGAAAAAAAAAAAAAAAAAAAAGTAAAACAATTTTTTCGAATCCAATTTTATTTTTACATGAAAATACATGTCTTAAACTATTCTTCAACATAGTTTCCGCCAATGATCAAACACTTGTCATAGCGGGTGACCAGTTTTTGCATACCATCGTCAAAGAAACTTCCCGCCAGTTTCGATAACCACGACTCCAAAGCATTTTTTATGTCATCGTCAGATCCAAAGCGCTTGCCACCAAGCTCGCGCTTCATGTGCAGTGATAGTCAGACGGCGGCAAGTCCGGGCTGTGGTGATCGAACTGCTCCCAATGAAACTGTTTAACGATTGAGTGCTGAGCCAGTATGTATGGGCCGATTGTGGATTGGCAACACAATTACTTCATTACCGTGCATTCATCTTCGTTTTTTGAGTGGGCACGCCTTAGTTTTGTTAAAGTCTCGCAATATGTGGTTTTTTTTTTCTGGGAAGAATTCAGTAAGCAAAATGCCTTCTATCCCATAAGACAGTGCAACGTGATTTTTTGTGATGACATTGTCACTTTGAACTTTTGTTTTTTTGGAGAATGAGTGTGTCTCCACTCCATCGATTGTTGTTTCGATTCTGGTGTGAAATGACACACCCAAGTTTCATCACCTGTCACAATTTGGTTTAAAACGTTTTCTTCCTCATGACTGTACCGCGTGAGAAATGTCAGGGCACTACCAAATCGCTTTGTTTTGTGAACATAAGTGAGCATTTTTGGAACCCATCGGGAACACAGTTTGCAATAATAATTCAAGCGGTCAGACACAATTTCGAACAAAACAGTACGTGAAATTTGTGGAAATGCCTCTGAAAGAGTTGTCATTGTGAAGTGCCTGTTCTCATGAATTGCTTCATCAACTTTCCTTACCAAATCATCGGTGACAACAGAAGGCCGATCACTCCGAGCCTCGGCGTGGACATTTGTTCGACCTGCATTAAACATTCTTATCCACTTTCTCACCATTCCATCACTTATCGCGTATTCATCGTAAACTTCTGTCACTTGACGATAAATTTCGGCCGGTTTAACATTCCTCGCGTTCAAAAATTTAATCACGGCACGAATCTCACAGTCAGCGGGAGAACTAATTGTCTTAAACATTTTGAATGTGCACAGCAAACTGAAAACACAACATAGAGCAACCAAAATGGCGACAATTGAAAGTCAGTGAACAAGAAAGACTAGTGCGCATGCGCGGGAAGCATACCACAGTGCTGCAACGGCGCTAGAATGAAACGGTACTTAGTTTCCGAATATGCTACGTACTTTTAATTACAATGAAAACAAAAACAAAAACAAAAAATTAACAATGTATGCAATATATATTCTTGTGTGAATTAATTTAGTAATGCATCATAATACTGATATAAAACAAAATTAAATACAAATGTTAAATGATAAACATTAATTCAGTTTTCATAAAAAGTCCTTTAATTTCTATAGTATATAAGACAATTTAAATAAAATAAAATTTTAAAAGAAAAATTATGCTGAAAATCACTATAGATAGGAGAATGGATATAGAATAATTTCCGAAAATTAAAAATCAGAAGTTTCTGTGATCTAATGAAAGATATGATGAATAACCAAAACATGTGGCAGTTATATAATTTCATGCTAAAAATACCACCAATACCATGATATAAAACATTAAGTTTTATATAAAATATTATAAAAATGAAAATTTATAGTATATGATGCATATCAAATTACCTTTATGGCTGATGTGTAAAATTTTTGAATCAGTTGTAACTCCAGAAGAAAATTCACATCTAAAACAAAATATTTAAAAAATTACACAAATAAGTTTACACATACATATATGCATATATACACAAATACACATTAAATATACAGAAGGATTTTAAGTTACCTTCTGAAGTAATCAGTGAAGGGAACTTAGTAAAAGCCATTTCTAACACTTTAATTGCATTTATGTAGTCAGTATTCTCATAATGAACCTAATAAAAAAAAAATGGACGGAGAAATTAGCTTTGACAAAAAAAAAAAAACAAAAAAAAAAAAATCACACAGTAAAATCTTTTCCTTCATTTTATATATCTTGCAATGATATTAATTCATATATAAATAACTAAATTAAAAAACTGATATATATATATATATAACAATATCTAGCACAAATAATTTACCTTTGCAATCTCTCTTGACATTTCTACACATTTCTGTCCAGCTTCAGGGGCACTCAAATGCTTCAAAATTTGTTCATATCCAGCCAAAGCTTTTTTTCGATCTCCTATTCGTTCATATAAATTGCATCTTTCCCACAGAAATGGTACATTATCTGGCTCATTACGAATTGCTATAACATAGAAATTCAAGTTATAATTGTTGGCGACTACTGAAATTTAAATTAATAATTCATGTGTGAAAACATATTACTTTCAGTTATTAGATTTTGCATGTAAACAGTTGTTACTTACTATAAAGATATCACATAATATGGCAAAAGACATTTGTAATAAACATTTTATCAGCTCATATGTTGAATTATAGTACTTAGACATATGTTGAATTAATATTTCAATATTTTCCATTCATGTTACATTTTATAGCATGTGTTTAATAACTGTGTAACAAATTTTTATTTTTGTAAGCAGCAGTGCAGGTTATATCCTGAGTGGGAACTTCTATAATATAGCACCAACCATGAAAGAAATTTACCGAGCATAAATGCATGATGCGAGAGAGAAAAAACAGTCATGAAGATAGTGCGCATACATAACATAAATGTTTTACAGAAGAGTAAAATATAATAAAATTACATTTATTTCTACATCTACATTTATTACGACTAAATTACATTTCCTCACTAATATTTATTTCTTGCATATATAGCTTCTACTGGCCATTAATTTGCAAATGCTATTAATGTGACTTAAAAAGAGTTTTTCTATTCTATCAAATGGCATCATATATGTTTTGCTGGTATAACTCAACAGTGTTGAGATATACCAGCAAACATCACTCTTATACATCACTGTTGAGCCACATCTCATTTTTTCTGCCTGTAACATTCAGTGTTTTTTCTTTGAATACTTTTATCATTAATATATAGGTGCCTCTTGTGACCATTTTAGCTTAGTCTATTATAATGCAGAATGCTGCATTATTCTTACTCCTTGGTATATCGAAAATTGATAGCATTTTGTATCCAAAAGGATGATCAATATGCACTTTTAGTTTATCTGCAGTACATGTCTTTCTTGAAAGAAAAAGTTGTTTAGTATAAGAAGTTAAGTAGGATCGACTTTCAACTGCCAATAAACTTAAGCAATTAATTATGGAGATGGTGATTTTCTTTTATGGTGGCCACCATAGCATAGAAGTAAAGCATAATGCTTGTAAAAATGTGGCAATCAGCTTTATTTCCTTAATTAAATATTGAACCTAAATACATACATTCTATAAGATTAGAAAAAAAAAAAAAGAGTATTTTCTGTTAATGAGTGGCAGTCACCAAATGCATGTCAATGTGTCAATTGTGGTAGCTTGTTTATATGGTGTCATGAATAGCAGTGCATGATGCCATTGCAAATAAGTGGGAAGAATGAACATCAGTCCAGGAATTTTTTGTCCTAGACTTTCAGTTGCTTAAGTGGATGTACTGGCAGCTACCAGGTATGAACACCTGCAAGTTAACCACAAATACAACATTAAATCATTGTACAGGATTGATGCGTAAAGAAATCACTGGCCACCATCATCTAGTAGATTCTTACTTCAATGAATTCACATGTTTGGGACTGCATGAAAAGATGTTAAATATTTTTGGCAGTGTTAAATGATATTAGCAGTTTTATGCCTCTTGTGTAATTTGAAATTAATCTTGTAAAATCTGTTTTGTATTTCTGCATTTGTCTTTATTACAGTAGATAACAGCTACCTATATACATAAGGGGTAATGTTTTCAGTTCAAAAATTCAATAGTGAGTTTTCAGTGAATGAACACAAATTAAGGTCACATTTTTACTACTTTTATAATAATGTTTGTTGGTCTGTGTGTGTGACAACGACGTTTTTTTGGGGGGGTCAACCATAACTCTTATATGACACTTTAAAAAATTTCCATTTCACATATTTAACTTTCTACATACATATAAAAAGAGTTGATTAGATTTTGGGTAAAACTGGACAACCAGAAATGGTGCTTTGCAGGAAGCCCATAACAATCTTTAATGGACTTAATCTTTAATAAAGTTGTATTCTGTATGGAGCCCAAAACAGTTTTTAAAGAAAAACTATAAAATTAACAACAGACTTTCACAAAAGGGTATGTTATGAGACAATCCAAAATTTCTCAAATTTGGTATCTAAAATAGGTATGTGATTGAGAATCATATTACATTTATAAACATTAAATGTATTCCTGAAATTATGCTAAATGCAATGAGAATAAGCTCATTATGAAGCTAAGCTCTCATTATGAAGCAGTTAAATATATTAGTCTCAATCTCCAATGCATTTATTTCCCATTTGTGTTGAATCACCTTAAGAAAAAAATCTGATGTGTACACCACATGACTTCCTTGTACGGAATATTAAATTATACGCATTTTTTTTTTTTTTTTTTTTTTTTTTTTGCATTTCATTTAAACTTATTGGATTTAATTAAATCTACTTCACCGACAGCGCATAAACCACAATAGAATAAATGCATTCTTTAAAATGCACTTTGTTTACCATAGTGACACTCTGGCGCTAGGTTTACTTATCAGTATTATATTTCATTCATATTATAACTCAGAATGCACAAAATGTATATCATTTAAAGAATTATCTAATCATTGCCACATGTTCTATTCAAATACTGTAATAAAGCTAGAACGATGTATAAAAGAAATTAAGCAAACAAAAAACAGAAACAGTTTTTCACAGACGATTGAGTATTTCTCATTCAATTAATTCAGTTCTCACTTCGCGAGAAGGCAAAAATACATAAAAACTCAAAATATCTATATTAAAAATTACGAAGTAAATCTTAAACGCTTATTTCCTCAAAAAAATTCCAGAAAGAATTAAGCATGATTTAATTGGCAATAATAAATGAATGCGTTATCTTTGTTGTTGCGAAGCTAAGTTTCTCTAGATTGGCAACAAATCCACTAGTCTCCTGTTTCAAATGTAAACAATCAATGGCCGCCATTAAAAAACCGGCTTAGCGGCAATTAAACAACTTTAAAATTGCTTGATAATTCTAAAAATATTGCACACAGATTTACTAAAGGCATATAAAACCTTAACCGGAAGATAAAAAAAACAACATAATTCAATCATTTTTAAAGCAAAAAAATGTACAATTTACAAACATATAAGAGTAAAGAAACTGAGATCACTGAGCCGGGTAGGTAATAGAGTGGATATATATATAAATATATTTATATACGTTTGGTGCGGCCGATTGCAACCAAAATACGAGGTGCACATCTACATGTTATAGCAGTCCTATATACAAAATTTCAACGTTCTGAGGCTACTCGTTTTTGAGTTATGCGAGATACGTACGTACATACGTTCATACAGACGCCACGAAAAATTCTCTTCAGAATTAATTTTAAAGCAGTTTTATAATTTTTTTGGAGGAAAAGAGTCTTTTATTCTGTCCTTACGTACAGATATCACGCAAAAACATCGTTAAATTGCATTCAATAGCGGTCAAAATGGATATTTTCGTTGAAATATGCTGCCTGAAACTTTTCGCGATTACAATACTTCCTTTTTACTTCGTACAAGGAAGTAAAAAGGATGTTGTCACCAAATGTTATTGCTATGTATTTAAAAAAAATACTAATAATATAGTAAATTTAAATAATATAGTCAATAGGAAAAGAAAAGTATAGCAATGCTTAACACTCTATCAGGAATTCTAAAGATAAGCTGCTTTTGAAAATTTTGTGATTTGCAGTTTTTTTTATTATTATTTATACTGGATTTAATAAAATAGTAACTCTTTTCATCAAGTTTTACATATTGTTAAGTTTGATACCATCTAATTAGATTCTGTGCCAACATTTATATTTGGCACTAAAAGCTGCCCAGTTAACAGAAAGTACTGAAAAAATAAAGAGGACGTATCTATAGCTAATGCTTTAAACAGGAGTCTTGTTTCCTTCAGCATGTGAAACAGTCAAAAATTTTTTAATTCAGTCAGAATTATTGTTCTTTACTTAAGAACTTAAATATCAATGATGATATCGACTCAGCTTCATCATCTCAAAGATTTAGTAACAGCATAGTCTTCAACACTGGGATAGGCTATTAATGCTAGCTGGCAAGTACAAGACATACAAGAAAGCACTGTAGATCAATCCAGAATAGTGATGAGCTAAACATGTGAATACTAAAGGCATGAAGGTATGCAGTATTCCATTAAATAAGCACTGCCATTTAAATAAAAAAGTTTTATGATGTCATGGTGCTAAAGCAAGCAGAAAATGCACATTTCTGACACTTTTGATTACAAAATTTCTCAAAATATAGTATAGAATTTTATGAAATCTGACTCATATATGAACAGAATTTTGTAAAAATAAAATCTAACTGTTTGTATGTTCTCGACAAATTAAAAATTATAATTAGTAAAATAGCCATCATACTTTATTTAGACATGAAAAGTGAGTAGAGATACTCAAGAACAAATCTAATAAGACCGATTCTTTTTCTACAGCTATAAACATATGATTTAAATTTTAACTCATTAATGAATAATGAATGTTTTAACTGTAATTTTTACTCTAAAAATGCTATTTCACAAAACGTTCCTCCTATACAGCATTGAGATATGTTCATAATGTTCCAAGCTTTGCCTTGTTACTTTGTAATTTTAAGTAAATACAGACTGCAATCACCTTTCCCAAACAAATTGCATATAACCAGCTCTGTTACTTAAGCAGAAATGTTTTTGCACAAATAGATGAACACATTACATTTAAATAATTGTTTAGATTTAATATGACAATAATGAAGGATTGAGCTTAATTTTGATATGTATAAAAAGAATCGAAAATGGTACTTTAAATCTGGCAATTTACCATAACTATAACAGCTGATAGCTTGAGCAATTTTATTTTGCTCTAGTGAAAGATCTGCTAGTCGTATCCATTCTTCGGTATCAGAAGGGTCCAAGCATGCTGCAACCAAATAGCACTAAAAGTGAAAAACAAACTGCAAATTTATTACATACAATTACAAAATATATTAAAATTAAAAAGAAATGCTAAAACAATAATTTAAAACAGCTACAAGAAATGCAAAAAGAAAAAATTTTGATAATGCCACTAAAATACAAAAAGGTCTGAAATCCAGATGTCCAATACCTGAAATGATCTAATATCTCAGCCTCTGGACTACCAGCTAAAATAAATTAATAAATAAACTAAATATTATAAAAAAATCTGCCTTTCTCTTACAAAATCTATGAATGGAGAATATAATACTCAACAAAAAGAAGCAGGTGTGCCATATGATTTTTCTCCCGACTGACTAAGATTCCAAAATGTCACTTTCAAACACAAGTTGGTTAGAGATTTGCATCATAGGCAATTACAATATATTGATTGGAATTGTGTTGATGTTGATTATGATCACACTTTTTGCCCTTAAGGGAATATGGGGGGCAGGACCGGTGCTATGTATTTGCTGCCGATGGGTCCTAAATTCTGCTGTCTGGTAGCATAAATTCGAAAAATTTTGCCACCTCTAAACTTCTGCCCAGTGCCTCTTCTAAGCTCTAAAATTTTTGCCATCCCTAATTTTTGCTGCTCAGTCAACCTCTCAAGTTTATAATTCTTGTCTCTCCTGAATTTTGCACCACAATACGCCTGCACCAGCTCTGGTGCCAATCCTGCTACAGGCTTAGTTATGTCATTTTACTAGATTTAAATTTATCATCGAAAATTCGGAAATCTAAGACATCTAATTATGCGAACTCCTGATGATTCCATCTCATACTTTGTACTGCATTTAAACAAGCATTACATGAAAATATAAATATTCAGGAACTGTAATTTAAAGGTAAAAAAGAAACATATATATATAATTCACTCCAGAAGCCAAATTTTAAAAGAAGTGTTAATTCAAAAAGAAGTGTTTTTACACCTATATTATTCAAATCAATTTGGCACACTTCAAACACGAGTGTAAGAAAATTATAAATATTTATTCTCATTGATTAGATTATAACAAAAATCACAAAGCAGATTTACTGAAAAAGGTCAATGTGCTCAGAACTTTGAAGAAAGCAGTTAACTTATCAAATCGTTCAACTGCAGTTGATCTCCTTTGAAATCTCGCTGTATCACTATGACATCATATGCATTCAACTTTCAGTAATGATTATTATAATTTTCTTCAACATATAATTTAAATGCATCTGCAGTTGCATGTATTGTTTAACCTTATAAGTGGTCAAAAGTTCAGCTCTGACAGCTCAATTTTTTTTTTAAATAAAGAAAATGCATTTTCTTGGTTACAATTCCAAAATGTCCCTACTATTTTATACTTTGATTTTTTATGTTCCAGCATACTACTTTAACTGTTTGGATGAATTTCAAAATAAAACATACGCTTATGTGCATATACGTGCTTACTTGAGGGTATTAAGAAAAATATTCTTGTATATGTACATTACATGGCTTGTCTGGCTGAAGAGTTAACAAAATTACACTTGATAGTTTTTCAAGAAGATTAAAAACAAACAAATGTCTCAAAGAAAACTGTTTGTTCTCCAGTGAAATAAAATTATTTTTATCTTAAATAGTATTCCAGTAACATCAGAAAAAGTGTTCTAACATTTTGCAGTTGCTGACTTGAATGTGCCCTGTATGAAAAACTCAACTAGTAGCATAACTTGATGTCTAATAAATGTATGTTGCATTATTGATTAAAATAACCAACAATCAGACAATTAATTTAAAGCAACTCTGTTACCTTTGAAGATAGCAGAGAAGATGGTTAAGAGCAATTTTACTATGGCCATGGATCTTAATGTTTACCCAAGAAAATTGTTTCTTGTTTTGAAAATCAGTGATTCAAAATTAAAAAACTTTTCTAGAGTCATTGGAAAAAAGTCAACACTGCCATTAATCATCATTCAATAAACTTGCATAAATGACAAAACAAATTCACAGCAAAGATTAAATAAGGCTGATTTACTGTACATTAGCTCATTAATGTTAAGTATGCAATATAAATTCAGAAAACTCCAAAGTTCACCTACAAATAAAACTATTGACTATACTGAATATTTTTTAACTCTGAATCTCTTAAAATTGTGCACAAATAAGATAGAATTTCATTAATCTATGCTAATATTTTTTTATATATACACAAATAAAATTTGATTTTTAAGAAATTCAGCATGGCAAAATTAACTAGAATTTTTCCTTATATGTATATACAAATAAAAAAAGGGGATGGGGCACATATAACTTAATTTGGTGAAAGAAACAAATATGTTTTGTAGCTGTACAAATAGTTATTAGTATTTCCCACATACTCCTCGGTACACTCTTTTATATACTAAACACATACCATGAGTGTCTACACATTTTTTGCATTAGATAAATCTTTATTTTGTGATATATATATCCTACTGTCTTTTAAAATTAATTTTAAATTTAAATAGTCAGCAAGCATAAAGAATTTATTTATCCACAGTTTCTCAGACACTGAGAACATAAACATATCTCATAGCTGTTTTGTTTACGCTCTGCACAGTAATTAAACTTGTTCACATCAGCAGCGAATGCAGACAGATTCTTAAAAACAGCATCTGTAGAGATTTATCTAGTGTTAAAAGTCTAAAATACAGTAAAAAAGGATAGAGACATTATCTTTTAATATATTCAAAATTTAATTGTAGCAGATTTCATTAATCATTAGAAATGCTATGCATCCAGGAGCATAGAGGCTTAGTTAGGGGGAAAAAAAGGAAAAGAAAATCACTGCTGTGGCTTTGCAAAGGCTTATAAAATAGTGTATTTATTTATATTTTTCTCTGATTTAAGAGCATAAAAATTACTCTGAAAGGAATTTCACTAAAGATTAAACAATTATTTTTTATAAAATACATCTACATGTTTTTACAAAAAGAAAAAAAAGAAAGAAAGAAAGTATTCAGGAGGCAAAGCAGTTAGTATGTTACCATAGTTGTTATGTGTAGACCCCAATGTCACCAAAACATATTATGTAACAACACAGGTATGCACATAGCACATGTTTGTTTTCATTGATGTGCAATGTGGATGTTGTATAATGCTGAATTTGATCAATTCTCCAGTTTTTTTTAAGTAAAAACAGGCTGATGTGTATATGGGGAGGGGGGAAAATCCTTAAAAAAAAAGTTAATGTTTATTGCCTGTGTTTCTTGCTTCTCCTATTTTACTCTTTGAATGCTATCGTAAGAATTTTTAGAGTGCCACTATTTCAGAAATTACTGTTACTTTTCACACATTAACTTGGCAAAAAATTAGTCACTAGTGAGTTCGTGACGTTTCAGTGACGGGCGGAGATAATCAGAAAGTACCATATATAATTGTATTTAAAAAAAAAACTAATAATTTTATATTCAATAAATCTTGATTAAATAATTGTTATAGTATGAGATTGTTATAGTATTATAACATATTTAAAGCTGCTGTATGCATGGCATGCTTTACACATGGGAAGACATACCAAATAAATATGCAGTAGTACCTCCCAATAAGGGGCATCTACCAGGCCAGCCATTTGTCCTTTAAATAGAGTTGACCCTTCTTCAGAGGGTACACACCAAAAAAATTTATTTAATTTGAAATTCAGGTAGCATTAAGATTCAAATGAATTATATATAAATAAGTAATACAGCCACAGGTATTTATTTGAATTTGAAGGTAATGAAAGATGAACATTCTTACTTAAAAAAGTTTAATTATTGTAAAAATATGTGAAATGAACACTAAAATATTGTATTTACAGAAATTTAATGAAAAAAAAATCTGTTACATGGGTTTGTTTGAAAGTCTGTGCATTGGGGGCATTTTTTTTTTTTTTTCACATGAATGTTAAGTTACTCATGATCTTAAATCCTTCACTACCAGTAACAGTTATCATTGATTTTTTAATTAGGTGTATTTTAAGGCATCTGTAGAGTTTTTATGCCACATTTTTCATCTGACTCTTCTTCATCTTCATCACTACTTTCCAAGCTATTTTTGTTAAAGGTCACATCAACAATTACAATTGAAATAAAAGATTTTATATCATCGTTGGTGACTTCAGTGCACAAGTTTTCATCAATTTCTAAATATTCTTGCATTTGAGCACTGACACTGATTTTGACAAACTCAAACAATTCATTTTCATCAGTAGTATTTTCACTCGAATTTCAAAACCTGCTTTCTGAAAATAGTGCTGAATGCAACTTTGTGATACAGATTTCACAGCCTTTATTATCTATTGAATGGCATTCAGTATATACATTTTTGAAAGCCGATTTTCATTTCTGCAAACAGCTTGACAAAGAAAATGCCATAAAAATAATTTTCTGTAATGAACCTTGAACCTTCTAAACTAAGCTTTTTAATTTCTGCTACATGAATTACTATATCAACTTTTTGCTTTAATCTTTTTTTCCTTTTTGAACCTATGCTAGATAACATATATAAAAATACCACACAGGTAAAAATTACACTTTGTTTGCTCCCCAGTCCTAGCATGAACTGGTACATTCTATGTACATTGTGAGATACATATGCCTTGGCAGACTACCCAGTCATCTAACCACATATTCTTTCCTATTGGTCCCTGTCTTGAATTGCCTTCAACTTGCTAACAGTGTTTCCTCCCTCCTACTGATAACTGTAGCAAGAATAACTGGATTTTGAGTTCCATGAATATGAAATATCCATTTTTATTACACCACAACTTGCTTTTTTCTAATATACTGTTCCTCTGTCTCCTACTGAAAAGTAGTTTCCAAAAGAGTGGGATTAACTTTTCATTTCATTGTTCCCTTGTCACAAAACTATCTTTCCCTGAGCATAAACTTGCCTTTGAAGCCTCAAAATGTTACTAAGAAGGAGCATTTCTATGTTTATTTGTTTTCTACCTCTATCTCAGTTTTGAAACTTTTTTTCAGCAACCGTTAATGAATGGTAAATTCATTAAGGTCCCTATTCAAAGAAACAGGACCAACAGAATGTCCCTTAAATAAATGTGTCCCTTATAAAAGGTACTACTGTATATACAAAATATACTGATAATTACCAATGCAATTTTACAGTAAGATAATCAAAATACTTCTCATTTACACCAGAAAAACATAATAAAACAATATACAGAAGGGGGAACATGTTAAAACAGAAAATACAAGCATCAAAAGCAATTTTGGACATAAGAAACATTTGCCTAAGTGGAAAGTACCTAGTAATTTCATTCTAGATGTCTATATATTGGTTTATTTTGCAACATACCTGTAATGATTTCCTAGGTTCCCCTGTTGCATCATATATAACACCTAAAGTCTGGAAGGGTTCTTGAGCAGTTGGTGCTGAAAGGAAATTTAATAACAAATTTAAATATATATTAAATAAAAATTAATAAATAATATTAATCTAATATAATATCATAAATAATGTTATAACCACTTTTATCATACTCCCAATAACCTAACATACAATCATAACATTAATTTAATAAAGTAATTAAATAGTTAAATGTACTTAAACTATTATACTAGGGAACAATTTGTAATACAATTTCTGTTAAGTTCAATTTTTGAGCTATTTTAAAGTTAAACGGCAAAGCTGATTTCAAAATTATTAATCAGTTTACTTCTATACATCATGTTTTTTTCCCCTATCTGTTATGTGAGTGTGACCACTCTCCATGGCATTGAGTCTGAATCACAGGAAGTACTACTGCTCTCGTATTAGCTGACATAAGCCCTCCGATCGCCGTTGAATGAATGATGGTGTAGGAGACCAGCAGCAGGTGCATACTTATCTAGACTAGTTCAGTTACACCTAAGATACTGTAATGAGACACTGCGGGTCACTCTCACATATGGAAGTGCATTCCAATGTGCGATCCTAGTTCTTGTTTGTATACAAGGTTAGCAGTGTTCAGTATCTATTTATATACGAACTGAAAGCTTTCCTTATGTCTGCCTCTGCTAGTTTGCATCATAACTGCTTAACAGCCCCAATTCGCCTTGTTATATATGTAATAGTTTTGGCATTCAGAGTCAACGGACAAACATCAGTATATTTGTCAGGTGAGCCTATTTTGCCTATTTTAAAGTGAAAAATTGGAGATCAAGATAAATCATGTACTCCTCACATGATTTATCTTGATCAAACAAAGTGTGCAAGCACTGTATTGTGAGTTTACGGATGTGGATAAAGTTTTACATTTCCATTTGGTATACCCATGATTTAGTGAGAACCTAAAGATCAACAGGATCATTTACTTTTGTATAGTAAAACTTCAGGATATAACAAGGAAAACAAATGCAAAATAGAGTATCCTCTGTTACCATCAGGGATATATACCCAATGCCTCATTCATCTGAATTACTAGTGCCAGCTTTCAAAGAATTACTGTCTTTGGAAATACAGGAATACGATTCAAGTGAATATCAAATGGACCCAAACAACGGAGGTTTTGAAACTGAAGATGATTCTATTCATAAGAGATTTGACCAGCATGAGCTGAAGGATTTGGTATGAAATTTGGGATTATCCAAAAAAGCTTCAGAGCTCTTAGCATCAAGACAGCATGAAAAAAACTTGCGTGAAAAAGGAGCTAAGGTATCCTACTTTTGATTACAAGAAAGTGTGTTTCTGCAATACTTTTTAAGTGATGATGTATTTGTGCATCGCCACAACAAATGTAGGTTTAATGAAAGAGTTGGGAATTTGAGCTTATAATGCAACTCAATAGGGACTATTCATCAATAGCTCTTGTGATTTGAAAGTGAAATTTGAAGTGTCTCTTCCTTTACAATTGAAATTTATTTGGTGCAGTCCCAGTAGGCCATTCAGTTTGTTTGTGTGAAAATATGAAGACATAAAGAGAGCCATTGATTTGCTGCAATATCACATATTTGGATCATTTGTATTGACCTTAAAATGGTCTGCCTCCTCCTTGGCCAGCAGTGTAGACATACCAAGTTTCCCAGTTTTTTAGGTATGTGGGACAGCAGTGCTTGTGAGAAACACTATGTGCAAGATGTGACCTGAAACTGGGTAATCCAAACATTCTACATCAGCCACTTGTCAACAGAAAAAAACATTACATTTCCCCCTTTGCATATAAAACTGGGTCTAATTGCGTAATTTGTTAAAGCTTTGCCAGCTGAAGGAGACTGCTTCAAGTATCTCATTTTGGCCTGTCATTTGAAAAGAAAAATACCTGTGTGTCTGATGGTCCACAGGCTCGGCAGCTCCTTAAAGATCATTATTTCAACAGAATAATGACAGAACTTTAAAAGAATGCCTGTTTGGAATTCAAAATATTGTCATATATTTTCTTGGAAATACATGAGCGCAGAACTACAGTGACATTGTCCAGCAACTTTTGGACAGCTTTAAAATGCTTGGTTACAACATGAGCATCAAAATCCATTTGTTACATAGCCATCTTGATAACTTCTAGAAAAATCTTGGTGCAGTCAGCGATGAGCACAGTGAGTAATTCTACCAAGATGTGAAGGTCATGGAGGCAGGGTACCAAGGTGGATGGGATGTACATATGGTGGCTGGCTATTTTTGGAGCATCAAGCAAAAATATCCACAGATTAAACACTATAGAAAAACCATAAGTGAAAATTTTTACCTTAATATGCATGTTTATTGTTTGGTTAAAAAACTTTACTATTTGTATGAACAAAATTTAACTTGCAGTAATTATATGTAGCCTTTGAATTAAACTATTCTTTGTGAACAATATATTTGGTAAGTTTTCCCTTTCTATGCATATTTTATATGCCTTTTGAGACAAAAGAGAGGATATCCTGTAACTTAAAAAGCTGGCTTAATCAACAAAAGCTGAGGTTATTTTTGGATTCAGAGGCCAGAAGTTAGTCAAAAACAAGTGACAGATCTAAGACAACAAAATTGCTGTTTCCTAGTGTTATCATTCCAAAATACAATCATAAGATTAATTTAATAAAAATAATAGAATATTTAAATCTACTTAAACTATTATCACAAAAATAATTCTGCCTTTAAAACATCTCACCCAATCGAATAAGCTCCATGCACATTTTAATAGCATCTTCTGTTTCCCCTTGAGCAAACTTTACATGGGCGGCTCCCATTAAACCTTCTAATTCTTTTGGTAAATGACTCATTTTCCTGCGTCCTTTCTGTAAAAGTTAATCAAATTCATGTATCACTTACATTTATTACAAAACAAAAATATAATATGCATAAAAATGTTTACCTTTTTCTTATTTTTTAGCTCCATTTCATATTCTCTATGTTCTTTTTCTATCTGGGACTCTTGCCCTAAATAAATAAAAAATAATTTTAAACCAAATACAGTATACTGCTCCATAAAGTATATCGAAAAGAAAAAATATTTTAAATAAATTAAAATTTGGCATACTGACAAAGTACATAGTTTTCAATTAAAAAATGTTTATGTCTTCAATGATCAAGTTTACAAAGAAATTAATTAGTAAAAATTAGTACAAGGGTCATAAATAATTTTGGATAATTCAAATCATTAACTCAGCAATGATTTAATGATTGTTCAAACTCTATCCTGGCATAGACCAAGCGCTCAAGAGTATTTGCTTTCTAATCATACACACAGATTCTCATTTCACAAGAAATCTAGAAATTGCAGAAGTCAAAGAATTAATTGCATAGTCACTTTGAAAAGAATATCTGCTATGTGGTTATACCAGTTAAAAAATATCATGTCCCCAACATATGGAAGAAATGTTGAAAATAATAACATGCTCGTAATGTATGGAAGTGCAATGAGCTGCAACATATCAGCATTATCTCAAAATACAACTATGAAATACCAACTTTGAGCGGTATGCCCAATTTATGCAATTCTCTGATGTTTCTAAAGTGAAACCAAATTGCTGTGTACATAGAAAAAACGACATGGGGGAAGGTGTGCAGATAATAAGAAAGTACCCAATAAAATTTGGCTTTATTTAAAGCTTTCTAACTTCCAAAATTAATCTGCTTATTTTATATGGCAATCAATGAATTGGACTCCTTTCATCTTTAATTTCCTCAAATTCCATTCTAAATAATAACTCAGCAATTAAAAAATTTACAAAAACAAACATTTGGTGATAAAACTCATCTCTACTGATCATAACTGATCAATGATGGATATTGACATTGTATAATATATAAAAAATTACCATATTTATTTGCATATTTTTTCTTCTAGATTTTTCAGTACACAAGTTAGAATCTTAACAGCAACAACATTAAATATATTCACAAATAGGAAAGAATATTGTGCAAGTAAAAAGAATACAAATGAAATTAATAATTTTAACTTACAAGTTTGAAGTACAGAGCACAATAATATTTTAAGGTCTGCTTAAATGTGCCTTTTAAAGCTTTTTTTTTTTTTTTTTTTTTTTTTTTTTTTTTTTTTTTTTGTCTTTCTCTTCAGTACAGTAAACAATACATAATTTTCTATTCATACGCTCTTTCAAAAGGTAATATTAATAAAAAAAAGGGCAAAAATATGCCAATAAATACAGTATTTAAACTTACAGTATTTAAACTATATTTACTTCTTAAATCTTAGTAAGAAGTTAACTTAATATGAAATTTTTCTCTCAATAATACATAAAAAATTACTAAATAATGATATGTACCAAGTGCAAGTAAATTGATTCAAAATTTTATAAATAATTGTATTTAATTTCTTTTGCGCTAAAAATAATGGCATTAATTAGGCTTTCAAGTTTGAACTTCATACCAGTAGTTCTAGAACTTAACAATCTATGATTAAGATAAAGAAATTTTGAATTTTCAAAATATATGACACAGGTACAATGATAAATTTATCTAAAATCTGAATAAATTTTAGAATTTTCTAAAAATCAAATGAATTTTTTAATTGATTTGATTTCAATACTACTTATCCTAATAAAATATCACATTATAAATTCAATTTTAAAAATTATGATCTAGAATTAAACTCGCTTATAACAAGCGTGAAAGAAATGCAATATTTGCTCATTTTAACTGTTTGTAAAAAACAGATTTGTGAAAAATCAAAAATTCATACATACTTACCATAGTATATACTATATTTACTTTATTTATTTCTGTACAGTGCAAAAGAAGTTGGTTAATTTGCTTTGAGATGTCTTATTATTTCTTTCTTTTCTTATTGTTCCTTGGAGAAAACTGATAGCTGGGAAAGCATCATCATTTGCACCCCCTAGCTTCGAAAAAAGTTTGAAGTTTTTCTGCGCACTCAAAAGCCATTCAGTCTGTTCAGTTTGAAATTCTTCACATTATCGCTTTCATTATTTTTTTTTTAATCTGCTTTAACTTGAATTTCAGTTACAATATCCTCGGGGACTAGGTATGTTGGAAATGATAACATTGGCACTAACAAAGAAACATAATTTTCAAATTCTCCGAGTCATCTACTTCTTCTTCCTCAGTGACTTGCTCTGCCTGAGAAATGTCCAATATAGCCTTACAAAAACAACTGTTAATGCATGTCAACATAATGTTTCCTCCTGCAGCCTCATTAAATGCATTGCATTGAGTATGTTTATAATGCACATTACGAAGTTTGATTTAAAACTTCTGATGACCCTTTAGTCCGTGGGCTGGATATGTGTTTTACAATTATCAATTAAAAGGAGAATTTTACATTTCTTTCCCCAGTTGCCTCCGCATTTTGAAATTAATTCTGTGAAAATGTCTGAAGCCATCTAGGCTTTCTTGCTATGGTCATAATTTGGACTTGCCAATAACCAACAGTTTCTTCTTGTCAGTACCAGATATATTAGAATGCACGAAAGCTGTCAATCAGTTTTTGGACAGCTAGCCTCCAATACACTTTTCATCCTTGAACCTAAAATTCTGCTGTATGGTTATGTTGTAGAAAATACCTGTTTCATTGGCATTATAAATGTCATTTTTTGTACGGCCTTCTCTGATGACTCACTACTTTTCACTCATCAACGTTGTGATATCCAGTATGTTTGTAAACTCTGCTTCATCACAAATTTTTCCAAAGGTTATACCATGCCTGTTCTTCAATCTGTCAAGCCAGGCATTCGAACATAGAAATCCTGAATAGCCAAACTGTTCAGCAAATTTTTCTACTTTTAAAAGTGATTGCACTTTAAAAGATCCTTTATCCACTTTAAAAGAGTTTCCTCTAAATCCTTTTAGCACATTTCTTCAAATGTTAATAGTTGTTCTTATTTTGATCAAATACAGTCATTAATTCTTTCTTATTTTTTAAGTGTTGAAAGAGTAGAAGAAGATAATTTTGCATACATTTTTCAGATTTCAGAATTTTGTATGCCATTCTCTAACTCCATAAAATTCTTACTTATTCATCAACTGACAAAATTTTACATTTGACAAGCACACTCTATGAATACAGATCAAAGAGTGACCTCCACACAAGTCCCCTACCCTACCACTCCTATGCAGTGTAAACTACCATCCAATCAGCAACCTCCATTGTCTCAGTCCATCTCTACAAGGTTGTTGTGAAATACCAACATATGTGCACTCCACAAGATGAAAAAAGCTGCCATCACATTTGCGCAGGATTTATGACTCATCACTAACTTTCAGTTGACTTGACAAAATGTTAATGGAATGTTCAATAAATGTTAAAAGGAATTTTTCCAAGAAAGGATTACCTGAGCTAGAGAGGAAGTCGATAGAAATTTTATGAATCTCAAAAATATAGCTCGTTAAAAGAGGGTTATGCTTCAATAGAATTAGCATTATACTAATCAAGTATTTCCAGTTTCCTTGATAAATCTGAGTTCTCATTAAATCAGGACTCGTTATAAGAGAGTTATATTGTACTTAATTTTTTAGTATCATTTGAATAATCTAAATTTATAATTAAGCCTAGGTTCATGCACAGCTAAAGATATCTAACCAACTTTAAAGCCATTTTCAATGACTAAATACCCACAAGGCGAACCTGGATCAAATATAGTCAAATCTTTGATCGAAGTCTTTACCCTTGCTACCATTCTCTAAAAAGACTATTCCAATGGTTCTAGGGAAAAAGCCCACAGGAATAATGCTCACATGTATAAATGCTTACAGAAAAAAAAACCCACACAGAAGAAAGCTCACATGGAAAAGTGCTCACTTAGAAATATGCTCACATGGAAAAACGCTCACATGGAAATAAGCCCACTGATAAACAAAATACATACATTAATCAATCAATAATTAATAGATCTGAACATCGTGTACCTACTTAACTTGTAAATGAAAAATTATTCAATCACTTGAAAACATTATTGGACAAATGCTCACATTAAACTTTTCAGAGACAGTATATAAAAGAATGAAAACTATAGTAAAATTTCGCATGTACTATAATATTTTATGCCATTGCCTCTGTACGACATTTTTATTCTTGTAACTGCCAATAGTTAATTTTTGTCTTTTTTTATTCTATTTTTGCATACTTTGATGTGTATCTATAGGAATTGATGTTTGAATGTAGTTATTTAAGTTTAGAGCCAAAAAATTCTAGAAGACCACAGTTTCCAATCAAAGTGTGGAATCATTATGAAGCAGCCTTCGGAAAATCTCCTAAAACCACAAATCGTTACGAAAGTTTTCATAACGTACTAAATTCATTATTTAATTGTAGCCATCCCAGTATGTGGTTTTTATTTGACAGACTGAAAAAAGATTTAGTCCATCAATGTTTATTATTAGCTATTGTAAATACAGGGTGTGCTGAAGTTTTAAAAAAAAAAGGAAATATGAAAACTTACATTAGGTAATCACAAATCATGTAAGAAACTATGACGAACTTGATGATAAAATTAGATTTTTACATATATTAGCTAATATTAGGTATTTATAACTTTTTGAAATGTATATTTATGATTTATATATAATAAGGTATTTTACGTAATTTAAATAAAATAATTATTTATATTTACTTATTCTTCTAAATGTTTATATTAGAAAATATGTAACTTATATTCACTATTATTTTATTTTTTAACAATTAAAATTGTAATAATTTTTCACTGTATATTCTGTTTCATTTTCTTCCTTCCTCCTCTCCCTTTCATAATCCAAAACAGTCCATTTGTTAATCTTATATAGCAACTGAATCTACACATAAGTTAAAGAATTTTGGTATATATATATATATATATATATATATATACAGGGGTTGGACAAAAATATGGAAACACCTTTAAAAAAACATGTTTCTTTGCTTAATATGGTGTAGGAAACCCGTTGGCATCCTAAACAGCTTGCAGTCTTCTTGGAAGGAATAA